TATGCTGGTCTGCAGCGGCTTGAGAGTAACCGCAAAAGCACCTGCAGTAACACTGCATCCAGTAATTAATAATTCCAGAGCGTTCCCTTGGGAACATCTGAGTGACTTGGCTGTGACTTGTGATTGTTAAAGCAGTGAACCCGTCGACTTTGTTCCCTGTTGTAACGTCAAATGTACTAGTATATTTTGTCCAGTCCTGGGATAATGGGTTATCGCCTCGCGGTGGCTGCCGTGGCGGCGACTGAAGTGGCCCTTACGATGGCGTTTACAACCGTATTGGAGGACTTCGGTCACGGCTCTCAGCGCTGCACTCCAACGGAGCCAGCCAGCTGGTGATGACGCAGCGTTAGTATGTCGGCGCCAGCCTTTTCCGCCACAACGTCTTCCATCCGCGGCGGATGGAAGACTTTGTGGCGGAAAAGGGTCGCGGTAGCGGACCGTGACGTTCTGCATAGGCGGAGCAGTGAAGTCACCCCCAATTCGTCCAATGCATAATATAACGGCAAATGTCTGAAAGGTTCACATTGAAGAAATAAAGTATGCACAGCACCTGCGGACTGATTGGTTGATTGGTGATCCGCCGATGCACAACGTCACGGTCCGCTACAGCGACCCCGCGGATATGGTCTGCACTCTGCGAGGTCGCTGACAAGGCCAGATTGTGGTGGGGATTTTACGGTGAGTGCGGCATGGAGGACGTCATCCATGCTGTGCTTCATTGTCGATGTACAGCGACCCTCGTCATCCGCGGACGAGGCTCGCTGTTGCTCGACAATGAAGATGGACAGCGTGTCGGGGAGTGAAGCCGGACCGTAGAAGCCTTTCTGGACGTCATTTAATCACAGCCACCATTTGGTTAATGGTAAGCGGTTCGGCGACTGCGTGTGCCTTATACAGTATACTTCCATAATAAGTAGATCTTAATAACGCCATAACGGCATAAACGAAATCATAATTCGAGCGTTATGCAATGCTGGCATTGAGTCGTATCCGGAGCCTATTGACATTTTGCGCGAAAATGGAAAGCGCCCGGATGGAGCCACGCGCTGGAAGTGGTACCGGGGACAGCCTTTAGTATGGGACGTGACCTGCAGAGACACTATGGCAGATTCGTACATCGACGCGACCTCAAAGTGCGCTGGCGCCGCCGCCGAACTGGCTTTCAGAGACAAGATGGAAAAGTACAAGTCGATTATTGATCGCTGCTATTTTGTCCCGTTTGCATGCGAAACTTTTGGCACTTGGTGTAAGACCGGCAATGTTTCGTTAAAGGAGATTGGGAAAATAATGTTTATGAGGACGGGCGAGAGTCGCTCCACTTGTTTTTTGTTTCAGCGTTTAAGCTTAGAGATTATGCGTGGTAATGCTATGAGTGTGTTGTGCACAGTCCCTTCTCATGTAAATTGGGACAAATTCTTGATTTGATTGGTATCATTGAGCGAAGCTCGCTGTATAAATATTGAGAGATTAAATTTAATTTACGGTAGATCTCGTTGGCTCTGGAATATGAGTAGCAGCTTTTCTCATGTAAGCGTTACACGGTTGGAATTTGCACATTTGCAAGTCTAATAATTAAGTCCAGGCGAAAGGCGTGGCTAGTGTGGTCACGTGAAAAGCGACAGCAGCGCCACGGCGTTTCAGAGGGTAGCCGCAAATTCAAGTGCACTAGCCACCAGACTTGGGCCGCCTTTTTGCGGAGCGGGAAAATTCTCCGCCGTTCCCGCCCCTCCCCGCTTTTTTGGAGGGCGGGAGCGGGTGGAAGTTTTGAGTTTGGAGGGACGGGGCGGGGAGGAAAAAAGTGTGAGCGGGCGGAAGCGGGATTATTTCAAAGGCGGGCGGAGATCAAGCATAAAATAAAAGTTAACATCATTTACTGAAATATTTTCACTATTTTTTATAGAATTTCTAACGGTTTTTGCGGCGAAATTGCTTGCTGGCTTCGCGCGAAAATTGGCAACTGGTGTGGTCTTTGAACAGACATTTCTGAAAAAGAACACACGGAAAAAAATTAAAAAATGAAAAGCACTGAAAATTTTTTTCACAGTTTTGGCGGGCGGGTGGCGGGAAATTAAAATATGGCGGGCGGAAGTGGGAAATTTTTTTGTTACGGCGGGGCGGAGCGGGGCGGAAAATTTTAGCCAGAGCGGGGCGGGCGGAAAGCGGAGATGTCGTTGGCGGCCCAAGTCTGCTAGCCACAGGCTAGCTAAAACCATGGCTTGCAGTTTGATATGTAGTGTTGCCCATAAAAAAACTTAAATTTTCGGAACTTCATGTTATTATCGTTTTGATTTGCATCGTGTATCTAAACTGTGATAGCATACTACAAAAAGAACAACAGAAATCTGAATTCTTATCGTTCTTTACAGGGTCAAATTTGAACAGATAATAAGTTTTGCTTGATCCTAATTTACCTGTTTTGTGCATAATTTTATTGTCAATAATGTGATTTATGCTAGACTGTGATTTATGCGGAAACAAGTAAGTTATCAAATAAATTACCGCAAGTTTAAATTCGAGTGTTAACGCTGCAATATCGTGTTATCGTGTTATCAAATCGTGTTATCAAATATTGAAATTATTTCGCGTTTTTTGGAGAGTACATTTTCTAGGCGTCAAATCGCTTGTACGGTTAAAAATTATTTGTCCAAACATGCGCAATCTTCGGATTCATCTTTGACGCTGTATGCATTCAAAACTGCGGATTTTACTTTTGTATCTACCAGTGAAAATACTAGAGTAGTGATGTTAGTTAAAATATACTTTATAGAGTACACTGTATACAACATTACCTCGAACCATATTAAATTTTAATATCCTGAATGTAAGCCATGCGCTATAAAGAACTATAATGGTTATATATGCATTAATTATCTACTGTACATGTTATATGCCAAAACACACTTATGAACAGGTTGCAGTTAGTAATTTTCATGATGTTATTGTTGTTTATTTAATTTGCGACAGAGCATCAACAAAAATTCTGTTGTCTGCCGTGCCACAAAGACAAACGGGCACCGTATTCAGAACTTATCGCTAGCAAACAGTTTACAAGCACAATACGTGCTTCATCATTGCAGTGCCTGTGTGTCTGAAAATATCCGCCCGGAAATGAGTGCTGCTGTATGGTGGTGCATATATAAGCGTTTAACTACAGATCGTGGGCCACAACAGCCACGTTGTGCTTTTCAGAGTCGAAGACAGTATGCAGATTGGACATGTGTGAGTCACTGACCTGGCCATTTTTTTGTGCATCTGTCATACCTGAAATTTTTTTGTGGTATTAGTTTGATAGAGAATTTAAAGCTGCACAACTTTTTTCTCTGTATTTTTGCTTTACAGCGCAATACAAAGCGTACACAGGCCAAAATTTGCTTGGACATCGCACATTTCCCGTAGACGTCCATGTTATAGAAACTGCTGCAACCCTCTGAAATCGCTCGAAAGAGGCAGACCATATCACACCTCATTAGGGTTCTGCCTGAACCTAATTATAATATATTACAGACACAGCCTATCCAATATCCATATCCGTATAATATATTAGTTAGTATAGAAGCCGATGCTGAAGCAGTAGTGACTGAGAATGTGTGCCAGCCTTTATTGTTCTGTGGTGGTACATTTCAAGATCGTCGATACATGTACGTACAGACACTACACAGTAGTTCACAGTTTCACGAAAATAATCAAACAAAGTGTTACGTAATTGACAACACGGCAACATTTTGGCGCTGCAAAAAAGGGCAAGCCGACCTGCACATCACAAGAAGCAGGGAGAAAACTGTTAAAGGTCAGAATGGTTCTGTCTGCGCTGATCTTGTGAGTCTTTCTATCTTTAACGGGAAAAGATGGAAAGTTGAAGACTTAAAAGGTTAAGGAAAATGGCCCGGTACATGGTGTCAAAAACTGAATACATGCGCTTTCGCTACTAATACATACTAAAACTATACATACTAACTAATACTAAAACTAAAACTTTCGCTTTCGCGCACTCCGAATCACTACATACATACTAAAACTAATACATACTAAAACTTTCGCTTTCGCGCACTCCGAATCACTTTTTGTAATACTTCATGTCATTCTAAAGCTAAATGATTTGTATAAATTGCTCTGAAAACCATTTCCGCGCGCAACATCCGGTTGCCGAGATATGGTGTATTAAAATTGGTGAAAAGTTTAAATCCAATGGAGTGCACCAAAAGTCTGGTTATTACCCGATCTTCTTGAAACTTTGCTGTAAAGGACACGAAGAGTCACTTGTTTACGCCGATGACTGCTACTGTGTATAGTACAGACTGTACATACGGGAAAAATGCGTAATTAAGGGTTAGGAATCACTGAGCATCCTTGGAGGCTGGTCACATAATTCATCTAAAGAGAAAACTACGGACAACACAGAGGTCACACAAAGCCCGGTACTGTGCGATCCGACGAAGAGGAACCCCGGTATCCGGTAGCCCCTCGTCGGCCGGGACGCGCGGGCACTACTCCGGGCTCTCACTGGGCAGCGAACCTTGCCCGGGATTCGCCTAACGCGGTGCCACCTGCTGTCGCGCGAGCCGTTCCTCTGAAAATTTCCCGGTTGACCGCATCTGCTCCGCTTATGCGCCACATAATTAAATGTTTGACTTAAGATGACACAACACTATTGTCCTGGGGCGGTAGAGCGTGATGGGTAACCCGAGCTTTGTGTCGGCATCCGCGAGATTATGCCAACACTGACGCTCGCAGCTGATCATTGATTTTTTGTGGTAAACGTTTCTCTATCGAAAGCAAAACAGGTGCACTTTTATTAGCACTTGTCACCCTGTTGCCATTGTGTTTATTGATTTTATTGTCCCACCTGTGCATCCTGCTCATCCTTGTCAACAAGTCACGCTAGCAGTTTTAATTCAAACGGGACAACATTGATCCACCAAACAGCGTTTTAGTTCAACTTTTTCCTCGGCGCCAAACTTTCTCACGCTAAATTTCCTGGGAATGTAGCCGCGCCGACGATAATGAACGCTTCCAACTTGACCATTAATTCAACTACCACATTATGGGAAGCATACGCCGTGCCACTGTTATTCTGGTACTGCCTGATGGTGCTCCTGTGCGTCCTGGGGACCCTCTCCAGCCTGGCGGTTCTCCTGGCCATCCTCGCGTCCCGCAAACTCCGCGCCGGCTCCGGCGCCCTCATCGCCAACTTCCTTGTCGGCATCACCGTTCAGTGCGCCGTCTTCCTCCCGCTCTTCACCGCCTCCGTCGCCGGCGTCCCGCTCTCCTGCCCAGCCACCTTCTTCCCGTACTTCCTGTTGAACAAGGTCATCAGTCTGGCCGACATGATGATCGGCATCAACCGCTTCATCGCCATCTGCTTCCCCTACCGTTATTCCCTCTTCACCACCGCCCGCGTCCTCACCACCATGATCCTGCTGCCCTGGGGGGTCGCCTTGATTTATTCCCTGTTTTTATTGTTGGGCGTGAGCGGCCGCTTCGAGCCGCTGCCGCCGTGGCACGCCTGCGGGACCACCTTCTTCAGTGCGGCGGCCTCCTTCACGTCGACATTGATCGGGGTCATCGTGCCCATCGGGACGTTGGGGGTGCTGTTCGTGGCCATGTTCGGGGTGATGGGGGTGCGGCGGTGGATGGGAGGGGAGCGGGAGGGCGGGAAGGACGCGGCGCGGATGCAGGCGCTGCGCCGGAAGCGCTACCAGAGCGTGCGAATGCTCTTCGTGGCCTACGTGCTGTACTCGGCGTGTTTCATGCCCACGCAGATCGCCTCGTCCCTCTTTAGCCGGCAGTTTCAGACGGATCCCCTGCTGCAGCTGCTCTTCCGGGCCGTGGCCCTCCTGGGATACGCCACTGTACCGGTAAGGTTCTCCAGGACCAATAACTGCTTTGCAGCCTAACAAAAGTCTATTTCTTTGCCACGCCCTTCCCCATAATTTTAAAATTAATTTTAAAATTTTTAAAATTTATTTGAAAATCGGTAAAAAATGCTATGGATCTGATATTGGTTCACTTTCGACCTTATGGCCGTGTGTCTTTTACAGCAAAGTTTTCAAGAAGATCGGGTAATAACAAGACTTTTGGTACACAAGAATGCATTTAAACTTTTCGCCCATTTTAGTTCGCCATATCTCGGCAACCGGATGTTGCTCGCGCAAACGATTTTCAGAACAATATACCAAATCATTTAACAAAACAATTGAGTCGTCAGAATAAGTGCCAAAAGTTTCGCATGTAATGGGGACAAAATAACAGCGATCAGTAATCGATTTGTACTTCCCCATCTTGACGGTGAATGCCAGTTCAGCAGCGGCGCCCGCACACTTGGAGGTTGCGTCGATATAGGAGTCCGCCATCGTGTCTCTGCATGTCACGTCCCAAACTAACGGTTGTCCGCGGTACCATTTCCATCGCGTAGCTCCGTCCGGTCGCTTTCCGTTTTCTCGCAAAAATCCCACGGGCTCAGGATACGATTCAATGCCGGCATTACACAAGGTTCGCAGTACAATATCGTTTATACCGTTATGCCGTTCCCTTCTACCAACACCCTTTTGGCAGGCTAGTCCGTGGTATCCATTCTCCGTTACGTCTTTTCCACATCTGACGCATGAGTGAGGTTCTACGATCTTAGCGCCAAGCCACAGTCCAACCGAAATACGAAAAGTCTGATCATCCAGGAAATTGCCGAATACCTTTGCGGGAAGAGCATTAAGCCAGGCCCCGGCGTATTTTGTGCTGACTGCTCTCAAGCGCGCTTCAACTCGCTTTTCGTTACCAACATTTTTCCACAAGGCATCAACGTTTTTCTGTATCACAGCATTATCCCATACGCACTGATGAACACGCGCTAAATTCAATGGTAATTCATCACAGGCGGACTCCTGTTTCAACATTCACACGCGTCGTTGACCAACTTCTCACTATTGCCATTGTAGATCTGTAAAGTTAGCTGACTGGTCGAAAACACGGAGGCCAAAAGGCCGAGGAGCCAGTGCTTTCGCTCGTCGCACACCCAAACCTCCTTTGGCAACAGGGAGCATTGCCTGCGTGTAGACAGGTCCGTCCAATTTGGTGTTGGTGATTTCTTCCAATGTTACTTTGACGTGCCTGTCAAAATCATCCAGCAGCTCCGGCACTTTCCAACAAGGACTACAACGCAGGGTATACATCAGCTTTGGGATGGACAGGCAGTTCCGCAAGAGGTAGAATCCGTGATGGGCATTCAATAATTTTAAGCGTTCTGCAAAAGTTTTAGCGAAGCAATTTTCTGTTGCAGTGAATGAATTATCGCCTCATCAGTTAAAGGTGCACCAAGAAACGTTACCATTTCAGGCTGCAAAACAATCGCACCGGGAGCAATTGAATGCAGCCTGTTCTTGGCCACCTCGCGTTCTTCAGCACTTCCACCAATTAGTAGCATTTCGCACTTTGCAGGATTTAACTTAAGTCCAGCGGCGCTGCTGGCGGCGACGATAGCAGTCAGGTCGTCTGCAACTTCATCCACCGTACCTCCCAGAGCACCGTCGTCCAGGAAAAACACCCTTAATTTCGACAACAAACTGATGCAGAGCAGTAGGGAGACGAGGCAGTAGAGCAATGGGCCCATAGGATCACCCTGCTGGATCCCCGTGGCGGATGACAAATCCTCATCACTGCCACAACATGAGAGGACAGACGGCGCTCCATACGCACTTAAAACAAACGGGTAGTATTCTGGGAAGTGTTCTAGGACCGACTGCAACATAATATCACGACGGACAGTGTTAAATGCATTTCTGTAATCGATTTTGAATAAAACACGCAAGCCGTCGTGCTCTTCGTGAATAAAACTTCTGACTGCATGTACAGCCGCTTCTGCTCCACCACGTGTACCACATCCAACTTGAGTAGGGGTGAACAGTTCATTCGCTTTTTTCCCACAACGCTTTGTGACAATCTTTGCTGCTAGTCTTCGCAATACGTTACCCACAGCGATCGGCCGAACTCCGCCATCCTTCTTTGACAAAGCAATTAGGTTTGCGCCAAACAGAACAGGTCTCAGCACCTCCGGTAACTTGCCAGCAACGAGAAAATTAATCAGCTTGCACAATGCAATACATAGCGGAGACTCGACAGCATCTTTACAACTCAACATGTCCTTAAGGTGCTGCGGACGGAGACCATCCAAACCTCCTGCAGAACCGCTAGGAAAACTGAAAACGGCACTAATAACTTCAGCGGCCGTAACGGGGGGAAATGCAGGAATGTCATTGGCGCTAGGTGAGGGAAAATGAGTGTCCAAAGGTGCATCGGGATGCTTTGATCGTAGAACTGGCAAAACTTTGGCATCGATATTCAAAACACTTTCCTCCGACGCCAACCTGGCAACTGCCTTGTGAACAGAACACTCGTTAATACACGATTCAACCATACGGCGTAAGTGCTCTGCATCGTTTGTCGACCGGCTACCGCCACGGATACGGCTTGTGGGGGTGCTGCTGGGGGGAGACCTAACTCCGCTCTCAAAATCGCGTAGCTGTCGTCGAAAACGTCCGGTCAGAGATTCTTTTTTCTTTGACGAAACCTCTCCTTCCGTAGCAAAGCACTGAGACGCAAAAAGTAACAGAGATGTCCAATGGGCGACGGTGGGCTCCTTCACGCACTGCTCAACAGCCCTGGCAAAGGTTTCTGCTGCTTGTGCACGGGCCGCCCTGGGGATTCCTTTGTTAATTTTTCCCTTTTTTCTCGCATCCTTCAACAGATCGATGATGGTTTGGGGAGATGAAAGTGGAGGGAGTCCGCAGGTTGGGAGAAGGAGGTTGGGGGGGCGATCGGGATTTGCTCTAGCGTAGAGGACAAGTTTTTCGGGCAGGCATTCTTGTGGTTCCCCCATCCACGCAATTCCTTGCCGCATCCCGAGCATGAAAACGACTGTGGCGGCATAAGAGGCTGCAAACGACAGTAAAAAGGGCAGAAACAAAGTTCTACAGAACAGAAGATTTCGACCCAGAACCGAGGAAACGACGTACCCAAATTACCTGGGGTTCATTTTACATTCCCCCCAAGTAACTTTGTCGAAAGCCCGAACAGAATCACAGGAATCTTGCGTTCAAAATCCATCCAGCTCCGCGCGGATTGTCATAATAATGTAATAATAATAATAATAATAATAATAACTAACTACTAACTTGTTATAAGTAACTTGTTATAAGTATCAAGTACTTATTTAACTTGTTATGTTAAAAAATTCCTTGTAAATCATTAAGTCCAGGAGTTAAAGGAGATTGGTAAGAAGCTGTTCATGAGAACAGGCGAGAGTCGTTCCACTTGCTTTTTGTTTCAGCGTTTAAGTTTGGAGATTATGCGGGGCAACGCTATGAGCATATTGTGTACAGTCCCTTCTCATGTTAACTGGGACAAATTCTTCATCTGATTGTACTATACTGAGTGGTTCTCGTTGTTGTGCATATTGAAAAATAAAATGAAATTAATCATTTAGCTTTAGTGGCATAAAGTTATACAAAAAATTATTCGGACTGCGCGAAAGCGGAAGTTTTAGTGGCATATATCCCATTTTTGACACCATGTACCGGGCCGTTTCCCTTATTGTTAAGCAATTTAAACCGTTTAATTTTTAATTTTTTTAGGAGTGCTTTATGAGTGCTTGGCAAATATGTCATAGGCATTGGTATAAATGTACAATAGCACAGTGAAGCAGAGCAGTACATATAAAATTAACGCGTGAAGTGTAATTGTGCGTTTTGTAGTATTAAAATGAATTTGTTCAGCGCACTCCTTTTCACTATGCTGACAAAGCCAGCACTTGCGCTAACTTCATAAGCCGCAGTTGATTGTCGTATGTTGCAGATCATCTATCTGCTGATGAACGAGCAGTACCGGAAGCCGTGGCGCCGTGTGTGGCGAAGGTTTACCACCCGCTTCCGGGCGCGGACGCGCGTATCCGATGCGGCGCTCCGCCTAACGGCCACCGCCATCATCGCCAACCCAGAAACGACCTACAACGCCGGCCGTGATCCCGGCACCGTTGATTAATCTCCCTTAACCGGCACTTGCAGGGCAGGCCGTGATTCGCACATGTTACCATAAAAAGCGCTGACTTAGTTATGTACTGCAATGTAAATAAAGGTCACTATGCAGTCACTCAGACGGTGGTTCGTAATCAAAGAAAATGGTACCGACAAACAACCTTAACTGAATAATGTACTACACGTGATGTTGTCCTAATATAAATCCGCGCAGAACATGGCAGAGGTTAAATAACAAACAACGGGAAATTTCATTAGGTTGAAAGAGTGGCGTGAATGCGTTATGAAAGAGAATCCAATAAAGTGTGACACGCGTGCAGCCGTAGCGCTGCTCTGATAAATAACCGGCTTCGACGGGAAGCCGACGAAGTCGCCGCTACGTGGGTTGACGATGGGGAATTATTGAGCAGATGCTCCGAACTCCGCTGCTCAACACTCCGCCGGTACGTTGCATAATGCAGCAGGATCTGTACAAACTTGTCCCGTAATTTCTAACGTAAAGGTACAGACAGCAAGCATTCTGCGCGAAGTTTTGCGCTATGAACGGCTGCCACTACACTACGTCTACCACAACGACAAATTTATTCCTCTAAATATTCTAAGATAATTATAAAGATTATTACCGGTATTCTAAGATTATTATTTTGATTTACAAAATTTAATACTTATATTTTATAAAGGTTAATCTATTTTATATATTTTTATAATTATGAAGGTTAATATTTCATAAATTGTATGGATAGTAAATAGTTTAGATGAATATCTGGCGTTCATCAGAAGTGCCAAATGAATGTAGAGCGTAGACAGTATGGCGTGACGTGCCGTAGTAGGGAATTTGGCGCAACCCGTGAATTTGTATTTGTCGCTGTATTGATGCGTTAGAAATTACGGGACAAGCTTGTACGGTACAGCAGCTAGCACGGGTGCCAAGGGCGTGTACGTTATACCCGGTACACATAAACATTAAGCCAGCGGAAGTGATGCGCATATTGACCAGATGGGACCGGCAGCGAGTCTCACACACACTGCTTTATTGATGATGCGGCTGTCGTTGTTTATTAATCCGCCATCTATCCGCTACACCGCTTGATTCCCGATTAATCCTTAACCTCTCCCCGCTCGCATTCACATCCGCATCACACACCACCCGGAAACGCCAACACCGGCGTCTGTAGCATTATGTGAATTCTACTGTTTATGCTGGTGTTGGCTATGGATTTCGCGGTGGCGACTAATTATACCGCGGTTAATTGGAGCGCCGCGCACGCTCCATGGATTGTCTACCATACGGAATTGTTGATCTGGTATTACACGATGGTGACCCTTAGTGTGCTGGGCACCGTGTTCTGCCTGTTGGTGTTGACGGGGATTCTCTCGTCTCGCAAGCTCCGCTTTGGCTCCGGCGCCCTCATCGCTAATTTACTGGTCAGTCAAGGATTCAAATTCAGCCGCTTATGAGTTCTTAAAACTGAGATAAAATGTATAACTTTAAAGAAAGAATTTTTTTTCAATTATTTCTATTTATTTATTTTTATTACTTATTTTTTTCCAATAAGCGAAAATTTTCCAAAATAAATTCGGGAAAATTTTCGTTTCTGGTCGATTAAATAATTAAAAGTAAGTGACGTTATGTCTTTTGCTCATTATTAATTTTATTTCTATTCCACTCGTTTCTGGGATTACTTAAATATATTTATTACAATTTGTCATATAAAAAATACTCGTACATATGATAATATGAAAATTCAAAAAAGGACCGTATCGTATATGAAACTAAATGAACATTGTGTGAAAACTGCAACAATTTTTTTAGTTTTTAACGCATTCAAGCACATGAAGGCCGTTATTAATTTTAAAATGGCTTGTTTGAAAAAAGCTGTGTAACACGCTTCTTGCGGCTTATAAGTGGCGGCTGTGGCTCCCCCACGGTTTTCTTTAGTAAAAGGCGAAAGAATATCACGATATGTGCGGAAACCTGAATTTGATCTGGCGTTTGAAATACGAAATGATGGAACTGCCCTGTAGGTCAGCCTGCTGCTGCAGTGCGCCCTTTTCGTCCCCCTCGTCACCATCTCGACGGCCGGCATCCCGCTGGGCGTCAACACCCTGACCCACGCCAGCCGCAGCTTCTGCCGGCACTCCTTCGTGGGCTACTTTATCCTGAACAAGGTGGTCAGCATGGCCGACATGATGATCGGCATCAACCGCTTCGTGGCCATCTGCTTCCCGCACCACTACCCCCGCTGGACCACCCGCCCGGCGCTGGCGGTCATGATCGGCATCCCCTGGCTGCTGTCTCTAATCTTCGGCTTCGCCATCTACTTCCAGGTGGGCGGGGTCTTCCAGGCGTCGCCGCCGTGGGGCGCCTGCGCCGTGACCTTTGCCAGCGACGCCTCCTCCTGGCTGTCGCTGCTCATGGGCGTCCTGCTGCCCATCGGGACGCTGGGACTGCTCTTCTCCATCATCTTTATGGTGATTTTTGTGCGGTGGGTCAAGAGCCGGCAGAGCAGCGGCGATCATAACAGCAAGGAGTTCCTGCAGCGGCAGAATCTGCAGCGGAAGCGATACCAGAGTATACGGATGCTCTTCGTCTCGTATATCTGCTACTCGGCCTGCTTCATGCCCACGCAGATCGCTTCCGCCATGTTCGGCAAAGAGTTCCGCCTGTATCCGGTGCTGCAGCTGCTCCTGCGGGCGGTCGCGCTGCTCGGCTACGCTGTTGTACCGGTAAGGGGAGATTTATTTAACAAATTTAATTAAGTTCGAATTTCCTACATGTTCATTTACAAAAGAAATTTACTTGTTTATTTAACAAGTTTACTTGAGAGTGTTATAAAATTAGTTTAATAATGAATCTACTTAATAAAATTCAGTTTCGTAATTAATTTAGCTTATTAGATTGGATCTAAAATCTAAAAAGATCTTATTATTAAAAAGATTATTATTAAAAAGATATTATTATCTTATTAGATCTTAAAAATTGACTTAATTTAAAAATTATTAATATCTTGGAAAATAAAATATATATTATAATTAAAATTATGAAAATGTTTATCTAGGAGAAAATTCATTAAAGACATTTATTTGAGAAATTTTTCTAGTCAATTTAGGGATACTGAATTCGTAATGAATATGTATGGGCAAAATTTATTTCTTTCAACCTTACTTCACGTAAATGTATTGTTGCTACAGATAAACAACATTTTTGAATTCACAAATTTAATTATTGTAGTGCACCGTTCGATGCGCTGAGGTGCATAAGTATCGAATTTCAATCTGAATTATTCTAACGATTATTTCTGGTTTCTCCGTTATTTCTACATTGATCTGTTATTGCGATTTTTCATTGACGTGGTGAATGGCTGTGCGTAGGTGATTTATCTGGCGATGAATCGCGGTTACCGCAACCGACTGCATTACCTGTGCAAATTGACCAAATCAGTGTGCGGCGCCGACAGCGTCCGGCCGGTGGAAGCCGGCGAAACCATCGTCATGACAGACGGACCCCAACGGCCGGCTCGTGATCGCACGCTGGTGCTCATTGACTGAATTATTTTGTTATACGGACTATTGATGTACTGATGAAGGTTTCCATTGTCTCTATTGCCGACACATGTTTTTCGGAAAATATTTTCCTGCCAATTGTCCACGAAGTTATTGATCCGCTGGCGATTTGCTAACGCAGCCATTGTGACAGAAGGATTATTTTTACAGGAGATATATTTACATGGTTTATTTTTTGTACAAATATACTTGAAGCGGCCGTTTGTTGACAATTAAATTATCCTGCAATGTATATATGTTCAGTATTAACAAACGCTGTAATAGGTTACACAATCAGCCGGAAAATTGCCGGTTAGCTGCACGTGGCGCATTAGTCGTTAGCGCACCGGAAGTGCATTATCCCGGTCATTTATCAGCGATTGCCGGGCGAGGCCGGTATTTCCTTCTTAATCGGCCGCTTCTGTATGACATAGGCCGCACAGAAGCCGATCAGGACCGGCATGAGGATGACCGCGCCGACGATCCAGGCTAGTCCGGGCCAGTAAGTTTTGGTCTGCGCGAAGATGCTGCTGAAGATCAGCTGGGAAAACAAGGGCGCCGTGCCCAGCTGTGCGATCATGATCGTCACGACTTTGCCCATTTCGTGGCGCTCGGCGATGCCCATGATGATGGACTGCGCCGCCACCAGCGCCAGCATCCTATCAACAAAGATGACCGCGTTAGAATAATAAAAATTGTCTGGTCAGTTCGCGGTTAAAAGACTGAATAATAAAATCAACAAACAGCGTGCAACAGGAACATGCATGCGATGCGGATAAATCGCCGGTACTTTTTACTCTGTAAATCAGTTGGCTATTTAGCAGGCTAGAGTTGCGTCCGTTATCGGAATTCACCAGACTACAATTTTGGAATTAAAAATCCGGCAAGTTGCTTCGCGGTTCAAAATTGAATAATAAGACCAACAAACAGTGTTCAACAGGAACACATCCAATGCGCATAAATTGCCGGCGCTGGGTTTGAACAGAGAAGCCCTATACGCGCTTAAGGAAGCATTTCGTTATTCGTATAATGTACATTCTGTGCAGCCGACCGGGATCAATTTATTATTTAATCGCTGGGATTACATTACCGGAAGACGCCCACGGCCCCGGCAATGTACACCGTCCCCGGGGAATCGTCGAAACCGTAGACGAGGAGGGAAGCCATGGCGGAGAGGATGGCCAGCACGCCGAGCACCGCGTCCGGCATGTTCAGCTTCAGTTTCAGCAGCAGCACGGTTAACACCGTCACCACGCTCTCCACCACCCCCACCACCAGGTAGAACACCGTGAACTCCAGCAGCGTCCAGAAAAACGGCCCGAATTCCAGGTAGAACTGGTGCACGGAGATGTCCGCTGTAAAGGTCATGAAAAGGTCACCGGTTGTTTCACCACAGCGCCCAGAAATAAGAGGTCACAAAAAGGTCACCGGCTGTTTCACAGCAGCGCGCAGAAAGGAAAGATTTTGCGTACCGGAAATGCAGATGCCGATGAGCAGCAGGCAGAAGAGCATCACCCACAGCAGGAGACGGCGCCGCCCGGCGCGCGGGCGGGCGACGGCGTGCCAGCCGTCGTTGGCGCGGTGACACGCCAGGGCGCTGCCGCAGCGGCAGCGTTTGGGGCTGTGGAAGGGCGCCAGGTCATGGATGAAGAAGAAGACGTACAGAAAGCCGGCGAGGAAGAGCAGGGTGATGAGATAGAAGGGGGCGGAGTCGCCGTACGTCTCCAACATGTGACCGCCGAGAACGCCGCCGGCGTCACGGGAGACAGTGCGGAGGGCGACGATAACGGCGACGTTGATTGCGCGGTTAGCTTCCGTTGTGTAGTCGCCCAGGAAGCTGTATAGCGCCGTGTTGAAGCATAGCATGGCGCCGGTACAGTACTGCAAACGAATGCATGTTAACTGTGTAATTTTCCAATGTATATTATTTATATTGACTCAGTTTTAAATAATTTATTTACCATTTATTATGATTGTATAGAAAATTTGACAACTAAGTATATAAGATTTTAATTAATAAAATTTTAGATTATATTTTAACTTTTTCAATCAACGTTTTTAAAGAAAACAATAATCTACTTTTTAAAATTTATTTTAATGATTAACTAACCAGAAATTTTAACTAACCAGAAATTTTAATACGAGTATATCTGAGAAGCTCCTTAAATTTTATGTACGCTTAATTACGTATAACAGGAGCGTACGTAAAGGAAGGGAGTAACGAGGAGATAATACGCGGACATTTGGAAGTATGTATAAGCCGTGGTATAAGCGTAAGCCACCACGTAGCCGATGAAGGGAATGAACAGGAATATCTTCCGCCCAAATTCATCCGTCCACGAACCTTATAACGACCAAACTCCGCTCATGATCAATCATAAATGTTCGCAGTACGGCAGTATTTCGTCCTTACCTAGAAAAATGGAGAAGACGACGCAGGAGACGGCGTCGATGAGCGCTTCATACGTCTTGACCTGCATCATGCCCGTCTGCACCTCCACGGCGGCGGTCTCATTCATCAAATTACGACAGACATCCGGCGATAGTTGCAGATCCACCAAGCACACCTACAACGATACTTCCGGTTACCACCGTCACCGACCGATACCGGAAGTCTCTAACTTTCGTTCTTGGTTAATGAAAACATTTTTGGCAAATGCCTTTGCAGTAGTTTGTCTGACCTTGTTCTTCATCAACTCCATAAAGACCGGCTCGACCATCCCGCTGGCCAGCGCGTACAGCGCCATCACCGGCGAGGACCCCCGGGGGGTCTGGAATCTGGACGAGAGCGCCTTCTCTGTCGCAGAGAAAATCAAGTTGGTCTTGCCGCGTCGGGGGGAGAAGAGTTTCGCCTCTCTGCCCGACGGGAAGGCGAGGGAGTTAATTACGGTGCTGGCGGGGGGAAACGCCGCGGGAACCATGCTGCGTCCGCTCATACTGTCCGATGGCAATTTGCGCTTGGCTTCCAGTTCACGAGCAGCCGATGATCGCTGTTGGCTGGGCGTGAACCAGTCGGTGATTATGGATGATGAGGTGTTTTTGGATTACGTGAAGCATGAACTGATACCCGCTATGACTGCTCCCAAGGTACTGTCCCAGTTTTAAATTCCAGTTGTTCTTAGTTTTTTATATAAAATTTCTAAATTATTATTATTTATTTTTATATTTTTATTTATTGAACTATTATTTTTAATTATTATGGACCTGGTTTAAGCGAACTATTGTATGTTATAATCGGAAAAATTCGGAAAGTTGAGCACGTTACCTTTTAAGTTTTAATCCACGGAAGGGCACAGATTCTGTTGTTTTTTATGTTTAAATTTTGAGTGTGAAGTGTTGTCCCCGCGCTTGCACTTTATTTTATTTGGATAGGCTGTTGCCTAATAAAAATATTTTTAAATTGAATGTTTCGCGCTAAAGGGTATGTTATTACGAATTTGTTTGTACGAGCAAATTTTACTGGGTTTTGGGTTGCAGAATTTAATTATGCTGGACGGCCACAACAGCCATGTGTACAACGAGGACTTTCTGATGGAATGCGCCCAGTCGGGAAGGAACATCCGTGTGGTAATGTTCCCGGCTGGCCAAGCAACCAAAACCTACTCCCGGGATCTCAAAGTGTTCAGCCCGATTAAGCGCCACTGGAAGAATTATTTGAGCCATTCAGCCACCGAGCCGGTTAGTTGCGAATTTGCGGACACTGAAATTATTCAATAAAATCGGAACATTTCTCAAAATTTAATTAGACGCGTGACGTTAATTTGTAGGTGACCAGGGAGAATTTTGCGGCGTGTCTGATAGAAAACTGGAGCGGATCCATGGAATCCAGCGTGAAATCGGGGTTTGAAGAAGCCGGTATCTATCCGTGGGATCCCAGGATGGTCTGCAAAGACTTCCCTGGTTTTGCTTCGTACACACCACCGGTTGTTAAACTCCCGGCCAGCCGACTGTATGAAAAGGAATTTGAAGTTGTGCGAGCGAAACTCCGGCTGATTCCCATGTACTCGGACAGTGAGATCAGCCGGATCATTCGTTTCGCCCAGGATGTTCTGGATGAAGCCGAATCGGAAAACGACTGATTTAATGAGCCATTCGCGGTTGCGCCTTGTTATAGCAAGTCCTGATATGTCTTGATCTCTGAGCGCTTCAAAAACCAAATTGTGTAATAAAACTGATCAGTTAATAAAACGAACTACGTTGTGTAAAAAATTATTATAGCAATAAAATTTTAAACGGACTACGTAGAATCCGGACGCATGTAACAGGTTTGTAGGGAACTGTTCTATAACTTCCTCCGCGTTCAGGAAGTACTCACAGACACCACATGCCGGTTTCGACTGTCCACCAAAAAATTTACTACTTGCTTGAATTGTTGCGAGTTCATTTACTGCGGTTAACAAACTGCCTCGTGGCGATGCACCTGCAGTTTAACAAGCAGTTTAACACTTAAATTAATTATCCCGGCATTCTGCGCACAGAGGACACTGTACATGTGGTGTGCTCATCCACAACGGCAGTACTAAACGTGTGATCATATCCGGATGTTTACTGGTTACCGGACTAACGCGCCCTGCGGCGGTGGCTTTTCACACCGATCGGTGTCGAGTTTATTTCTTTAAACACCGCGCACAGTGCCCCACAGTATCTTGTATCCATTTTGAAAAATTAGGATATTTATTTCCGCACCATCATGCTTCTGTTGACGATCGTCTCGTTGTGCGTCTCCCTGGGAACGGCCGCCCGCAACGGCCAGCCGGACCGCGGCGATGGCGGACAGATGCCGGAACCGCACATCTCCCCGATGAACCAGGATCTGGAGCGCAATGTCGTGTCGGCGGCCGGTGGCGATCTGAACACCGGGAGTTTCGTCGAGTACTGGTACGTGGATAAACGGAATCAGCTTTTCCGCAAGGATTTCGATAAGGCCCGCGCCGAGAAGATGCTTAGTAATGTGCGTTTTGTCGACAACGCCTTCGACTCGTCGGTGTGGTATATTGGGACCGATGGGCAGCCGTACCGGCTGACGCCCGACAAGGAAACCGGCGAACTGGTACGTCGTAGAAAGCCGGTTATATTGTTAACAAATATGTGTACATGCACGTGTACTTCCGCTTTCGCGCGCTCCTGAACACGATTTTGCATAGTTTTATGACATTGTGTAGCCAAATGATTTATATGTACATTGGCAAGAAAACCGGCAAACGGCGCGCAACATCTGGTTTGGCAGTTATGGCTGTAAGAAAATTCTAAAAAGAATTTTCAAAATTTTTAAATTACTTCCAAAACCAAAACAAAAATGTTCCAACCCTGGTTTTTTTACTCTCATTACATTAAATGTGCTTTCGCTTTATTACGCTAAAATATGTTAGGTTCCCGGCGTTCCAAGGGGAACGACCTTCACCCGCCTGTCCCCGCGCAGTGTGGACGAGGCCCTGTTGGTGGCCAGCAACGGCCAGCTGTACCACTACGCCATGAAGGAGTTCGTGCCGGTGGACGGCGCCACCAACGCCAAGGACGCCGCGATGGGCAACGACGGCCTCCTGATGTACGCCACCCGCAACGGACAGCTGTTCCGCTGGAGCTGGGCCAGCAGCAGCTGGGAGGGGTACGAGCGCAAAGGTCACGGGGTGGCCGCCAACGACTTCGAGCATATCGTGATAGTGGACGCGCAGGGCAAGACGAAGAAGCGGGTAGACGGCCGCTGGAGGAACGTCAAGGACCGCTGCGACGATGTGGCTGTCTACTCGCCCACCGAGTTCCTCTGCGTCACGCCGGAAGGGGCGTTGCGAAACTGCAGTATTAGAAGGCAGACGGTTGACACTGATCGGCACGTGCTAAATAATCGATGCGCAGGGTTATTTTGCCGGCATCATATATTATATAACTGTCGTTGCTGGCACTTGTTAGTTGTTGATGGTTGTCGTGTACTTATTAAGAATTAACATTTACTATATGACACAATACTTTAACTTGAGCACTCTAGTACTTAACAGCTACAGCCTAACAAAACTAGTTTTTATGTACGAGTACGAGTACGAGTACTATTTACATAATTATTATTAGCATCGAAATACAGCGCGGGAATGCCCTGTCGGTTACATCAACTGTTCCACGTTCTGATGGTTTAAGTGCTGTTTACTTTGTTTTGTGATCTGTTTTTATGTATGATGTTAAACTGCTAGGTAATGACTAAACCAATAAATATTGATTATTATGTCCATATCACATATATAGTTATGTTCATATGCACGTACATATGTACGTAATGCAAACATAGTATTTTATATATAAACTGATGTACAATAATAAAACCTCGTGATATAACACTTACTGAGAAACGATACAATACAGTAACAGGTTTTCTATAAAAGTGAAAGATTTATACCACCTCAGCCGACTACGGAAATAGGCGGCCTAATTACATTACATGCAAACTTTACCTGTATACAAGTAGTAGTACCAGCATAATGTGCAGTATGCTGGTGTCGAGCTTCGCCAGACACATTTCATTATTACAGTATGTTTGTGTAAGATCAGTCAATTGTCCAAAGCTCGAAGGAAATTAATACCTCAGGCTTAGTATCCCAGCTCAGATTATAAGATATCGACACTTCCGGTACACCACGTATATACAAATAATTATTAGAATTATAGGCAACAGGAATGAATCCTGTAAAAGACTGAACGCGTAGGTTCATCTCGAGAGCGTTATCATTTCCGTTGATCCGTCATGGTACGGATCGCACAGTGGTTGTTGTCAGCGATATTTGAGAAGCGCTGCAGCGGATGAGTGGGAGATGTACAGTAAGTACGGCAATCCGTTCCGTTCCCGTCGGAACACGACACTTGTCTCGTTGGCTAATTAGACAAACACCTTAGTCCAATACGTATGTTTCCAGGTGGCGAATGTTGTCAACAATCTTTTAATGTAATGTTACCATAAGTCTGGATGTTAGTAGTAAATCTATTCCTCAGTGCTTAAATGTAAAAGGTGTCTACAGTGTTTAAGGGAAGTGGCCTGGTACATGTATCAAATTTGTGTACATATAGATATTATATGTGCGCGAAAACTTTTACTTTCGAGCACACCCAAACACTTTTTGGTGTTGTTTTTATGACATTCTGTTGCCAGATGATTTGTATACCTTAGTGTGAAAACCGATGGTGCGCGCAACATCCGGTTCGGGAGGTATGGCTGTAAGAAAATTCCAAAAAGTTTAAATGGATCCAGGGGTACCAGGAGTCTCACCCATTATGAACCAGTCTTGTTTAAATTTTGCACATCTATGCACGTAACGATAAGTATGAAGAGCGTTTTTACACCGACCCAGAGTTGTACCATTTTCTTCCACTTCTAAAATGAATTTTAGAATTTCTAAAATTCAATTTAAAATCTGAGAGAAATATCTGAACCGTGGTCAAGTGTAAAAAAGCTCTCCGTGCATTTATATGCAAAATTTAAAGGAAATCGCTCCATAATCGAACTTTTGCCTGGTACACCTGAATGCATTTTAACTTCTTGGAATATACACAAATCATCTGGCAAGTGGAAACACAATGCCATAAAATAAAGCAAAAAAATGTTCGGGGTGCGCAAAACGTATAACTATCGCGTAGATACACGAATTTGGTAGCATGTACCGGCCCACTTCCTTAATGTAAATTGTAAAGGTCATGCCATGGTCAATACAACGGTAAACGCCACGCTGATCGAGGTGTCCTTCCCGGTGCTCCTCTCCTGGTTCGTCCTGACCTCCGTCCTCCAGACCCTCGGGGGCCTGGCCATCATCCTCCTCTTAATCGCCATGTCCCGCCTCGGCCGATTACACACCGGCTCCGGGATCCTCATCGCCCACTACCAGCTGCTCCTCCTGCTCATGTGCTTCCTCCAGGCGCCCCTCAACAACACCACCTTCTTCCTCCTGCGCCTCCACCACCTCTGACCCTCCCCTGCCCCTTTATCTACTTCCTCTACGTCCTCAATTACTCCCTTATCGCCTGGGCCGACGCCGCGCTGGCCTTGAACCGGTTCACGGCCATCCTCCTCCCGCACCACTACCCGCGCGTCGCCTCCCGCCGGGCGGTGGTGCTACAGCTGGCCGTGTGTTGGACAATCGCCCTGGGGTGCGCGCTGCCGCAGTACCTGTCGCCGCGCATCCAGGTGGCGCTGCTGCCGTCCGGGGCCTGTAATATCGTCCGCTCTGAGGGGCGGTTGTTGTTTATGTTGGTGCTGCTGTCGCTGTATGTGCCGCTGGGCGCCGTGGGATTTTTATATAGCTTCGTCTTTCTCAGCCGGTACTGCAAGGTGTGCCGCAACCGGGTGATGGGTTTGAATGGGATTGTGGATGCGGTGTTTGTGGAGAAGATGCAGCGGCGCATCGCCACGGCGAAGATACTGTTCTACTCGTTTATCTGGTATTGCGTGTGTTTTATTCCGCTGTCGTTTATACCGTTGCTGTTGGCTGTGCCGCTGAACAGCGATATTCGAATTTTGCTCTGCACCAAGACCGTTTTTTATCTGGCTTTTGCTGCCGAACCGGTAAGGATTAAAAAATTACCTAGAGTAGTACATAATTACGCTAAGAAAAGGCGACAGTAGAAAAGTACATTAATACGACAAAATAACTCTGTTAATTTTATTTATATAAAGAATTTTTTGCCGGGTACGTACTGTATAAATAATTAATAAATTATAAACCCATGTATGAATAAACGCGACAGGTTCAGTTTGCATAAATGCACATAAATCTGTGCCCTGCAACCTTTACAGTTCACAGTGCTTCATGCTGCGTTTTGAAGCATCATTAAAAGCTTTAATCAAACGGTTCTCGGTTTATTGATGCCGGTTTCTGCGTAGGCTTTCTTTTACGCGATGAGTGGCCAATATCGTCGCGAAGCGCGGAATATCCTGATCCAGTTATGGCAGTGGCTGGTCTGCAGAAGGGTCCGCTTCCGGAAGAATGCGCCGTCCCCGGAAAAGACCGTGGATTTGAACGAAAGCCGCTTAACGCTAACGAGACCGACGGCGTACTTCCGGTCGGGATTCGATGTCAGCCGCTATTAAACGCTTAATTATCCTAACGATTGCTGGAATGTTTATCGTTAATTCGCTGCGCCGTAGATATCGATGAAACTAAATGCTCGATAAATAACCAGCTTGCTAACGCTGTGCTTGCTGCAAATAATCCGGCATGTCTTTATTGGGGATTCCGAATGCTTTGAGTAACCTGGATGCATAAGCGATATCACCGTCCAGTTGGCGTTTTTCCGCGGGATAAAACAGCTGACCTTTATTGACGTCCTGTGGGGTACGACTACGTTTGGCCGGTCCGTTGAGAGAGCGCATGACGCAGCGCACGCGTGCCGTATCCACCCGCACCAACAGGAAGCGGGCCAGCCGACGCAGTTCCCGTTGTGGATCATCTTTCAGGCGCTCAAAGAACGCCACCAGAACACTGCCGGGCGAGCTGACAACGGAGCGGATGGAGGGCAGCCAGGTGGCGCCCAGCTCGTGCACCATCACGTGGAAACCTGCCGACAGTAAACAGTATAGATATACTGTACATACTGTACACATGTACGGCCGTTGTGCTACGTATGACCGCTCACATCTCATAACGCTCCATATTCTTTTTACAAGAGCAGAACTGATGAGATTACTTCGACATTTTTCTTATGTTTTCTTAGGTTATCTTGCGTTTACAGGCGACACGAATTTGCTAGATATGACTTGACAAACAAAATTCGACTAGCCCATTTCGCAGTATTACGAAATGTTCACGTAACTTATAAGGCACGTTCACGTAACTTATAAGGCATGTTCACGTAACTTCTGGCGCCGCCAAAAGGGCAAGCCGACCTGCACATCACAAATAAAGCCTAATAACGATACACTGCGATCTGCCGATAAAATAGTGATACTTTTTCCGATCAACGACAGAAAAACGTCATGTAAACAAGGCTAGAATAAAACCGTATTTCGGTGTGGGAAATGGTATTTCAGCGCATTTCTCTGACTACGACCTTTTTGGACAGTCTCGAGCTGGAGTTGTCGTGGGCGGCTGGAGCTTGCGCATATATGCTGCATGTTGATATACATGCTGCATGTTGAGTTGATGTTGGTTGATGATCATAACACTGCCGCAAATGTGGAGTATAAGAACGATAACCACGATGTTCGTGCTAATCATTCTCCTACTCCACATCTGCGGTTAATGCAGAGTGATCCAGAGGAGAGCCGCAGTTTGCCACCGGAATAAAAACACTATGAGTGCCAGGCATTCAACCTGTTTCTTTCCCGGTGGCATACCTTTTCAGTTGATTTCTGTCGTTTGCAGGTCCGATGAGGAACGATACTATCATGACAAGAGATAATATCCGTTCTCCATGCAAGTTGGATACCATAGCTGTAATACTATGGTATCCGGCATGGAGAACGGTTGTTACCTCTTGTCATGATTGGCCGGCTCCTGGACCCATATCGGGCATTATCGGCATATCCCATGATCGACTGATTCGGGCTTTAAACTTTAAAGAAGATTGGGGCAGCAGCCAAATCGGAAAGCATATCGCTAAGTGTCGATCCGCTGCACCAATCCTGATGATATACTGCATCAATAAAATTACTTCCGGGGCACTGGAAGTACCGTAGAGTCCATGTTTATTCGGGTAAAGAACGATAACGGTGTATTAGTATGACGGCGTGCATTAAAGGCTCTCATATTTTCAGCACGCAGACAAATACTTTTTTTCTAAGAGTGAGTCTTGAAATTCATGATGGCGATCGCGATTCTTAATCGTCCATTATCGAAATCGTAGGTGAATTTACGGACTCGCGAGTTATAAAACCGACAAATGCAATGCTATAGCAAATGACACGCCGTGGGATCGCTTTCGCTATTAAAAAAAGTAGTTTTTCTTTATTATGGTCGTAGGTTGCTGAAAAAAAAACTTTCTCGCAATAAACAGCAATTTGAAAGGCTGCAACTGTTTTTAACTGATACTGCAAAGTGCACAACATAGCTCTAGTGATCAAATGCTGCTGCTAGTTAAGGGAAGTGGCCCGGTACATGGTACCAAATTTGTGTACATGCACCAAATCTTTCACTTTCGCGCACTCCCAAACACATTTTGTTTATTTTATGACATTCTGTAGCCAGAAGATGTGTAGAAGTATACACTGGCGTGAAAACCGTTTGTGCGCACAACAACCGGTTCGGCAGTTATGGCTGTTACAAAATTCCATAAAGTTTAAATCCATTTAGGTGTACCAAAAGTCTCATTATGGATCGATCTTCTTCAAATTTTGCACGTAAATGCGCATACCATGAGAAGCGTTTTTACACCGATCCACTGTTTTAGCATGTTTTTGAAATTTTACAATGAATTTCAAAAATTTTAAAATTCATTTTAAAATCTGAAAAAAATTATGGAACTCTGGATCCGTGTAAAAACGATCTTCATGGCCATGTGCATTTACGTGCAAAATTTGAAGGAGAGCAGTCCATATGAGACTTTTGGTACACCTGAATGCATTTAAACATTTTGGAATTTTGTTACCCCCATAACTCCGCAACCGGATGTTGCGCGCACAAACGGTTTTCACGCCAGTGTATACACATCATCTGGCTACAGAATGTCATAAAACAATAGAAAAGTGTGTTTGGGAGTGCGCGAAAGTGAAAGTTTTCGTGCTTGTACACGAATTTGATACCATGTACCGGGCCACTTCCCTTAAATTGAGAAACTTTTCAGCTAACGGAATTTTAACCAGTTTAAACTATTGGGAACTATTGAGAAGTACTATCGAAATAAAAAAAGACATCTGTTGAGGTGAAGTTCGTGAAGTTGCTATGTTAAAACAGCAGGAAACACTAAAATCCACGTTTTCTACGCAGCTATCTAGCAACGTAGAAACAGCATGTGAGCCATGACACATTCTATAGCAGATTTTACGGACACTGGAGATTTGGCATGGCGATCGCACATGCTATCACTGCGATAGCGAAAAAATTTCGCTATGGTATTTACGGACACGACTACGTGGGATCACAGTCGGACTCGCGGAATACAATTGCTACTGCAATCACCATCGTACACGTCATGGTAGACCATTTCAGGACGATCTCGTGTGCTATTCGTACTATCGCGGTCGTCATAGTAAATTTCAAGACTCACTCTAAGATGCCTTTTTATACAGTACTGTACAGTGTTTTCTTGCTGTTTATCGAAACACAGAAGAAGAGCGCATTGTAACGGCTTACCGCATGTATAATTAGCCGCAGCCGAGAGCGACAGTTTATCTAACGCGAGGCAGTACATGAGTGCCAGGTCGCAGCAAGGTTTCTACTTTCTTTCGTGTTAAAGTATTACTGTATTCGTATATCGGCAAGTGTTCGTCGGAACTGTACCGTACGTCGTGAGTGGTAGAGATCCGTTGTGGTGACGCCGGTGTGATTGCCTCCGGACGCCACCCGCTTAAACTCGGCGACCAGCGCGTCGTAAGGGTTGCGGATGAGGAGGATGGTCTTCGCCGCTTGGAGATGCTGCACAAAATGCGTCTTGACGGTCATCACGCCGTGTTGCCGGCCTTCGCAGACAAACCCTAAACACACGTCGGGCGATCAAGGCGATAACCGCAACGGTGTAAAACAACGCTCATTACCGGCTTTTTTTAGAGCGGCGTCGTGGTAGACACTGCCGGTGCAGACGCCGGTCAAGCGCTCGATCAGCCAGCGCAGCCACGTGTTGCCGCTGCCGGGCAGACTGAGCAGCGCCGTCTGCGGAACAACGGTGGTTCCCTTGGGCAGCGGCCGGGATCGATTACACACATCGCCTGCAAGAAAGAAGAACGTACACGATTTTTCCTGTTTTGTCATGCATGCTTAAACTAGAGTTACTTAATTACTCTAGAGTAGTGCCTATACGCAGCGCAAGCTTATTTTGCTAGAAGTTTGCGAACTGGCTACTATTTCAATTAAAGAGGTATACGTTGTATTTGTTTAATGTACGTATACGTGGAACTGTGGAAGCACTGCGGTGCGGTCCAGCACCGACCAGTAGCGTTAAGAATATAGGTCACGTTATCCCATTCCGTTAGGTTATCATCATTATCCGCTCCCGGGTTCGGTGGATCTTGGAGAGCGGTCCGCGTCTGCGGGCGGTGGAACACAACTAAGATTTGTAGACTGAAAATGGTGCATAACCATAGGGGAAGACTGCAAATGATGGACAGGGCAGGACCACAGCCGCGCTGGCGCATTTAGCTCCCGCTAATCACAATTCTCTGATCAACGTTATGCAAGCCAAACAGGCACTGCATTATTCGTGCTGCACAAAAGACCAATGTCGGCGTCGCAAGAATGATCTTCGTAGAATGCGAACAACGCAGTACCGGTTGATCACTGTAGAACGATTCTGCACATGGATTCTGCTGATCGAATAAACGCACGAAGGAGGTGAACGTCGGCGATCATACTATCAAGCGAGGAAACTTTCTTCACGTCACTCAACATATAACGCGCACTTCCGTGAAGCGCATCGTGGAGGAGCACTAGTGATTTGTTTATTACAGCGAGTACGGTATGCGAATATGTACACCGCGAAGACGAAGCGATACATCGTACGTTCAACCTGCATGAGTTGGTAAAATAAACTGTAATCGGCGTAATATTATGTTATGTTATTACTGATACTTGTATGCGCAGTGACAATCAACCAAGTATCTGTACGAAGTACTCCTAAGAACTAAATAATGCGAGGGCGGGCAACATTGCCGGCATCGGTGCTGCACGGAAAATGTAGGACGCGTAGTGGCTGAATGTTGCCGCGTGTCGCGTGGCAATGACCCTGTAATAAATTTGATCATCCGTAATACACTGTATATATCAGCTTTGTGAAGTAATTATGAAGCATGCAGTGCCGACACTAAAAATTACAACGGTAGCTACAACTTACTGAAGAAAAAAATTTTAAAAATATTGATCCGTCTGCGTGCTGAAATTTCGACCTTTAATTGAAATGTGAATTGCTGCGAGCACGCTGGACCAACAAGGCATGTTGCTTATACACTGCGATAAACGCAGTGTGAGCAGAGAAGCGGCTCACGTAAAGCGACAAAATCTTTCAAAGGATTTCAACGTATTGCGCCGTGGTGCAGTGGTACTGCCTACGCGGATCTAACGACGTAGCCGGGGTTCGATTCCCCCATCGGCGCCTTTTTCAGCCGTTTCTCGGTTTCCCTCGGATTGCGCCCTGCTGATTTGGTAGCAGATCAAGGTTCGGTACGTCCACTTCGCCTATGAGACCAGTGTGCTAACCTCGAACGGGAGGAACAGAGCAAAAATGAATAAAATGATAAAATGAAAAGAGAATGCGGTGAGCCGGAGCCGCCGCTTAAAGGATCGCTTAGTCTCGCTACGAGGACGTAGCGAAAGCTGCAAAGGGGGTGTGAGCAGAGAAGCGGCTCACGTAAAGCGACAAAATCTTTCAAAGGATTTCAACGTATTGCGCCGTGGTGCAGTGGTACTGCCTACGCGGATCTAACGACGTAGCCGGGGTTCGATTCCCCCATCGGCGCCTTTTTCAGCCGTTTCTCGGTTTCCCTCGGATTGCGCCCTGCTGATTGCAGCGATCGAGTTGATCTTGCCAGTAGCGCTCACGGTGCAGCTCACCATCCTGCCACTACGGGCGGTTGCCTTATCCGCTGTTATCGCACTTCCCCGAGTTAATTGTTTTACATGATTATTACTACAGTAACTGCATGTTACTATATTCCCGCAATATATTAACTAATATATGCCGGTAAGAAAAGTGTACTCTGTATATCGTACATTGCAGTATTGCACTAAGAACGCGGTCTGAGTTACTGGAAGCGCATGCAGGAAAGCCTACCGCGTACATATATAACGCAAGCCATGCCGGAATTTTCCATGTGTGTGGAAATAACCCGGATACGCGTGCGTTCTGCGTTCAAAGTGGCGCAAGCAGATTACGGTGCCGGCTTCTATACTCGCAGCGAGTGCCGGCAACGACACACGCTGAAATTCAGTAAACAGTCAAGTTTAAACTCCTCAACGAGATGCTCGCTAGCACGACTTATAACGCGCTTTTCAAGCACGCGCATCAGTGTTTGTGGAAACAGTATATAAGTCTCTTGCCGCTGACCAATTTGCTCAACTCCCGATCTCCTCCACGCAGCATGTCCGACGCCGGAAGTGCCGCGAAGACCTCCGACGCCGGAAGTGCCGCGAAAGACCAGCCGGGGTCCGTGCGCATCGGCCACCTGGACCCCCGCGACTACCACCTCCCGGTGGAATGGGGCCGGAAGGAGGGCTGGACGGTGCGCGACAGCGACGTCAAGCTGATCCTGGCCGTGGACCCCCGCGCCTGGTACGCCGCCAGCCTCAACAATGAAGTGGTCTCCCTTATGTGCGCTATTAATTACGATCCCAAATTCGCCACGGTCGGGTGTTTCATTACGCGGGAGGACCACCGGGAGAAGGGCGAGGGCTTCGGGGTGGCGGTGTTCGAGGCGGCGCTGGAGCACACCGGCGACCGCGTCACTCAGCTGTTCGCGCAGGAGGACGTGGCGGAGAAGTACGAGAAGAAGGGATTCGCGAAGGACGGGAATTCCGTGGTGCAGTACGAGCGGGAGCTGGATGACGGGTTCTGGAGGGGGTTTGATGCGAAGGAGTTCACCGCGGAGGGTGTCCAGTTGGAGAATATTAACCAGACGGATCTGGCGGACCTGGCCGCGTTCGACCGGAAGTACTTCCCGGCGTCCCGGGAGACGTTCCTCCGGGAGCTGGTGAAGGACGGGAAGATTAGCGGGCGGGTGGCGGTGCGCGGCGGGAAGGTGGCGGGGTACGGGACGATCCGGGATCTGGAGGAGGGCGTGTGGAAGATCGGGCCGCTGTACGCGGAAACACCGGAAGTGGCGGCGCACCTCTTCGCCGCGTTTCTGGACGAGAAGAAACCCCGGAAACTGCTGGTAGCGGTGCCCATCTCCAAGAACGGCAACGCCCGGAAGTTGGTGAAGCGGTTTGGGATGAAGGAGCAGGTGGAGGTGTTCGTCATGTACAGGAACGGCCGCCCGGAGGGGCTGGAGGAAGCCGGGATGTACGCGATTACCAACGCACAAATCGGATAATTTCGGGAAAGTTCATCCATTTAATTATGACTGTAGTATTTTCTTTGGAATCAGCAATAATTTTATAAATTTCTTGCTCCGTAAAAAATTAACAGTTATTCTGTTCCGGATTCAGAAAAACATTACTGTGTACAGATTACAATTTATATTGTTTATTGCAAACAGGGACTTGCTGCTGCATTGCGAAGTGTTTCGGATAATCGAGAACACTGATTAAATTTTTTTATGAATTATAGCAGCATTGATCGCAGTGTTCAAATATATCGCTTATACACATACGGCTCAGTGTTATGTACATATACATAACTACATGTATAACGTTTTGCACAATAGTTGTATTTCTCGTTTGTGTACACACGAATACTGCGTAATTGTCGCTAATGTTAACCGTGACGGTTTTGTTACTTGTCCACGTCAGTCCGCGTTATTCTTGTCAATTGTCAAGATGCGACACTGTTACGAGCGATTAGCGTGTTGGGCCACAGTCAGCTGAGCAAACAACTGGAATGGTTTAGACGGGACATAGGGCAATTCGGTGTACATGTCGTGGCTAACCGCTGACCTTGTGTACACACTGCACGGTGTAATGCGCGCATTCCTCGCACAAAGACCGCCAAGAGCGAGCGTGCCTGCCTGTATAGCCTGCCAGTCTCTACCTGCCTACCACCGGCGTTGTGTACTTGTATAAATGCCGGTACAGGTTGTTAACATTCTGCCTAAACATCTATGCAAAGCAGTTGACCCGCGCCCGGCAATAAACCGCTTACCGGCAAAATAATATCCGATCGGCCTGAAATTCCAAACGCCGAAAATACTGTTCCAGGAAAATGGATATCTTTTCTATCCGTGTGGTGGAAACAAAACCCGGGGAGTTTTTAGTCCGGCTTTAAGGAAAATAGCCGGTATATATTGCCAAAAATGGGATACATATACTACTGTACTAAAACTTGCATTTTCGCGCACTCCGAATAGCTGTTTAGTAATACTTATATCATTCTAAAGCTAAAATTAAGCTTTAGAATGATATAAAGTATTACAAACCAGTTATTAATGATTCGTATACTAATGATTCGTATACAAACCAGTTATTAATGATGGTAACCCTCGGTCGGGAGAGTTTTTGCGTCAGAGAATCAGTATTGAAATCCAACGTGGAAGTGCAGTGTCTGTCCTCGGAACATTTAGTGACATGAGAGACAGCGAAGATGTTTTTTTAGCTTTTAGATTGGCTGATCGGGAATGATTTGTACCCGATGTTGTTTTTCATGGCAGCTTTGCTGTGGTTTTGTTTATATGATTAAAATTATATCCATAAGGAAAAAATTCGTATACTCGTACATTGTTCTGAAAACCGTTTGCTCGCCCAACATCCGGTTGCGGGATTTAACGGGAGAAGCGTCATGTTCTACTTCTTTTCTCAAGCAGCGTTTTAGTCTAGCTGTTGTTAAAGGAAATGCTACAGTTTCGAGTACGTTAGTTTTTAAACGGAGGGAAGACAGGGACTTTGGCTGTTTTTTTAATGTTTAAATTTTAAGTGTTGAGTAATGTACCGGCGCTTGTAATTGTTGTTATTTGGGTGGTTTTGCCTAAGAATTATTTTCATATACTTTTACTATCATCTGCGTAAGCGCGCGAAGGGCACGCGTATATATAAAATCTCCAAATACATACATAATAGAAGTATGCACTGCGGTGATAAACGTTCTTATAATTACTTGGGTGCAGTGTAAGAAGTACAACCGTATAAAATTTTACAAGTGCACGGTTTTCTTCGAGTACATGTCGCACATTTTGTGTTTGGAATGTAAATACACGTACAAGTGCAGCTGTATAAAAGAAATTGCCGGTAATTAGATCCCTTTTTTATGAGCGGTAACTGGAAACCGATGCTCAAGATTTAGCCATCAGCAGTGATGAAGCGATTTGTGCGGCGGGACGCGGCCAACGCTGGACGCTGGGTGCGGGATCGAATTGTACGATGGACACGATTAGTATGCATGGCGGCGCAGGGCTAATCATAATGAGGCGCTTAATGGGCTGCTCGAGCGATGGTCAGGGCAGGCGCTGCATGCCGGGCACAAACAAATAAACAGTCCGCGACAGATGACTGTTTACCTTGCGGCCACTCTTTGCCCGTTACAGCGCTCGTGTATAATCATGTGCAGATGACCATCCGCAGTCCGCAGCGGCGCAGTGGAGCGCGTCGCGACGCTCGCTGGACAGTGTCCATATTAAAGTGCGCATTATGCTAATGGACGCCATGATTATCCTGCGCCTCATGCGCGTTTACACTCTTTGACATTAACACCTGCTCCACGTGTCCCGTCATCGATGCGGTATATTGTCTGCAATTTTAAACTCAACGCCGCTCAATTCACAATCTGGCTTTCATGATAATTATGTGCAAGTACGTTGCAGTTTGTCCTAGTGTTGAAAGTCAAACTGTTTTGGCCGTTTTCAAAATGATTTGAAACGAGGTTTTGAAAGAAACGTATTTTTTCGAATATTTTTTCGGTTGTAAACCGAACTGCAAATCAAACTGGTTTAAAATGAAATCTGAAATTAAAGAAAATTCCGGCGAATTTTATTAATAAAATTGCTGTTTACTTTGGTGAATTTCAGTTTGGTGTTGCAGAAAAAAAATCCCATCTTTCGTCGATCAGGTTTCGATCTATAACGTATAAATATTTATTTATGCATATTGGATGTGTTCCTGTCGTGCGCTGTTTGTTGATTCTATTATCACATTTTTGAACCGTCAACCGACCGACCCAATTCCATTTTTTATAGCCCATTGTCAAATGTATCCGTACATCATACATATACAGGAACAAAATAAATTTGTCAGGGATATTTTGTTTAAAAAATTATACATTTAAGCTAAGAAAATCTGTGGAGAAAATCCGCTTAATTTGAGCAATTCCCGTAGTCATATAAAAAAATCAATAAACTCGTTCTGGCCGAAAGAAAGAAAATTTCGTACGAAAATAAAACTGCCACCGGTGGCGCAGAGGAATCACTGTCCCATCCCTTATATCCTATTCCTCGCTGATGTCGTACAGCAGCTCCACGGCGCCGCTGACCGGAAGGCGGACGATATTCCGCAGATGATTGTCCTCGCCGCGGTGGTCGTAGAAGCTCTCTAAATAAAGCGTGGCAGTGTCGCCGGTGTCCGGGAGGGCGAAGCACTGCCGGTTGGCCGCGGCGGACTGCGGGGCGAAGACCGGCTGGAGGCGGCGCTCGTGCTGCAGGAAGACCAGGACGTTCTTCAGGTCGGGCAGGTCGGTGGTCAGGCAGATGCGCCGGGGAGTGGGGGCGGTGGGGGCGCGGAAGGAGGGCGGGTGGAGGGTGAGGCGGACGGCGCCGTCGGGGTACAGCCATCTGATGCGGCCGGAAGCGCAGCGCAGGGTCACGTGCTGGACACTGCCGGCGGATACCACGCCCGGGTCCAACCTGCCCACAGCAGAAAAAATGAATAACCGATTTATAATAAGAAACGTTTTCCGCGTTTTAATAAGAACGTTTTTTTTTAATAAAAAGCGAAAGAATAAATTACCGATTTCTAATAAGAAACGATCTCCGCGTTTTACTTGCCAATTCGTAATAAATTAAAAAATATATTCAGTATAGTAAAATAATTCAACTCTTGACATAATTTTATCTTTTATTTTTTTCCGACTGTTATTGTACATATTTGAAAAAATATATGAATAAATTACGTAATTGATTTACTTGTCGAATAATCCAGCGCATTTCTGCTTTACTTGCCGGTTCGTAATCATTTCTGAAAAATTACAGTGACCCTTTTATTTTTCAACGAAGTCATCAAAGCGTTTATTTTATGCGCCGATTCTTACTAACTTTAAAAGCTATAATATTCGCACGAATGCAGGACTTAATTTACTTTACGAAGAAATCAATTTATTTTACTCATTTGATTTTATTACTGTTCAATGGTGGAGGTCAATTACATTTGGGTAACCGTTGCGCGTCGGGTAACGGGGAAACGCGTAAAAAACGTGACGTAACAGCGCGTAAGCAAGTAAGCATTCTGATTCGTGATCACAAAATCTGGGATGGGTTTTTAGCTTACTTGTCCGCGTAAGCGTTGCGCTTCGACGTCGAAGCGCAACCGTTACCCAAACTACGAGTAACTCGCGCCTCTCCTGCACAGATCGACACAATTTTTGTTTGTTTGAACTAAAAGTGCATCCACCGACCCAGATTCACACTCCAAAATTCATAATTAACTTTTTTGACGTAATACCACATTTACCACATTACAGCACCAACAGTTACCCAAATGTAATTGACCTCCACCATTTATTTATTTTATTCACCGGTTCTAAATTTCGAGTTCCTAATCATTCAAAAATGTACATGTAGAAACTTAGCTTATTTCAAAGTAATCCAAAAATACGTTCATTTTATTTGCTGGTTCGTAAAAAAATTCGAAAAACAAATGAACTTATTTTCCCGAAAATCTATTTTACCCAGTACATTAATTTATTTCCACGAATTTTCGAATCCTTCAAGTGCTGTCATTATTAATTAACGTCTCCAGTGTTCCTGCTGCCTATCACTACGCTATTTGTGCAGAGCGTCTGGCATTTTGTAACAAATCGCTCGGACGTGTCAAAAATTTGGAGAAGATAAACTTTACTCGTCGTCGTTTTACTGTGGATAATCAGGTGCAGTGATGGGTGGAGTGACCCGTAATAACAAGGCCGCACTGGGGACATTAAATATCCCGATACTCCGCAGTGTACATTTATCGCGGCTGGCCAACTGGCCGGTGTCGGCGCGGCGGCGGAGCGCGTCCAACCGCCATCAATCAATTACCGATAATCAGTGCAATCAGCTTAATAAATCAGAGTGCCTGCTGCATTGTCCCGGCCTTTGGCCGGCGTTTGCCGCCAAACATCCGCTGACTGCTTATTTAACTCCGCAAGACGACTAATGCCAACTCTGGATCTGGCATTAATTAAGCCCAACGCACATATCACTCGCGCCTCATAATTATCATTCTTCCACCATCTCCACTCGCGTTAAACCACAGCGAGAAGAGACGCGAGAGAAAAAAGCCCCAACGGCTTCGTGATAAGACGCTTGTGTGGCGATTAGCTGTGGCGTTTTGTCTGCCCGGCTAATCGCATTAGCGCAGCTGTGTGATCATTATTCTGCCTGTCATAAAACAGAGCACGGCTCTAATTTCTCCTTCGTCTCCGTGACAATCCCCAGGAAAAACACAGTCACAACGGTAATTGCCTCAAGTGGGATTATGCGCGACATCGTGTTTTATCGCATTCATCAAGCATCGCTGCTTGTACACAGCGTATTACGCTGAATATTCTACGGGACGCAATTATCATGCAAATGACGAACGGAAGAGGTCATCCACTTACGCGCTGTCGCGCTTGATCAAGGAGAACTAGAACAGTGCCGGTTTTCAGCCTGACTGACTGGCTAAAGTGCCGGCAGAGATTAAACGGCGGTTTTGTCAAAACCACGATCACGCCGCTCTTCTTCGCGGCAACCGCGCAATAAATACCGACTATGCGCCAATTACGTTTAAGAGCAAAACGATGCCGCTGACAGCCTGTTTCTGCTTCTATAATTCCAGCGTTTTACGGGGATAGTGAAGTACTGAAGTTATAATGATGAGCGTAATAATTATTCCGTATTCTACCGATTTACTGGATTTTCATAAAAACCCGGTTTTCCTAAAAGACGTACAACGGAAGGCGCAAAAAACCGCAGAACCATCGGCAGCATTTTACTTTTTAGTTGTCATTGATTACGAAAAAGGATTTTGATAAGGAGGGAAACGAAAACGCAAAAACGTACTAGTAAAGCTGCCGTTCGGTACACAATAAAATAGATAAAAAACCGTAAGGTCAGAAGAATTACGCTGCAGTTCACTTACGTTCCAACCCAGTCGCAACCGTCCAAAACCGGCTCGGACGATACGGCAGAATCTCTCCGGATGACGCTACCGTTATCCATCAAAACCGGTGCGGCCATAATAAAATGCCCTCCAATCAGGCAAAATCCCAGTAAAAGCACTAACGATGTCCGCGTTAATCCACGGTAATGGCATGAATCCTCCGATATCATGGTGGGAACGGGAAGCGGTAAAGCAAAATAATCAGGGAAAAATTAGCCGACACCAGGACATTTTCCCGTGGCGGAAACAAGCGACGGGAATCCGGAAGAAATCAGGCCGGGCAATAGTCAATACGGAAGAAATTATCCGGAACGCGGGGCACAATCAGCGATTATGCGGTGGTGCCGTTCTGCTGAATAAATCAGAGCCCGTCGGTTGTCGTGAAAGTGCACTGGACATATCAGCTGACACTGTGCCAAACTGCCTGCTGCGCACTAGCAGCCTGTTGCACGAGTCTCTCTGTCTCGCTGAGTCTCTGTGCCTCGGTCTGGGACGGTTACTCGTATAGCCGGCTTTAGCGGATATATGCGTATATGCGATAAGCCAGTCAGCGCTGAACAACGGCCGGGCACAAAGACTTTGAAACGTGATTCGAAGATTAATGGGCCACACTTGTCAGTCTTTAGCCCGAGAAAAGAGAGAAGGAGAGAAAGCGTCTCGGCGCAGCGGGCGTGTTTTCTGGCTAAGAAAAGGCACAAGGAGCAAATAGGGCGCCAAACGCGCGGAGCATTGTAACCTTTGCTTTGTTCAGCGCCCAAATGGCTTTTGTTATTATGACATGGCTGAAATCAGCGCTGGTTAATTTGTTTATAATTTAAGGTAATAAGTACTTAATTTCTTTAGCGATCAAAATCCTACACATCATGTCAGACATATTGCAGTTTTTGTTCCTTTTAGCCACATTTCGCGGTGGAATCTCGGTGCATTAACAACACGTCCCAAAACAAAGCTGCCGAACAGAAAAACTGAAGATACAGTATTACATGCTTATTTATATATATCAACCTTTATTGAGTTCCGTATGCTGTTATGCTGTTATAGATTTTACTAGTACGGTACGTGTTTTCGATGGTGCAAAAGATAAGCGTCCATCCCTTTTTCCGCTTGCATGAGTCAACGCGGTATGCGGCACTGCAGCAGCATTCCGCCTGTCCTGACTCAGCCGCACACTTCCATTTTTTCGGCCCAGACGGCTAATCGTTCCATGCAATCGCCGTAATTTTAATGAATGTACTCGGACTAACAATTACGATTAGTTTTCGCTGTGAGTTTAACAACGATCATATAGCTGTCCATTCCATTTCCCAACGAATTATGTTTACAAGTTGATTAGCTCGCTGCTTGTTTTAAGTACAGTATTATGCTATCTGCAGTTATTGTGATTCGGTGATATTAATAAAATCAGGATTAATTAAATCGGTGATTATTGTGCGGCCACCATGGCGATGATTGGCTTCCTGACGGGATTAATTCTCATCTTCGTTCTGTTTATTTTTCTGCAGCATTATTTATGTGACGGTACGCGGGACTTCTGCGCTGAACGATCTAGACCAAAAACGCATTACTGTACTGCCGGACAGCTTGCGCTGTTTACATACTTTACACCGGTGATAAGGATTTGGATATACTCGTACCTAAATCACAGTGTTTAATTGGTGAATTGTCGTGATCTTGCAGCGAGTAATCCATGTGCGGCGGAGCAGTCATGCGGGAAATGCCTGCAAGCGGATCCTCGCTGCGCCTGGTGTGCGGCCGATCTGCAGGTACAATTATATTTGGCTATATTGTTCTTGTCACGCTGCGGGCGTAAATAGAATACCGGGACTGCTGGAGCGTCGGACAAATTATTATAAGGTCAATGTTGCGGTGCAGATGTATAATGCGTCGCTGCGGTGTAATTTGCTGGAGAACATGGAGACTTCCGGCTGTCCACCAGGTCATGTCGTCTTTCCGCTCAACGATCTGACCGTTACACAGGTATGACCAATGACGCAGTCTTGAAACACGCGCTTATATGTACAATTATACGTATAAATAACGGAAAATTTATGCAATTTTCAGGATGAGGAACTGACGAAACGCGTGCAACTGGGACCGCAGAAAGTGCAAACCCATTTACGTGTCGGTACGACATTCCCCGCCTTAATTAATTGTGATTATAAATGGGCATCGTTAATTATACGCAGGCAGTTCGTCGGTGATTTCGGTGAAGTTTCGGCAGGCCAAAGATTATCCCATCGATATTTATTTCCTCACTGACGCGTCCAACACGATGGCCGGCTACAAGACGCACTTGTCAGACATCGCTTCCACCATTGGTTAGTACTTAGTAAGGTTCGCTACGACGCCACGTTTGGCCGGTGATTTAATTTGCGTAATCTCTGCAGCGGACTCGCTACTCGACGTGACGGATGACTTCCGGTTGGGTTTCGGCACATTCGTCGACAAGCCCACGTTGCCCTTCATCCACACCGTGCGTAGCGAGTGAGTACCCTAGGTCTGCTGTGCGCATTTCCGGTCGTCAACGTAATTCCGCTTCTTTTTAGTCCGTCGCCCGCGTGCGCCGGTTGCGATTTCGCCTACAGCTTCCGGCACCGGATGAACCTGACCAGCGAAACCGGCCAGTTCCAGGTAAAAAGAAATATCACTGTAATTTGTAATTATATTGATTTTAAACGCAGTGGATGCCGATATAGGAGCTGATGCGGAAAACCAGAACGGCCGGTAATTTCGACCATCCGGAAGGCGGATTTGACGGATTGATGCAGGCGATTGCGTGCACGGTACAACGCTTCTTCTGGCAGAATTAGCAGGATATGTATGAGAAGAATATCTGTTACCGCAGGAATTAATTGGATGGAGGAACCATTCGCGGCGCATCATCGTCTTCGCCACGGATGCGGCGTTCCATTACGCCGGCGACGGCAAGGTATGTTAACAAAAATTTCATCCTTTTGCCGCGTAATTAAAGCGGTATTTTGCAGTTGGCAGGTATCGTCGTTCCCAATGACGGGAAATGTCACATGGCGTATAACGAGCGGGAGAAGGTGTGGGACTACACGGAGGACCTGAAACAGGTACGCCGCTCTGAACTAACCGTCGCTCTTCATGCCGGTTGAAATTCGGTTCTGTCGGCAGGATTATCCGTCGGTGCAGGAAATCAACCGCGCCGTCAAACGCAAGAACATCCACGTCATCTTCGCTGTGCCGGATACCGTCCAGGACCTGTACAAACAGCTGAGCGGCGCCGTCAGCGGCTCGGTAGTCGGCCAGCTGAGCAGCCAGTCCGACAACATTGTGGAGGTGGTCAAGAACCAGTACAACGTAAGCCGGCCTCCCTGATATGCTTTTTATTACCCAATCTGTTCTTCTGTATATCAAAAATGCATGTATAGAAAAATATATGCAAAAAGAGCATATAAAAATTAAAACATATGTGTGTATTATACACATATATTTTATATACATTATATACATAATATGATATTATATATACAGTATAGATAGAATGATATATAGAAAAAATATATATGTGGTGGTATATATCTGTACATATACTTTATATAACTCATATACATATATTATATATACAGTATATATAGAAAGATATATAGAAAATATCTATATATATGTTGTGGTTTATATAGAAAATCCGTTCGGCGGTGACCCTGACGCACGATGCCCCGGATTTTTTTAAAGTGTCCTTCCAAAGCCAGTGTCTCCAGGCGGAAGTCAGCAATACATCGTCCTGCGAGGGACTGAAAACGGGATCCGAGGTGGGACGTGATCAGCAGTGTTTTACTGTAGCAGGTAACGTAATGTAAATTTAATATAGGTGGCGTGGAATGTGACTATTGAGCTCCTGCGCTGCCCGGTCGACGGCCCCGTGAAAGGTCAGTTCCGTATCTGGGCGCGCGGCCTGAGCGACGAAGTGGTGGTGCAGTACAGCGCCCTCTGTCAGTGCGACTGCGCCCTGCCGGAGAACCAGGCGCCGAGCAGTGCGGTGTGCAGCGGGCATGGCGATCTGGGCTGCGGCGTGTGTCAGTGTCATGAAGGGTATGATGGGCAGCGCTGCCAGTGCCGGCTCAGCGACAAGTACACCTTCGACGACAAATTCAAGGGATGCGTCGTGTAGGTCCAAATTTGCTGATGTCTTCGTTGTACGTAGAAACTGTTGATTTATCGGCTGATTAAATTGCAGGCCTAATGCGACCGTTCGGAGCATCTGTTCGGGGCGGGGCCAGTGCGTGTGTGGCCAGTGTCAGTGCGACATTCGCGAGGTAAGGCTTTCCATTTTTTTATATTTCCACAATGCAGTCTGGTTAATTCCGATAACGAACGAGACTTTAGCCTGCCAAATAGCCAAATCATTTACAATATAAGGATTTGTCTTCCGCGGACCGACTAGCCATTTTTGTCCTACATTAAAGCGATTTTTGAACAGAATCCGGAAGAAAAAGTCTACGGCGAATTCTGCCAGCACGATAATTTCAATTGCGAAAAGGTCAACGGTCAGCTGTGCAGCGGTAAGACCAGATCCTGTTGTCTCCCGCTGATGGTGTTATTACGGGAGGTTGTTTTAAAGGTCACGGCAGTTGCGACAAAGGCGTCTGCTCCTGCGCCCCGGGCTGGACGGGGCCGTCTTGCGCCTGCACGACCTCCCTGGAGCCCTGCAAGACCAAATCCGGGAAGGTATGCAACGGGCACGGCGTGTGCAAGTGCGGGAAATGCCACTGCAACCAGGAGGGCGAGCACCGCTACGGCGGCCCCAAGTGCCAGGAGTGCCCGTCCTGCCCAACCACGTGCCAGCGACTGGAGCGTTGCGTCGCCTGCTGGGACTTCCAGGCGGAGCAGCCGTTGGTTAACGGGTCGACGGCCTTCAAAGCCAACGTAAACCACAGCGAGAGCGGATGTCCGGCGGAATGCCTGGAGCACCGGGCCACCTTCGCCGAGGTCCTCGTTGGTAAGCCGGCACTTTTGGCACCTGGTGTATGTAGATGCTAATGTGTTGTTTTTCTAGTGGATATGCCGGGCGAGCGGGCCTGCTCGTACCGCGACACCAGCCAGGGATTCTGCACGGTGCACTACACGCACTACGAGAGTGACGCGACGGGTGAGCTGATCGTGGAGGTGCTAAAGCAGCGAGGTACGGTGCAATGTTGGCACGCTGGCGAGGTTCGGAAGTGTTACTTGCCGGTTTGTTGCAGAGTGCCCGGTGGGCGTGAACCCCTACCTGATCGTCGGCTCGCTGGTGGCCGGCATCCTCTTCATGGGGATTATGCTGCTGTGCGCCTGGAAGGTCGTCCTCGTCGTCTACGACCGCCAGCAGGTGGCCAAGTTCGAGAAGGAGACCGCCGAGGCCTGCTTCGAGGATGTACGTTTTGCGTGTAGAAAATAATTAATGCTGATTAAGTCTGCGTGAATGACGACGCTACGTTGTGGCGCAGGTGTCGACCATCCACCAGTCGGCCACGGTGACCTACCGCAACCCCGCCTACCGCCGCAGTCTGGCCGCCCGCCAATCACGCATATCCAAGTTATGAGCCATGCCATGTGCAGCTGTTCTGTGATGTTGAACCCGGCAGCGTTTAATGCGGCACTCATGTCTGAACGAACCCAAAAGACCGTAAATTTGTACTTTATCCCGGAAGCCAAGCCGGCAAATGCCGTCCATCTCCCGCAATATTTTTACATGTGTAATAACGGTGCTAACCTCGTACCAGATCAGCTGTCCTTTTCTAGTCCAATTTTTTATCGTGCTATCCGTGTACACGAACCGCGAGGTTGCTGCATTATAATTTTGCCGGTTTCAGGATGCTCAGTCACCGAAAAGCGCAAATTTAGTATTCAAAACTTTATCCAAATGAGAATGCCAGGCAAACGTTCTCACTCATAGGATGTTTTTGATTTCCTGCTTTGTACAATACATATTCCCATAAATATGCTGGATGAAGTTACGAATATTCCCTAACGCCTATAATATTAACCACAGCCGATAATTCATTAATCAAAATTAGTTTCGTTATGCTCGTTTCGTTTCGAAAATTCTTTAGTTTCGTTATTTGAAATTAAAGCGGTAAATGACCTTATTTTTCTAATTGAAAGATGTCTACTTACTACTGATAAACGTTGTGCAACAATGGCTCCAGTCGTAAGCCTGTGCCGTTCATTCCGATATACGAGTACATACAATGTAGGACTAAATGGTCGCATAGCCCCATACCCAGCATTCTGTACGCAAGCGGTGCAGTGCACTTGTACGAAACGGATATTTTGATCTCAGTCGTACAGTGCACTGCGCTGCATTCGTACTGAATGTGGAGATGTTGGGTATGCGACCATTTTGTCCTAAGCTGTACTTCTATGTATGAACACTGTACAGATGCTACGCACTGGCGCATAACGTGCACGTGAAAATTAGATAAATTTGCGGCGCATACAGCCGGCGACATCACGCAGACCACGGCTGAATGGCAACAATGCCAGTAGTTACGCGCAGCGCGGCGATGAGCAAGAAGGGAAGTTGCCGCACAATCGCCGTTACATCACGACCTTCACACTCGGCAAACGCCGGCAGCTTTTGCGCTGGAGAACACAACCCGATCAGTCTATTTTCCTTTTCGACTGCAGCCAGGAAATATCACTGGAATTTCTTTAGCGGATATATACAATCATGTCGGACGATTTCGAGAACGACCTGACCGGTTCCTACGTGCGCTTCGTCGGCGACGGCCTGGACGGCGAAGTGTCCATCTCTCCGTCTCCGGAAGGGGGCGCTCCTATCCGGAAACCCGTCTCCCCCAGCGAGGACAACCTCCAACGCCTGTACGCCCTCTTCCGACCGTTGCGACTGGTGATGGGATGTCTGGGCCTATGGCACCCCTCCCTCGACGACCTCCAACAGGCCCCGCCCGCTCACCGCTGCACCTCCACCACCCGCTTCCTCTTCCTGGGCCTCTCCGTTGCCAACATGACGTACAGTTTCTGCAACTTCGCCCTACTCTTCCTGTCGCGCCCCGCCGGCCGCATCACCTCCTGGGAGTGGAGCGTCTACGTCGTCCTGGTCATCTGGCCGCTGCAGGCCTGTCTCATGACCTTGCTCCATTTTTGGCTGTTTGAATGGGAGTTTGTCGGGGCCCTGTGGCGCGTGTGGGCGGAAGCGGTGACGGTTCGCATCGGGGCGGAACAGTGGGAGCGGCTCGGACGGCTGCGGAATCTGTATATGGCCGGTGCCGGTAAGTGTCGGATGACCGGGTAGTCTGGTTAATTCCGATGACAAACGAGAATCTGCTGAACAGCCAACGGTCTTTAATATACAGCTCTCGATATATGTTACATTTACGCCATGACCTTGTAATCGTATATACGCTATTTATACGCCGCAAACATATTTACGTATTTACGTATACGAGTGGATGTCGGAAGCGCACCTAGATAATCCCCTGTATTGCTGCCGTCACCCACCTGGAGTGTGACGTTACGGCAGTACATATGGCTAAATATGGCGCAGTACATAAGCACCATGTACAGCCACAGCGTCATGCTCCAGCCTGCTGACGGCAGCAAGTACAGGGATTATTTAGGCGAGCCACTGACATCCCCTCTTATACTGTATATTAACGTTATATAAGCGCCGTGACCTTTCGGTTATATATACGCCGTATTTACGTACATGTATATTAAAGTTATATACGTCGTGACCTTTTGGTTGTATATACGCTATATATACGCCGTATATATATTTACGTTATATGTACACCGTGACCTTTCGGTTGTAGTGGCCGCGACGGCGTTGCTGACCGGCTTCGTCCTCATCGGGATGACCAGTTCCGGTCAAGCCGGCGCCTTTCTGCACACCTTCCTGAGCTTCGACTTCAGTACGCCGCTGATGGTGGTCAACTTCACGGTGCTTACCATGGTCATCGTGGCCACCGCCTCCTTCACCACCGTCTTCTTCGTCCTGCACTGCCACATCGTCGCCGGCTCCTTAATGTCGGTGTATGCCAGCATGGAACGCCGGGTGACCAACAACACCGTCTTCACCGAGAACGTGCTGGTAAAATTAAGTCTAAATTTGTGGGGTGTTTCGGAAAATTAAGGATGAAGTTGCCTGTAGGTCGGGGAGCGCGACATGTCGGTGCTGGAGTACTTCCGGCAGCAGCGCAACTGGAGCAAGAAAATGGTGGACGCCATGGACCGCGCCTTCCGCCACATCTCTTCCTCAACTACCTGGCCAATGTGCCGCTTATCGTCTTCATCATGTACGCGCTGATCACGCACATCCGCGACAATCCCCTGATGATCGGCGCCTGCTGCGTCAGTATCCTGGCGGCCTTCGCGCAGGTGGCCGCCGTCTCCTTTGCCGCTGCCTGGATCCATAAATGGGTAACGCTGGCCATTGCAAAATTACAGTATCCCGCTTATACTTTAATTAAATAGCCAGTTGATTCACAGGCCAGCAAACCGAAAGAATTGCTTCATGATATGCGCATCCCCAAAGGTCAATATCCCAACCTATCCGACACCGCTTCTGTAAGTTTTTCTCAAACAGCGAATTTAGTTTAGTTGTTGTTAAATGAAATTCTCCCTGCGGCTGTTTATAGAAAGTTTATATTTTTGGGCTTGTTTATGATAAGACGTTGCTTTTCTAATGTTTAAATTTTTACTAACAGGTAGTGTACCCGCGCTTGCAGCTGTTGTTTATTGAGTGGCTAGTGCTACATGTATGTTTATCAATGCTAACATGCGCAACGTCTATCGTATACACATTTTAGGTGCAAAAATTACTTTTGAAACAGCAATATTTTTTCCAGCTGACGTTGCTGCTGGACGAAGTGGGCGAAGAGTACATCGGTGTGACCGCGTGGCGCCTTGTGGTCATCACCAAGAAATTTATCGTCACGGTACGGTTCTGCAATTCCTGCTAAAAAATTTCCAGAATATTTAAATGCGTGTTTACAAATATTATTATATTGCAGGCGCTGGGTCTGATAATCAGCTACATCATTATCCTCTACGAATTCGGCCACCTCAACGAAGTGCTGCAACACGTGGAGGAGCTCAGCGCCAGCACGAAGCGCATCACCAGCCACCTCCAGGGGACGCAGTTAGGCGCTCGCAATGCCACATAAAACGCGTATCGTCACTTTGACCGGGATTGCATGAGTTAATCAACCGGAAACGGAAATAAGTGCAGTACAGTGCAATAAGAAGTACAGTACAGACTAAACACCGGCTGTTCCTCTAAGAATTATTTTTAATTTGATTTTAAGGCACCAACTATAGTGTCTGGTTGTAGTCGTGAGAAGTTGGAATGGAAATAAGTTACGGTATGTTTAGTACAATAGTAATGACGAAGCATCTGTCAGTGTTTGCTCTGAACCGGCGCTATTTCTTTATTGCTTATTATTACACTGAAAAACTGCACATTGTACTGGCGTGTTTGACGAGTAAGCGCCGTCGGGATGATTAAATTTATGGCTGGCAGAATAAAGAAAGCAGTTAGTGGAATGTCGTATATATGTACTTTACGATCCGGCAGTGTATAGTACAGACTACGGAGTAAAACGAGTTTAGCGTGATTCACAAAAAACTCCACCGGTTAATAAACATCAAGCGGTGCTACCTGAATCAGCTCACCTATTCTGGCGCTACTGCTACTGGCGTATTAAGCCGGTACACGCGCACTCGCACACCTTATCGTCAGCTTAATTGCCCATGTACACAGAATCATACAACGGTGTAAAAAGCAGCGAGCTATCTTTAAGACAGCGGACGTATGCCAGACCGGTAACGCGCGGCAGCGGAAGTGATTACACATGAAATCATATTGATCAAATATTGATGCTGACTGTGTGACGCGGCGTTATCCCAGCTGCGGCTGTGATCTTCCCTGCCTGTTATTGCTCAATCCCGTGCGCCTAAACGCCGCTTGTCCCTCTAAGAATTAAGTACCCGCGCTTCGGTAATTCGCCAGGATGGTGCACATGGAGATGGAGTTGGCGCCGCACCACAAGCACCACCACCACTCCGGCGAGAACACCACCATCCACCTGCGCGACGCCCTGAAGGACGAGCACAGCGAGAAGGAGTACGACCAGATCCACCGGCTCTTCCGGCCGGTGATGATCGTCCTGGGCCTGCTGGGACTGTGGCATCCCAGTCCCCGCGAGTGCTCCGACGATATACCGGAAAGGTACCGGTTTAGTCGCGCCGCGCGCTGGTTCTTCATCTTCTGCTCGGTGTGCAATTTCTCCTTCACGCTGGCCAATTTTATTATGCTGTTGGTGGCGCATCCCGCCACGCAGATGCGGCATCTGACGTATAATGTGTATATTATCTTGACGGTGTGGTCGGCGTACGCGTGCGTCCTGTCCATGCTGCACTTCCGGATTTGCGAGAAGGGTTGGTTGTTTGAGATGTGGGAGCTGTGGGTGTACTGGGCACGGCTGCCGCGATACAGAAATTGGGATCGGATGAAGAATGTCAGGAATTTGTACCTGATCGTTGCAGGTAATGCAACGTAAATTACGTAATTTAATATAAATAATATATACTAAAATATATATATATTATAAAAATATAAAAATATATAATTATTAAGATATATATAAATAAATATATATATATATATATATATAATATAATATATAATATAATAATATATATACCGATGTAATAATATATATACCGAATATCATAATATATATATATCGTTTTGGTACCGAATCAGCTTTCTACCATTTTTTTCAAATTTTAAAATGAATTTCAAAAATTTTAAAAATTAATTTAAAATTTGAAAAAAATGGTAGAAATGACCAAAATGATCTTCATAGTAATGTGCGTTTTCGTGCAAAATTTGAAGAGCATCGGTTCATAATGAGACTTTTGGTACACCTCCGCGCGTTTAAACTTTTGGAACTTTATTTCCACTAATATCTCCCGAACCGGATGTTGCGCGCACACACGGTTTTTTCGCCTATGTATACGAATCCTTTGGCTACAAAATATCATAAAACCATGCAAAAAAGAGTTTGGGAATGCGCGACAGCGAAAGTTGCCGTGGATGTATTCAAATTTTGTGCTATGTACCGGGCCAAATCCCTTAATTTAATTTATCATTTCTTCGATTTACCGTTTTTCAAAGAAAATTAATTGCAATTATTTTTTGACGAGTTCGCGTGCGGGATTTTAGAATTTGAGTTTCCAATTGAGTTTTTGCTTGAAAGTAGGGTGTCATAATTATATGGTTAAGAACTCATACTTCCGTGATGGCTCAGTTTTGCACGGTTTTAACGCACTACACGACTGGAAATTCTTTTGGACACCGTGATAATCGTAACAGTATTTTAATGAACAACCATTGTTATGCATGCACTCAACTGTTATTTGTTGGACGAGGAATTAAGGTAGCCGCAGGGAGTTTATATTCCGTACGCGCGAGTACATTTTGCAGTACACACACCGGCTGCTTGACATGCACAACCGGTTCTCTCGCATCAACAAACACGGCTGTATAATGCACGAGAATGCCGGCTGATCATCCACGGCATTCCGTGCGACACATGTATCATTAGCCGGCAGCTACCGGCATCGTCCTGATGGGAATGTTAACGCCGACAAAATTCATAATTATGTAATGAGAAATATATATGTTGCAGCGGCCGTGACCATAGCGCCGACGGTGATCGTGGGTGTCGGCCAGGGCGGCGCCCATCCAGGGGAGTTTCTGGAGAAGAGCGTGCTGCGGACGCTGGAGAAGAGCACGCCGGCGCTGGACCACATCCTCTTCTCCATCGATCTGACGGCGCTGACCTTTATCATGTACGGCACGGCCGCCTTCACCACCGCCTTCTTTCTTACGCAGTGCCTTATCGTCCGCGAGGAGCTGTGTGCGTTATACGAGATGATCGAGGAAAAGCTGGATACCGGCAAAGTCTGGAACAACGTCCGCGTAAGTCCGTCAACGCCCTGTTAAACAAAAGTCGCCCTTACGGACATTTTTGATACGACATAATCACTATAAATAGTTTTGTAAATATTGGCCAATCATATATGTGCACCGAGACGTTTGGTTTTTATTACAATGCATTTGTCAATCTATATATGTGCGGGTGACCTTTGGTATACAATAGATGCATTTTTTATCAGGCAATAGCCAATTAACATAACAAACAAGCCGGCACTGATAGGCACTAATAAAAGATGTATTAATTAACTGGTATATATACACCGTGACCTTTAGGAGCACGACGAGGAGATCTCGGTGCTGGAGCAGCTGCGGCGGCGCCGGCTGGAGTGCCGCAACATGGTGGAGGCCATGGACAAGACCTTCGAGCACACGGCCTTCCTCAGCATCTTCGCCAACGTCCCGCTCATCGTCTTCATCGCCTACGCCATCATGGTCCACCCCCACGCCAACATCTTCGTCCACGGACTCTGCGTCATCGCGTTGCTCCTGTCGCTGTTCCAGGTCTTCGCCGTCAGTATCGGCGCGGCATGGATCAACAAATGGGTACGGTGGAGTTTGCGCGACTTTCGCGGGAATGTATATAATTATAACAATTTTGCAGGCGGACGCTCCCAAACGACTCCTTCATACCCTGAAGATCCACAATTATTTAAAGATGACCCGCCCTAATCAAGCCAGTGTAGGAAATGTGACCTTGGATTCTTTTGTGATCTTTCTTAAAGAAATTTTTTTCCTTGCAGTTGTCGCTGTTTTTGAGCGAGCTGACGTCGGAATCGCTGGGCATTACGGCATGGGAACTCACCATTATCACTAAGGAGTTTGTCGCAACGGTAATTGTTTTTTGCAGTGTTATGAGAGATGTGCCTAATGGGATTGTACATGCAGGTAATTGGTTTGGCCGTCAGCTACATCATCGTGCTGTATGAGTTTGGCCACATGAACGAGCTGATCGACAAGACGGAGGAGATCAGTCACCGGCTGAGGAATCTCACGGCGCTGACCGTGGGCGAAAGCGGTTTGGAAATGTCGGAAGGCGGCGAAACGGAATGATGAACGGGACTGACTGCTGTACAGACTATCCTTCCATAACGAAATGCTGATTTTGTAGTTCAGAATCTGACATGTCAGGCACTCCTCTTGCCGTATCTGTGATACTACAACGTGCCCTTTTACTCGAACAAATAATACTCCTTCTACAAATTTATCACTTAGTGGTTTCATAAAAGATGATGTTAGTTAATGTATTGCGCTCTTTAACTGAATAAGCAAGTCCTTTCGGTGATAAAAGATTTTATCCTTTGATTGAGTGACAATCTCCGCAAACAGCGCACATACTGTATGTGTATGAAGAAAATAAAAAGCGAATTTCAGAAACCAGGTTAGCGATCACAGCACAGTTCATTTCCAGATTTTTGATTCCGAGGTAAAATCAAGGGGATGTGGATTATACACACTATTACACAGTCTTAAATTAATAGAATGAGAATGTTTCGGTTCTGTGCATTCACGTACACTCCATTCTGATTAAAATCAGTACGCCGCGGTGCTAATACGTACAGCAAGTACAGTCCGCATATAAGATAACTACAGGAACTGCAGCAAGTTTGAACAAAAATTAGGTAGCGGGATGTGTTGGTGAAAAAAAGCGGCGGGATAAATTATTAATGCTGACAAGTGGTTACTACGAAAGGCATATAAGTCACGTTATAAGTCACGTGACCGGTTCGACCTTCCAACGCCCCCAACACTCATCTCCGGCATCGCAGCCGGTCGACACACGCCCGGCGTAGATCGTCCAGCGAGGCGATAAACAGCAGCGGATCCAGCAGGGAATGCAGCATCTTCAGCAGATTCCCGGTGCGATAGAAGACCGAATTATCCTGCAGACTGGGAGCCAAGTAATAGGCGTTCAGCGGCGTCCAGCAGATGACCACGCTGACCGTTAGTAAAACCAACACACGAGACTGTTCTGCCGCTTCACCCGCTTCTCCGCGTCCGGGTCGGTACTGCCGGTGCCGGTAGCCTTGTGGGTGGAGTCGGTGGGCGGGGCCTGGGACGTCTGCACCCGCCGGAAGTTGGCGCGGTGGACCAGCAACACCGGGCACAGCAGGACGATGAGCACTTCCGGCACGACGAGGAAGATGACGTTGAAGGCCAACGTCCACTCTGCAAAACCGCGTTGCTCCAGATTGAACAAGCAGAAAGCGATGTGGAAAGGTTTATGCTTGTAAAGAGTGTCGAGGATGACGACCGGGAGGACAGAGCCGACGATGATGACCCCGGTGACCGTGCACACCATCACCGCTACGCGGCGGGTATGGCGCAGCCGGTAGGAGTGTGGTTGCAGTAATGCCCATAACCGGTTGAGGCCGACGAAGAGGTGGAGCAGCGGGACGAAGGCCACGGCCGTCTGGCGCAGGAAGCTGCTGATGACGCAGTAGACGGTGAACTGCAGCGGTGCCACGAAACGGTCCTTGATGGCGACGGTCAGCGGGTTCTGGCACCAGGCGTTGACGATATTGCCGGCGGCCAGGACGATCAGATAGACGGCGAAGGAGGTGCGTAGGGGGCGCTCCAGGATGAAGATGACCAGGAAGAAGCCGTTGAGGAGGATGGTCAGCAGGCAGATGGCCATTGTGCTGATCTGCACCGGGTTGACGTCGGCCAGCAGCTTCCAGGAAAAGTAGGCGGAGCTCTGGTGACTGCTGGTGTTGCTCGATAGATTACTCGACATTTTAATTGCGGAGTAATTATAATCAGAGTCGCACGCGGGTTTTCTTAAAGCAAATCGGGAAACGGATGGATTATCTAGAGCAAAAACTGCAAAAGTGGTAAAGGTCACGTTGCAGGCGGTGTGTGATGTATACGGAATTCGAAGCGCAAAAAGCGCGATAGTATTAGTAGCGACATTAAGTAGATGAATAAGCTAACTAAGCCGACCCTTTGGCACTTGCCCTGCATTTTAAAGGTCACAGCAAGGAATTCCGAGAAATGTTTTGGCTTGATGGAATGTCGTCCCGTTGCTGCGGCGGATCGGCTGGCCTGGCGCGCCCGTGGGCGAAAATATAATCCTGAGGATCAAGACCAACTCCCCCATGGTGTGTATTACGCTGGCCTTTCTCTTCCACGGTGAAGAAACCCGCGTGCATGGCAATGGCAAACAACCGAACGGAGGGGCGGGTTGTTGACAAGTGCTCGAAGAAGAGAAAGATTACTCGACCTTGGAATCCTTTTCATATCCTAATGTATCTGCCTGTCTTTAGAAATAATATACATGTATGTAAACGCACCACAACAACATAACGCGCAATATGACAGGCGTGCGGTATAGGGTATACCCACGTGACTGATTAATCCTAGATTAAGGGAAGTGTCCCCAGACATGCTGCGACACGTGCACTTTCGCTTTCGCTCACTCCCGAACACTTTTCTGTCTGCTGCAGCCGTTGCAGGCGGTGTGTGATGTATACGGAATTCGAAGCGCAAAAAGCGCGATAGTATTAGTAGCGACATTAAGTAGATGAATAAGCTAACTAAGCCGACCCTTTGGCACTTGCCCTGCATTTTAAAGGTCACAGCAAGGAATTCCGAGAAATGTTTTGGCTTGATGGAATGTCGTCCCGTTGCTGCGGCGGATCGGCTGGCCTGGCGCGCCCGTGGGCGAATATATAATCCTGAGGATCAAGACCAACTCCCCCATGGTGTGTATTACGCTGGCCTTTCTCTTCCACGGTGAAGAAACCCGCGTGCATGGCACTGGCAAACAACCGAACCGAGGGGCGGGTTGTTGACAAGTGCTCGAAGAAGAGAAAGATTACTCGACCTTGGAATCCTCTTTCATATCCTAAATGCATTTGCCTGTCTTTAGAAATAATACACATGTATGTAAACGCGCCACAACAACATAACGCGCAATTTGACAGGCGTGCGGTATACCCACGTGACTGATTAATCCTAGATTAAGGGAAATGTCCCCATACATGGTACGACACGTGCACTGTCGCTTTCGCTCACTCCCGAACACTTTTCTGTCTGCTGCAGCCGCCCGAACGTAGCGCGGCAACATCAGTTTCGAAAACAATTCATGAAAACAACAAATTTTGTTTAATGCTGCCGCTCTTCTATTGTCCCGAGCACGGAAGCGGCGTTGCCCCGGTGAATTCCCAGCGACAGTCGCTGACGGAGAAACGCATGAGAGCGAGGCATACTCGTTTACAGTTGGAGTCGCTTGCCGGTTTCTTTCACCAAAATGGTGGCTGGCTTTCTCCCAGCTGCCGTGTTGCAGGGATTGAACATTTGTTGATTAAACACTGGCAAAGTCCCTTCGAGTGTACATGTTGCGGTTGCGGTACTTTCCGTAATGCTTCACAACGCTCTGGTAGTATAATAGCAACCGGCTTCGCCGGCCATAAAAAGTATGGGGGATCGAGCAATGCCTGGACTTGCTGCCGTCAGCCGGTGTCAGAATGCCGTCCCGCTCTGCGATATGGAATTTCTTCCCTACTCGCAACGTGACAGGGGCCTGATGGCCAACCGGCAACAGGACAGACAGGATGACCTTTGGTGTCACTTACGCTTGTGCTCTTTTCTCAGTTAAAATAAGAGGATGCACAGACACAGGGCTCGGGCTAGGCACAATCACTTTGACCTTTCATAGTTTTCAAATATAGTTCCCCTGCTTGGATTCTATACTAATAAATAATATACATACATAATTATACAAGGAACAGTTTCGGCTTCGCCTCCAGTCTGCACAATACGCGTCTTCCACAATAACAACAAACATGCGCTGGAAATTATTATGCAGTTAGGCCTGAATGGTTGCGCAGTTGCGAAACCATATTTTTGGTTGCGCATTTCTTTGCTTGTCATTGGAAAGAAATTGAAAAGCAAAGGCGCGCCTCGCTGGTACATATACCCCAAATAGGTCCACACTCCACAGTGATAATTAACTTCTGCCTGGAATGTCCTAGACGCCGATGATCAGTCAGCGTGTGTCTGAATCTGAATCGGGGATTTAATCAGTTGGTCAATGCAACTGATTGTGCAATGGCAAACAAACATGTTCATACCTATCAAAGCGCCTTTTCTGTTTCCCATTCTGATCTTGCACAGTAGGCCGCACTTGGCAGTGGCATATAAAAGCAGAGGTCAGGCCGACGGGGATGCGTTCCCGTTTCCGCGGAATCAGAAGAATGCAGTGCAGCTCGTCGGCGGTCCGGCGAGACAGCACTGTACATGCATATATGCCAGCGGTTGACCTTTCCCATTATTCTTTCATGCACAAACAACCCGCCTCGGCTGTTCGCCTGCGTCACACCGGTTTCTCGCTGTGCAACAGAAAGGTTAGCGTGGACTGGGAATTGTGCTGACAAAGCCCGGGATTGTATTCCGACCGGAAGTGCGGCGTGTCAGCTGATCAGGCTCCAGGTAGCGCGGTGGGGCTTTCCCCGAAATACAAATGTATAATATTATTCAAAATATATTTTTGATTATCTGACCTATGCAGCGAATATAAGCACCATCGTGACGGCCAACCGATACCGTTAATTTGGCTGCATCACTTCATTAACGCGGCGGTATTCTGTTCTCCAGTTTCTTAATTACATCACCCGCGCTGTTTTTATGTAACAATATTTTGCCTATTTAATCTCGCATTCGACTGTCCTACTGCGCAGATTCTCTGGATTCGGCTTGAGAAGAAAATTCCTTGATTTGTCTGGTTAATTAGGAAGTGGGTGTACTGAGTTGTGGTGTTTAAATACGCTGCTGTATTCTGGCTTAAAGCTTGATCTGAAATACTGTGTATTCTGGCGAATTGTTGCCTCGAATTGGGCTCTTGCCCTGAATGTGCGGACGTTAAACCATTAAACATAAATTCCCATTAATCCCGAGGTCAAATGGCGGCCAACTTGTCCAGCAACGAAACCGCCGCCCGCGGCTTGAACGCGGCTTATTTCACCTGGAGCATGCTGGCCGATTTCAACCCGGCGCAGATTACTACAACGACCATCTGCATGTTGACCATCCTCCTCAACGGCTTCCTCCTGGTCATCTTCATCCTGGAGCGCCCCCTACGGACCTCCTTCGCCGTCTACTTAATCGTCCTGGCTGCCGGCAACATCGTCAACGCCTGGTTCCAGAACCCACTGACCCTGGCCATCAAGGACCGTTTCGCCGCGCCGCAGCTGACCGTCTTCTGCGCCGTCAACTTCTTCCTGCGCCAGACGGCCGTGGCCTTCGTCCCGCTGGTCCACCTCTTCATCGGCCTCAACCGCTTGTGGGCGCTGCTGCAGCCGCACTCCTACCGGCTGCGCCACACCTGCCGCCTGGCGGTGGCGGTGTGCGGGGCGACCGGGGCGTGCATCGTCCTGTACCTGGCCCCGCCCATCATCCTCGACGCCTTCCACACCCACAAACCCTTCCACACGTTCTTCTGCGTGCTGAATCTGGCGTACCCGGGTTATGTGGACTGGACGTTGGCTTTCAACGTCATCTTCCTCGTCGTGCCGGAAGTCCTCATCGTCCTGTTGTGCCCGCTGCTGCTGGTCCACCGCACCGGCTTCCGCCACCGGGTGCAGGCGTCCAAAGCCCCGCCCACCGACTCCGCTAGCAAATCCGCCGGCACCGGCGATCCGGACGCGGAGAAGCGGGTGAAGCGGAAGAACAGTCTGCGGGTGCTGATTTTATTGACGGTGAGCGTGATCATCTGCTGGACGCCGCTGAACGTCTACTACTTCTTTCCCAGTCTGGTGGACAACCCGGTCTTCTATCGCACCGGGAATATGCTGAAGATTCTGCACTCGATGTTGGATCCGCTGCTGTTTATCGCCTCGCTGGACGATCTACGCCGGGCGTGTGTCGACCGGCTGCGATGCCGGGCGTGAGTGTTGGACGTGTCTTGAGAATCGATCACGTGATGTACGTTTCTTTGCTTTATATGCTTAGTTGGTATTTGGGATGTTTTATCCAACACGTTGCTTGTTCGTTTGCCTAAATGCGTGCACGATACATTTGTCGCGGGACCTGTTTATTTAACCATCACTGTATATATATATAATCAATTAAAGGTCACGTTTTATTATACAGAGCACATTAATTTCAAATTTTATTCGGGAATAGCGATTACGTATGTACAGTATGTACATGAACACTAATTAAATTGATTAAAGTGTAAAAGTTAGAAAAACCATCTAAAACAGTTAATGTAGCCCGGAAATGCGACTATCCCGTAATTCTTTCTAAAATTCTTGACGGCAGCTAAGCTAAGCCTAAAATTCTTGAGGGTATGTAGTATGTACTATGTAGTTATCCTGCTTTTCGGTTCATCGTTGAGTCTGCTTGATTGTACTCCCGCAAAATTGATTTTTGCCAGTTTTTTGCTTACTTCCCCGCAAAACACATCCCCGCAGAAACTAAACGCATAAAGTAGCAAGTGTTGATTCGGGGGATTAGCCGCATCTGGCCGCGGACAGGAACAAACACGCCGCAAGTGGCTAAGCCGTGACCCCACCGCATAATGCACAATACACCAGAAAATAGCGGGCTTTGTTGTGCGGCGGTCATCGCACGCCCGGGTCAACGGCAACCCGGCCCACGTAACCGGCCGCCCTGGTAACGCGCCTACCACAACAATCGCCGCATTCTCCAGCATCTGCGCAGCGCAAACACCACCTTGACAATCCCTGACGGATATTAATAGTACAGGTTCAGCGATTATGCAAGCGCATTAAATGTAACGATCGCTTAATTGGCCGCGGCGTTTTTAACCGGCACTTGTTCCGTGTAAACACTCCTCTTCCGTACAAAACCCGCGCAGCGATCGATCCGTACACCGGTGTTAATCGGTGCGGCGGGGTATTGTTCGGCCGGGAATCGCGGGAGTATCGATTTATCCCAACCGGCGCGCGCTGCCTTTTCATCACGGCCGCGCGTTGACCCGGCCGCCTCGGCCCGCCCCGCCACCTGCCGGTACGCCTGCTCGGCAACATAACGAGCGCGTATTTTCCCTAATCTGCTGATGCAGCCAGCGCCGACTTCTTCCCTTTCTTCCCGTCGTCAAAGGACACTTTGTGGCGCCGCATGTTGATATAACAAATAACCGGCAATTTCCTCAGATTCACCGCAACACCGGACGACAGTCATCCCTTGCCGGCAGGAACTGCGCATCATTTCCGCAGCGGAAGGCCTTAATCACCGCGTTTCCCCGCTTCCGGCGTCGCCTATTTAAGCGTCGCCACTGCCTCATCCCCGATTTCTTCCCTTCCTCCGCCAACACGACGTCGCAACAGTATTTCAATGCCGATTCCGCGCTCTTCCTCCCCGACACCCTCCCCCGCATCCCGGACCCCCGCGTGACCCGTCCCCGCCCCTCTTTGATCCGCGTCGCCCCCATGCACAACTCGGTGGGCCCCTTGTCCAACCGCAGCTCCCTGGCCATCAGCACCGCCACCATGTCGGAGGCCGGCGGGCTGGGCGGCGGCTTCCTCTATCCTCCCGACTCCCGGGTGTCCCTGGGGACGTCCATGGGCAGCGCCGTCAGCGGGAGCGCGAGTGGGTTGCACGACAACCTCTTCCTGCACCCGGAAGTACACAATCCGCCGCTGGGCGGGAAAAAGAAGGCGGCGGATAAGCCCAACGGGAACGGCAACGGGGACGTCTCCCTGGGCATCTTCGGCCGGCCCACGCAGGAGGTCACGGCCGACGAGATCGTCTCCGAGGGGACGGCGCAGCGCCGGCTGGCCGGGCTGTTGGGCCCGGTGGTGGGCGCCATGGCCTGTGTGGGATTGTATCATCCCAGTAGTGAGGATGTCGAGCCGGAACGGGATGGGCTGTGGAATGGACTGTTTCCCTGGCGACAGGTAAACTGCAAAATATTGTTGTCCTGTCGGCTTAAAACATAAAGCTTTTTATTAGAAAAAAACGATGATACTGTAAAGCAATTTTTATATAAAAGCATTTTTATAAGCGTATTTCATAATATAATATTTTCTTTAAATTCTTTGGTTACAACAGCAACAATATTCGGAAAACAATTTGAAAATTCACTTGGTTAATTTTAAATCTCGTTTCAAATCATTTCAAATTTTTCAAATTCGACCAAAAATTGTCTGAATTTCAGCAATAGTTAAACGATCAGCATAATACCTTTTTAATTAGCCAGTCAATTGCCACACCTTGTTGGTTATGAGGAAGCTAGTGATTTTAGCCCTGTACAACGATTTTACTGTATCCCGTAGCTCTTAAAATAAACTAGAATAATAATTTTATAAAATTTTTCAAATATAAATGTTCATGAAAATAAATCATTTATCCATAAATTTTGCAGTTTAAACAGCCGGTACGCTAGCGAAGAATTTTTTTTATATTTAAAACTAATAAGTATTTATTTATTTTTTCTGAACTTTGTTCTGCTTGGCGTTGGCAAGTCGTTAAATTTCTGGAATTAATTGTGTAGCCTGGCAAATCCGTTCTTGTGTTATAAAATGGCAGCTAATCGTCAAATGCCCGGTTGATGGATGGCTAAACTGAGCGGTAGTTAAAGTCGGGAATCGTGATGGTAGCGTGACACACCGTACTCCCGGTTGAATCGCGAGCGCACGCACCGTCATTAAACTTTTAAAGCTCGGTCATAAGGTCATTAACAGGTGACTGTGGCCCGCTGCAGGTGATGATCTTGTGGAACGTGCTGATCGCGGTGTACCTACTGCTGAGCATGACGGCCGTCGGCTACTACATCCAGCTGGGCGACGGCGTCACGGTGCTGACCTTAACGGAGATCTTCATCGTGCTGCGACTGGCGCACGCCCTTTTAACGGTGCTGATGCTGTTCATCATCTTCGAGTCGGACGACCGGTACGAGGAGATGCTGGAGCACTGGTGCATCTGGCTGCGCTGGCAGAGCGAACGCAGTCTGGCCGTTCTACGCAGACGCATCTGGCTCATCCTTATCTTTGCCGGTAAATACTGGATTTAATTTATTATATACAGTTCTTTTCTGTACAACTTTTAAACATTTTTGTTTATACAAAATTCGTATTATATATATACAAAATTTTGTATATATAGAATTGTATATTTTGGTATATATAAAAAAATTTAACTTGTATATATAAAAATTTTATTTGTTATGATTTTGTATATATTATTATAAAATTTTGTTCATACAAACCGATTTTTTATATATAAAATTTGTTTAACACTTCGTTGACTAGCAGTTTTGAGCAACGCGGCTGACTTTCTTGGTGGAAGTCACCAGAAGCATCCTATTGGTCATTAAGATCTTCTAACCAGTCATTCTTTTTGTTTTAAAGAGGTTTGACCAATAACATCGACCATTAAGACAAAAGAAATACACTCGCACCTGCGCCAGATTTACTGGCGATGAAAGAACTTGGGGACATCTTTTGATGAGATGTTCTGCTTATCTGCTAATTGATCGCATGGCTCCGCAGCTATTGTCTTTGCTTAGTCTACGCTGACCCGGATTCAACCTTTTATTGCCCTAGCGGTATGCGCGCGCACCTGATTGTTAGCTGCTCTGGTCGCTTTCCATGTATGCCTATCAGTCGAACAGCGGCATCATTGGGCAGTCTTCCCAAACTTCCCAATGCGCCCGATTTTTTTGTAAGCCATCGGCAATACATACATCGCTCAAAATTTCACAGTAGCGTGCTAATAGTGTTCAGTACATGGCCTGATTTTTTCGACATCTTTCATTTGCGCAATCGAGCGCTGTAACAGCTTGAATGTGAGTGTCCCAAAAAGATGGTGACTTCCACCATCCCAGTTCTGGACTTCCGGCTGCACTGGGTGTGTTGTAAAGAGTACCATTGGAAACTAGACGTTTTTTCACTCACACAGCCCAAAATTTGCTGTAAAATTATTTTTTTGAAATTAGTTAGTGATTTAATAAGGCCGGTTGTGGTGTGAGTAACCATGCTAGTCAACGAAGTGTTAATCAGCGCGTTAGGGGAGTTTCTAGCTGGGTGTTTATAAACTTCGGAAGAATTAAAGGTCACCGGTTAATCAGTATATTCCGCTTAAATATTTTTTCAGGTTTAATAAAATTTTTATTAAAATATATCTTCTGAGGCTTGTGTGAAATTTCTTGTATAATGTAAACCGGCTACTTCGTCATATTAACGGTTGTCAGCATGTGTCAGCCTTCGGTAAACATCCCGTGACATTCCCCACTCACGTCCCGCGCCGCCACAATGGCCGCTGTTTATTCAGGAGCCACCGCGGCAAACGCGGCCGGGATTGGAGTGGCGAGTGTGAAGAAGTGATTGATTGCCGCGCCGTACGGCAATTGTGCATATACATGTATCACAAGATATTGCCGGCGCCGTATACCGGCGCTGACGGTGCTCCTGTTTACCAAGAAGGTGCTGCGTAACGGAGAAAAGGATCGATCGATAGCATGCATACCTATTTCTTCGTCCTTTTTTAATTTCCGGGAAGAACATTTTTCATTGACCTTTCTTTATATAATGATTATGTATAAAGCGGCAGATTTATTCTGTATTGTGGCGTATTTGCATTATACGTAGTAAATATATTTTGTGTTGGGTGTAGTGACGCAGACGGCGGTGTACACGCTGCTGTGCGGGCTGTCGGTGTACGGGCGCATCCCCGGCTTCGGGCTGAACTGGCTGAGCTTCGTGCGGGAGAGCGCCGCGGCGCAGCAGTGGCACTGGCTGCGCTTCCTGAAGGTGAACTTCGTGGTGTGCCTGACCATCTGCAACCTGGTGCAGAGCCTCCTCGTCGGCTTCTTCTCCTCCTTGTGCCTCATCGTCGCCCACGAGCTGCGCCTGGTGGCCCGCGAGATCCAGGTGGAGGTGCGCGGCCAGGCCGTCATCTGGGACATGAAGATTGTACGTGCGGATCACTTAATTATGTATACAGTTGATTATGCATATCACGCTGCAGCCGCATGTTCAGTGCAGGGGAGCGTTGTGATTGTATCTTTGGACTTGGCCCTATGATACGAATTCGATCATACGATGGGACGATATCATAGCTAACTGATCCAGTCGACGATAAACTGAACGCTATATAAACAAGCATTCTTACATTTTGACTGTACTGTATTGCAAGCGGATAGTGATTCATTTGCGCTTCCGCTTAACGCAGCTTACATTCGGTGCCGAGACCGGGTTGACCGTACGGTTTCGGCACCATTTGTAAGGTTCGTTCCGCGGAACTAAGAGCTAAAGTTCTGCCGACATAGGAGCTGGATTCCGTCACATGGTTATTACATAAAATTACCACCTTTTCGTTGAAATATGTCGAGATGTCCTCCATAAGCAGCTGTAGCCGGCAGCGCTGTCCTCGCTTCGCGCGTCCCATTAGTACTGCAGCAACAGGCTGCGAATAACATCGTACGGTATGCCATACGCCTACAGGGCACTGATGGCGGTTATTGCAGGAGCCACTGTCCGGGCAGGAGGTGACCACCCTGGAGTATCTGCGGCGGAAGCACGGCAAGATCCTGGCGGTGGCGCAGGCGGTGGACAAGAGCTTCCGCGAGGTGCTCTTCTTCATGTACATCATCCACGTGCCCAGCCTCATCTTCCTCCTCTACTTCCTCATCGTCGTGCCGCCGGTGGACAACAACCAGATCCGCGGCACCCTCATCCTCTTCACCATCTGGAGCGCCACGCAGATGTTCCTCACCTGGTCCGCCGCCGTCGCCGTCCGCTACTGGGTAGGCCAGAACCTTTTCTATCTGCTACGTGTATATTACGCTAATAAAACCGCATATACAGGCATGCGAACCGGCGAAGATCCTGCACACCGTGGACATCCATGAGAAGAAGGAGATCACGCATGCCCACCAGACTTCGGTACAACCTTTTCCCTTTGCTTCCAGCGTTCCGAATTAATCGATTGCGTTGTAGTTCTACTTCTTCATGACCTCCCTGACCAGCCAGAAATTTGCCATGACCCTGTGGGGCGTTTTGCCGCTTAACAAGGAGTTCGCCTTAATGGTCAGCGCGGTGACCTTTAATGACTATTTTAATCTTAAGTTTTTTTATCTCCTTATTTTCATATTTGATTTTTTTGACCTTTTAATAAATACATTAATACATATATATATTTTTTGTCCCCGTATTAATTTTGTTTTTTGACCTTTTCATATATACATACTTATTTTCTGTGCCTTATTTTTATACGTACTGCATATGCTGTTTAGACCTTTTGATACATTACTTTTACAGATGTTTTTTGCCCTTCCATACATATATGTATATTTTCTTGGCTTCCTTATTTTGAAATATATTTTTTTTACCTTTTCCTATATACTTTATGTATTTACTCGTATTTTGTGACCTTGTGCGGTTTGTTAATTGTGACGTATCTCGTTAATTACGGGCTGGGCGTTATTTATAGGTGAGCGGCCTGATTATAACCTATCTGTTGATCCTGATGTCCCCGGCGGCGCACCTGCGCATCGTGCAGGTCACCCACTTCCCGCTGATCATCCCCGCCGACTACGGCCCCCCGGCCACCAGCCCCACCCCCTTCCCGGACCTCCTGACGACCACGGCGTGGGACAACGTCACCGCCGGTTCCCCCTGGACCCCCCAGGAGAACCGCACCATCTTCCAGATTCTGGGCTGGACGCTGCGCCCGGTGTCCGGCGGCAGCGAGGAGGCCTTCTTGCTCAACGAGCGCGCCGGCTGGAACACGACGTTCTTCGGCAACACCAGCAGTCTGCGCGCGGCCATGCTGCCGCTGTCTAGCAATACCACCGCTCTGCCTTAAATGACGTTAATCTTGAGCGCGTGCGGCTGAGCGCTTTTCTGACTAATCGGCCGGCGCGGCGTGTTGCCTTATTGTGTGCATAATGACATAATTACCATTTATGAATGAATAAAGGAAACTGCAAAGTGTACTGTGTACTGCGCCAATTACCGTCAGTGCTGTTCGCTTGACCAGTAAGTTGTTGCCGAGAGAGCCGCGGCGTGTTGACACAACGCCGGGTAATTGCTTGTCGATGGGGTTGATACAAGCCAGAGCGGCAACAATGCCCCGGCCGACAATGGGGCGCATTGGCGTTTCAGCGTAGACAAAGCGCGGCGACGGACGCCAAGTGCGGCGTGTTTTGGCCGGCGTCATTCGCTCCCGCTGTTGACACAACCGGCAGCGCCGCGTAATACTGTCCATCGCGGTCAACACCGGCACCGGCATCTACGCGGACGAGCGACAATAAACAGCCAGCGCCTTCCGCATTCGCGCCGGTCAAGCACTATACACCATCACAACGTAATTATGCGCAACTCCCGCGGCAGTTTAAGCGGCGTGTTCAACAACGCCCGGGATGAGCCCAAGATGAACAACGCCGCCCGCTTCCCGAGCTACCCGCTCCCGGAGTACGGCGGGGGGCCGGAGACGCGGACCCCCCGGAAAAACGTGGATTTTGATTTATACCAGTGGGAGAGCCGGCAACGCATTCGCGGGACGCAGGCGCTCTTCCTCCCGCTGACCATCCTCCTGAGTTTATTCGGAATGTACCATGTCCGGTGTCCGCGCGACACCGAGCCCCACCGCTGCCGCACCCGGCTCCTGAAGGTCGCGGGGGTCCTGTATAGTCTTTTGGTGATCGGGTTCCTTATTTTCAACAGCGTGCTGTTTGTTTACTGCACGGTACGTGTCGGGTATGAGTACCGCACGGAGGCGGCGGTCTTAGCCGAGCACGTCCTGATTGCCGGGCGTCTAATGTACGCAGCGCTGCTCAGTGTCGGCTTCTTCGTGGCGCTGGAGAGCGGCAGCCGGTTGGAGGAGCTGGAGCGGATGTGGCGGCGCTGGTTAGCTGTGCATCCCGAGGTCAGCGTTATTAAGTTGCGCTGCCAGGTCGGCTGTGTCGTCACTCTCACCGGTAAGGATGATATTGAGGATGATATTCGAGTATCGGCACAGCCGGTGTGGATAGTGCTTGCGAATGCCAGTTACTGAGTTTGGGCTTCGGTTAGCATAGTGATCACCGCACCTACCGAACGGGAATTGAGTTAGTATTACTATTTCCGGTTATACCGCTGATTGAATTACGGCTCCATTTCTTCTTATATTTTCTAATCGTTTCTTATATATTGCATTTAAATCCTCTATTTTTATAACTACAAAATTTTTATAAGCTTAAATAAAATTTTTTTATAAATTATTTCGTATAGATTAGTTAACGTGCTACTGGTGCATTCTTTTAAAAATTATTTATTTATTAAAGGCTTCCCATATTATTTTGAATATGAAATTATTTGAATGGGGACAGGCCAACATTGGACACGTCGCAGTAACTAAAATAGACAACCTTGTAGTGTTGCTTATCGTGGCGTTGAGCGCCATCACCGGCCTGGCCGTATCCGGCTACATGACCGGAAGCGACATGGATCTGACCAACACCAACCCACACCTGTACCTGCTGGACGCCGACAGCCCCTCCTGGGCGGCGGCCTTCCAGGTCAACTTCATCGTCGCGCAGGTGTACTGCCACGGGATCACCGCGCTGGTCAGCGCCTTTATCGCCATCTGGTGCGTCATCACCGCCGGGACGCTGCGGACGCTGTCCCGGGAGGTCACGGCGGAAGTGGGCGCCGGCAGTCTCTGGGCGCCGGTAGCGGTAAGTGCAGCGTCTTTATCATTCTAAAGAAAACATAAGAAAACATAAGAAAACATATTGCAGATTGAGGACAGCGGCGTTGTGGTGAGCGTGCTAGAGTGTCTCCGGCGGAAGTACGTCACGGTGATCCTGCTGGTGCGGGCGTTGTACGCCACGGCCTTCCCGCTTGTCTTACTGTCGCTGGCGGCGTTTTTCCCGATGGTGGTTTTCATCCTGTACACCCTCGTCACGCCGGTGCTGCATGACGACGCCGGTGGGGTGGCGGTCATCAGTGGCTACCTGCTGATGATCCTCACCGTGCTGCTCTTGGAGACCATGGTTATCGTGTGCAGCGTCGCCAAATTAAATGACAGTGTACGTTCTGAAATGCGATTTTTTTTATCTTTATATTGTGCAAAATACCTACAATATATGCAATATATTATACTGTATACATATATTATAGAATATATTATTATTTATTATTATTATTATTATTGATAATATTAGTTATATATTATGTTTATTATATTATTTATTATTATTTTATTATTATTAGTTTATTTTTTATTAATATTTATTATATTGTTTGTTACAGAATGTACTATTTCTATTTTTTTTATTACAGATTCGTTTACTTTAGAGCATGACCAGCAGAAGCGTGTTCGGTTCGTACTCCCATGTCCAGTAGCACTCGATGATGTGATTTGCAGCAAACAAATACAATATTTCTAACTTGGGTAACGGAAATTACAAACACCATACAGAAGGATCAATCTTTTTCTATTTTTTTTTTCATTCTAAAGTTGTAGATACCATACTTACCGATGACATAAATTATACAATTTAAAAAATGAAGGAAAATAATGTTTTTCGTGTATACCGATGCGGTGCAGTTTGTGCGGTGCATGCTGGTGTTGTGAAGTTGATAGAGCGAATTCTTTTCCAAGGCGAAAAGCAACAAATTCATTTTTTATTATTTATTCTTCCTTTAATATGTTACTAGTAGGGTTCCTTTAAATTTTCAAGGAAGGAGTTTTTTAAGGAATTTTTTTTCCTTATTTTTCTAGTAAGGTTCCTTTTAATTTTCTATTTATTTATTCTTTATATTTTGCAATTTTAATTTGTTGTTTATTTAATAATTTTGGCAATAATTTTTTTCTTTCTCTTTATTTACTATTTTATTACTATTATTACAGGTTTTCATTTTGGTTAACCTTGATTAAGGTCAATGTTAATTAAGCGGTGACCTTTGCAGGTAGCACTCTTCCTCAGCGTGCCGGATCTGTTGCGGTCGCATTCCAGCGCCGAACTCTCGTTAATCAAGCCGTCGAGCATTTTACTGGTAAGGTGACCTTGCTCACAAGCCGCTTAATTAATTAATAACACTCGATACGCTGCTGTGCGCAAACGCGGTGATTAATTCGCTGAACAGGCGCTGCTGCTGGTGAGCGGCTTCGTGGGCCTGCTGCTGCGCACCACCAGATAGCCGATACACAGGTATTTTTTACGGCTTTGACGTCCGTCCGATTGTTGGACTGCATTCTGGAGATGATCTCGTGATGCGCGCTTACTTAATGAGATTGACTGGACCACGCTCACCAAATTAAAGAATGATCAAGTACTGAAAAGTGCACGTTGCAACGCAAGTATTCTACAGAATTCTACGCAATATCTATAACGATATGTACTCTTTCTTTCGTCTTTTATGTACCACGTTCTGGTAATAATTAAAAGCTTCTCGAAAAATTGTGCATCGTGATCATTCGTGCATTACGTGATTGTATCGCGTTGCGAGTGGGTTTGAAGGTTAGCAATAAAAAATAATTACAAATTGTTAATGTTGCCTTTGCTGCACTGTACAGTCTGTACTGGTAAATCGCTAAGGGGAAAAGAAAAATACAGTTGAGTATATATAAAGCCAACAAATATACGTATAAAAAACTTAGGCCAAACAAGAAAATTGGAACCACAATCCTGCTCTATAAACGGACACCGTTTTGAACTTAGAAATAATCGCAACTGCTTATAAAACCGAAAAATCCACGTCTATGTTATTTTTGATCGTAGTACTGAGACTTGGCTGAATGTACAGAATACAATACAATTATACACTTGCTGTATCTGTACATGTATGTGATAACGGCACATTTTTTTAGTGGGTTATACAGCCATAAAATTCATTTCCATCAAACCCGAATCACTTTGGAGTTTGCCGTCCTGCAGTTAGATCGGGAGAGCGCCGTTATACGTTTTCTCAGCGTGTTTACATTATTTCAAGTTGCTGTTCTGCAGCATCTCCCCCGACGCCCACCGCTTGACGCCCCCTCCGCGCGTCCTCTTTCGTTTGACCGGAATCGCCTCCCGCCGGCTGCAGCATCCCACTGGCATCGTTCGGCATAATACTGTATTAATTTTCATGCATGGCCGATTCATTGTCTTCGAGTTCCTTTGAAACTAACACGAAACTAATACTGCTTGGATATGTACAAGCTGTATTTCCATACTCGGCTTAATGTATCACTTGCAAGCCTAAGAAACCTTAAAAAAAGAAATAAGTACAACATCGGTTAAAATTTTTATTAGTAACACATGTACAGCGTACGTATCGAATTCAAGACTAAAAAAGTAGACGTGCTTCGTGTAGCGGAAATTGCGCAAATTAGCGCTTCTCTGTTCGAACCCGGCACCGGCGATTTATGCGCATCCGATGTGTTCCGGTTTCTCAGTGTTTGCTCAGTAAATTACCGGCCAGTGGGTCCGCGGCTGACCAAGGATATTATAAAAAAATTTTTATCATTTCCTTTTCAATCACGAACCGATCCGCGCCGCTGAGCACTTTTTTGGCCGGCACTGTATGTACACCAACCAAGAACCCGCAAAAACCGGCACAGCCACAATAATAACCGTTGGTTTGTTGTGGTTAGAACTGATGTTAAAGTTGCTAAGTGCGGCGTCATCGGGTGATTATTATTACACTACCGGCATCCGGCACCATCAGCCCATTCAATTAATCCGCCACTCGCCTCCCGCTGATCCCATCAAATCGGATCGGATCGGCATCGGCCGACGCGGATCCGTGCGCGGCTTCCTACACTGTATATACACGCCAACACCGACGCTGATTGAATGTACAACTCTATACTGAATATAACTGGAATGAATGCCAGTGCGTCAGGCGCTGCGGCGCTCCCAGCTGCCGTTAATCAATGGCAGCTATTCCTGTAACCGGCTTCTACACAATACGCTACACTATTCCTCCACCGGAAATTAAACGGGACGCTGTAAATTAATCGGCTTAATACCGGTTGTATATTAATTCATTAACGGGCTAATGAAGCGCGTGATGCGGCCGCTGATTAATTACCATCTGCGTCATTTATTCATCTAGCATGGGCATTTTTGTAATTTACATGCTGATGGGCGCTCGAGCGCTGATCGATGCGTTAAGACAAGAGCGCGCTGTATAATCTACGAGTACAACGGCATAATGAAGACATTTGACGGTCAATCAAATCTGGCGCGGGAGAACAACATATATATGCGCTTCTCCGTATAGTATAGATCTCGTCAGCCGTGGCATTTGCAGTTGGGTTGAGTGCGGCTTCCCTCTCCCGAGTGGATTGCACTTGGCCGGGATTGGCTGCAACTGCACCGGAGGAACAGCGCGCCAGATGCGCAATCCCGTTTCTCTTCCCGTTTCCTATATATTTCCAACCGGGCGCCACCCGCGCTTGACGTCAGCGGCCGTACGTTGGTTGAGTTAGTTAAATGAAGTATCGGTACGTGTATCGCGCTGTATTATTACATGATGAGCGTTGGTTGCTGCCTGTTTTTGGGAGCGGGGATAAATGAAGGATGGTGTGCTAGGTATTGTGTCAGTGTGGCGGCCGGGACTGCCGCATAATAATTATTGTTTTTCCCTCGGCCGTTGAGAATATTTTTAAAGGAGACCGGCGTGCGTTGATGTGCGTGAGGCGCAGCGGGTGATTAGCGGTTGCAGGTGAATTGGATCGGGCCGGGAATTATCAAGGATGTCCGACTCGGAAGAGGACGAGGTGCCGCGCGAGAAGGTCAAGAAGACCCTGCTGTCCGTCGCCGGCCGGCAGCCCTCCAAGCAGACGCTCAACTATAAAGGTTAGCCAGTTTAATTATAAGCCTCAATTTAATTCCGTCCGCTTCCTCTCAAACAACAGCTAATCGTACAAATAAACAGCTTTCATATTGATTTTTATGCTGCATTAACTTACAGTAAGTAATTGCTGTATACTGCGAACCTGGTTGTAAATTAAATCCGCGTATACGCATAATTTAGTCAAATTCTGAAATCTCTTAATCGGATATTTGCTATTAGGAATGCGTATGCTTCTGCTGTACTATAAAAAAACCCGTATTTTAATTGCTTTTTATTCTTTAAATTTTATTCATGGCTGTTATTTAATAAACGCTATTATACGAAGTGTTACGATGTTACGTAAATGGGTTAAAAGCTGACCTAACTAAGGAATATTGCCGGAAATGGCCTATATACGGCATAGTAATGTAACGTGCCGGTAGTTGACAAAAAGTACATAGTAAACACAAAGACTTACGTTGTTGTGCCTTCTTTAAAGATTTTTTTGGGCAGTGTTTCTGTAGCGATTAATTTGTGTAAAGAGCGCCTAGTACCTGTACGTCAGTGCCGCACGGTGACGCCAGGAAGCGGCCTGCTGCGCGGTTATTAGCGGTTATGAGTCATAAAAACAGGTAGCACACCGTAATTCCCTTTTACGAATTATGACAGTTGTGGTGGGTGAGGCACTGAGGCGGAAGGTGCCACGCCGTAAAATTGAGTAGCTGCCGGCGGCCGAAATAAAAAGCGCCGGATTAACCGTAACCTTCACCAATTAGCCTCGTTATGATACTGTACTGCAGGTACAATCTTATAGGATTAAAAAAGCGGAAACCAGCCAGTCGGTCCGCGGTTTAAAAATTTAATATTAATGGAATGGACAACAAAAATATTATAAAATATTATCCGCACGTACTTTTATGGACAGAAAATTAATTGTAAATAAATAGAAAATAAGGAATCGCAACAGCAGCTGCTACTGAAAAATTGACAAATATATATGTATGTATAAAAAATATATGTGTATATGTTTTTACATCAAAAATATATATGTATATAGATAGTATTATATAACGTGGAAGCGCATGTTTGCCCCATACGCGTTAAACGAAGCGTCTGTTCTTTTTGTAATTTTAAATTGTACATTTCTCCACACAGGTGTCAAATCGTATCTGCACCAGTTCTACGACTTCGCCACGGACACCAGCACGCCGAGCGCCACCGACCGGCAGCTGTACATCAAATCACGCAAGATCCGCATCCGCTCCCTCTGGTGGCGCATTACTCTATACAGCGGCGCGTTCTTAATGTTACTGGGCGCCGTGGCCTTTCTCCTATCATGGACCATCCCCGCGCGGCCCATCCTGATCAGCGAGGAGCCCGAGCTGGCCGTGGTGGACCGCGAGGCGGCCGTCTTCAACCGGCAGCTGGAGCTGCTGCGCCTGGCCGGCCTGGCCACCTTCTGCATCGGCGGGGTCAGCGCGTCGCTGGCGCTGCTGGTGGCCAGCTGCTGCTGGAAGTGCTGCCACCATCTGCAGCTGCACTACGACGACATCGAGCCGGAGAGCGTCGTCCGCAAGTTGGTCGAGGAGGACGAGGATCAGGCGCCGTTGAGTCCGGTGGAGTCGCGGGTGCCGGGCTTCGGCTCCGTCCACCCGGTGCAGCCCCAGCTACCGCCCGGGGGCGGCGGTGTGCCCTACCCCATCCCCGTCATCCGGGCGTCACCGGCCTCCGACCAGGAGTGACCTTTACGCGTCCATTGAGACCCGAAAGATGGTGCACTACGCTCACTCTTTTTTTACGGCGCACCGCACGAAACACTGTTCTGCATATATATCGGCGTTATTTCTCTGTATAGAGTAGAGTCCGTAAATCGTCACAATTTTGGCAGCGAAACGAAAAATTTTGTCGTACTGAGCAAACGTAACGAAACTTAACTGCACGCTTCCTGTCCCATAAAATAACGAACCTTGACGAATTTATAAAATATTTGAGCGCAACTTAACGATAACTTTCGATATTTTTCCGTAAAAAAAACTGAACGCAACGAAATCGCAAAATACAAATCACAGTAGTAAGCGTTCCTGGGATTAATTTTATTTATCTGAATTTTCTATGTCGTTCCACATCAAAAATAGTAGATCAGATCATCAAGCTTCTATGAAAATTGCAGCTTGCACTTTTGCAGTTCACTAGTGCCGTTATGATTTGCAGTGCTGTGAAGCTATAAACAACATGTGCTTGCGAAACACTAGTGCAGTGTCTAGAACTGGGAGTTTCGCAAAGCGTCAGATTCACTGTGTACAATAGGTTGCAGCTTCCAGTGTGCGCTTATGAAGGAGACCCTGTTCAGGCGCCCAAAACACTGAATTATTTGTCAGGCGCAAGAGACGCACGCACGAGTGCGGCTGGCGTACAATTGGAAAATAATTTATTTTATTTTCTAAATTCCACATCGGTATCTTTTGACGAAGAAAGCGACTCCAAAATTTCAATATAACTTCGCGAGGCGAGAATACATTTTCTTATAACGAAACTTAACGAAGCGGTGCTCAGAAGTCCGTAAAACATGCGCGGGGCTTGACGATTCGTTTCGTTAACGTTCGTTAAGCTTCGTCAAAATGACGATTTACGGACTCTAGTATAGAGTCTGTTGCATTCCGGTTGTGCTGTTAAAAGCGGATATATACTCGTATTTGAGTGCGGATGAATCGATAATAAGGGCGAGTAAAGCGCGAATGGAATAATCAGCTTGACGCAGGAAATACGCTGGAGTGTTGACATTCCTATCGATCGGGGTTTTTTGTGTGTTCACTTGTCCTGCATTTGCATATAGATTCCAGTGTTATTCTCCCTGGCCGACACCGTAATCAGGCGTCCAGAGCGTCGGCTTATTTCTTCCGGCTAAATTACCCTCCAATAAATTCAGCCGAAAAAAATGTAGAAAAAAAAACACGGTTAATTATGAAAATGGAACGGTTTAATCTGTAGCGTGTGGGGCGGTCGGCGTGACCCAAAAGCTGCGTGTTGCATCAGCGGTTGCGTCAGCCGGGGAAGCCGACGCGCGGCGGAAATGAAACATTGCCGCGCAGCCGTATAGCGCGTACGCGTGGCGGGTTAACCGGCACGTAATAATTGCATAGACCCGATTCACGCACATCGCTTAATCAAGCTCCCGTAGCGCTTTAATTCGCCCGGCTGTGGAGTCAGGGAGAACGGGTATTTGTGGGTCAACGATCGATGCCGGTTGCCGGTTATAGTGTATAGTACAGCGGCTGTAGTGTAATGGTCCACCGGCGAATTAACACAACCGGCATTCGTACAATTTACTGGGAAGTTGTGGGGACATATGCGGGCGAGTTCACCGCTGTACACGCTAAACGGGACAACGCGTGCTGTTGTTCGGCGAGCAGTCGGGCGAGGATAATGCCGCTGTTCGGCAGAATTCCTCCGGGAGATGCGGGGATTTCTGTGACGGGTTACGTAAAAGTATCCATTTATTATGAGTCAGAAATCAGGGTCGATGTTGCGCGTGAATTTATATATGTGTTGTATATATATGTGTTCGTATATACGTTGTACTGTACGTGAATTTACCTATATATGATTTTTTTCCTAGTATTTTGATTTGGATTGCTGCATAGGAAGCCATTTTTTGTGACGAAAATAAAAAAGGAAAAGGGTGCCAATTTTCCACAACTGTTAGGTAAAATTCACGCTACACTACCACACCGGGCGGAGGCACTTGCGGCAAGCGCCGGAAGTCCCTGAATTTTTTCGTTTAAAATTTTCCGCTACAAGGTTTTCGTGAAGCATAAATTATGTTCGACAGGAAAGCGATTTCCCCAAAAATCCAGGTTATTTGGGCGGAAATTGCTCATTTGCTTTCGGAGCTGTTCGCCTTAAACAGGCCCTGTGCGGGTTTTAAGGGAATGGGCAAGGGAAAGCCGGGTGATCTAACCGAGGTGTTGGAGAAACGTGCGCTGTTGGCCTTTTACGCCCGGGAATAGACCGGCGTTTGCTGGGCAATTGAGGCCGTCGAACAGGGCTAATCTGCCGGCAACAGTGCCAATATACAGCGCGTCCATAAACGCAGTATAATGTGTACAGTACAGCATGAACGCTGCGTACACCGCCGGCTATTTCTGGCGGTATCGATCGGTGTTGGCAGGATGTTGCCTCCTCGTCCTGATGGGTCCGCTAGCACCGTTCGCGCCGGCATCCGGCCTTTTCTTAACCATTCTGACATCTGCCGGTTGTCGTTAATTGCCAGTTCGGTGCGATGAGCTGCTTCACGCTCCATCTTCCCCGGAATGTGTTGGAATGGTCGTTCGGATTGTAATTAAGGACGGCCGGCGGCGAAAGGTCAAGCCGGTTAATCGCCGCGCTGATGCGTGCCAGTACGTGCGGTTAAACGCACTGCCCACACATATATGCAGCGTGTGACCTTTCACGCTTTTTCTGGCGTGCCGCTTAGAATGCGCTGGTCGTTGCTCAGTGATGGCGGTTGTCACGTCGTGAAGCACCAGATTTATTGGGCTTCTTGCCGGCGAGATATTGACTAACTAAATGATAATATGCAAAGAATACCGCAAAAGGTCAGTTCAACCAAAGTCATGCAAAGATAATGTTGCTACGCGCAGCTATGGCGCGTGGCCACTACACTACACCGGTACTGCAGTTCTTATACAAATGGACACGGGCGATGCTGGACTTGCATTTATTTTTGATACTCTGTTTTTTATTGGGTTATACAAATGAACATTGGTTAAACGCAAAATTACGCGGTACATTATTTCAGCACATAATACTGTAGCCGTACAAATGAGATCTGTAGTGAAGATGTACATCTCATTGGTGCTAGTTCAACCGGAAACATCTGAATGTGTACTTGTACGAGATGACCAGTTCTAACGTGGATTTTCTAGACTTCTGAGATTGTCTGAATGTTCTAAAATCATTCTTGCTCTTGCCCTTGCCCTTGCTCTCCCCCAATGATTTTTCAGCTGATTAAAAATGTTTGTGCACTTTGACAATCGCGCCGGTATCGGTTAACATGTTCGCAATTGCATAATTGATTTTTGGGTAATTCGCTAACTCGTAACATCGCCGACGGTCACCGACGAACCATCAAACCTCGTTTTATCGTGGTACGGGTGTGTAACCCACTCCACTAGTGGCAGCTTAGAAGTTGCCGTTGCAATACACTTCATCCAGCCTCTTGCCGATACAAAACGTTTCCTGAACGCATGCAGCTTTACCTCGCATTAAAGCAACTCGTTTCTCCGCAAGGTAACAATAATCAAAACAGCTGCACCGTGAGGGCGGCTGCTTGTTCGCCTGTGCAGCCATAATAGCATCATTGCAGCAGTTGAAAATATGAAAGGTCAGCATGGCTGAACAACACTCTCGCATATTATTATTGCCGGAGTTTGTCTAACGAAGGCAGGGAGCCATCTGTACGTGGAACGGTCCCTCGGGAAGCAAAAGTCAAACGAAGAGTGCCTGCTCCGAGAGAGAATGCTGAGGTTGGCATTTTCCTGTCTCGCAGGCAGCGCGCGGCATGAGCACTGCCACGCTGCAACACTGTATAGGCAGGCAACGACCGTCGCTGTCGACCTTGACGGAAGCAGCTTAGCACCCACAATTAACGGGACTTACTGCCCCCGTCTTATTAGGAGCCCCTTCTTAATTACCGGCCGCAATGATAGCGCGATTTGTCGTCGTGACTTTGGCGACCTTTACCGCAGTCACCGCAGCATCCAAGCCCGACGATGTACTGCAGCTGCGGTTGGTGTCGTTTCTGCCGGTCGGCAGCAGCGACTACTTCGATTATATGTACTCCGCGGCGGCCGTCAACCTCACCGTGGCCAACATGAACCGACAGCACCGCGGCGCCCTCGTCCTGGACGTCACGTGGCTGCCCATCCTCCACTTTGACAGCGCCCCCTGCGGCGCCACCGTCGCCGACACCCTCGCCCTCCTCCCGCCCTTCTTCCACAGCGACCAGTGGGCCGGGCGCTGTCTGGCGCTCATCGGCGAAAGTACGAATCTCTCGCACATCACGCTTACATTAACGAAACCGATGTTTCCGTAGACTGCAGCGGAATCGTGGAGATGGCGTCGTTAGCGGCCGGTACGCCGTTACAATGTCTGGCAAGAAAGTCTTAATTAACGGTGACCTTTTGCAGAATGGAACGTCCCGCTGTTTGACATGTAGGTGTCGCATGGCCAACCCCCCGCGGGCGACACTCACGGTGTTCTGTTGCAGTCTGCCCAACGAGCCGATCAAGAGCCAGCCGGACCGCTACCCGACGGCGGTCGTCCCGCACGAGGGCTACGACAACTTCCTGGGGGCGCTGACGCAGCTGCTGCACATCAAGAACTGGCGGCACGGCTGCGTCGTCATCGACCGGCAGCTGGCGCTCAGCCAGGCCGCCTACTTCTGGGAGCTTGGCCGCACCTTCGCCAACCTGGACCAGCGCCTGCAGGAGCAGCAGGGCATTTATTTGGAACGCCGCTACTACGACACGGATATGAACGGGTCCGTCGACTTCCGGTCGGTGCTGCAGCCCTGTCGGGGCTACGGATACTCGGGTAGGTGCCGTGCCAAAAATCTAAGAAATCTAAGAAACCCGAAAAACTTTTGCAGTCATCCTGATCCTGGCCGACACGTATCGGACCGCTGAGCTGCTGGTAAAACCGTTTCTTCACCGATTCACTGACAGGTTTCAATTTCCTCTATTTGCAGCTGACGGCGTCCGCCCTGGGGATGGGCAACGGCGACACGGTAGTATATCAGGAAACAGATAATTTATATAATTATAGTAATTCTTGACCTTTAGGCGTTCTGGCCGTTGGTGCCTTCCGGCAGTCCGCTGCATAATAAAACGGTGCTGGCCCATGAACTACGCCATTTGGTACGACCTTTATAATATTCCAGGTAGCCGCACACACTACAGTGACCTTTCATAGACGGACCTCACACTGCGCTCGGTGGTGTACATCACGTGGTCGCGCACCACGCCCTGGTTCAGCAGCGATGACGACTCGCACCGGCTGCGCAGCTACGCGCGGCAGGCGTTCATCCGACCGCCCTCCCCTGCGCTGGAGGTACGCCAACGTACAAATATATATAAGGAATATTTTTTTAAAAATGGCATTTTATTTGCCAGCCGGAAGAGCTGCTGAGCGTCTTCAACACCAAGTTCGTCATCAAGACGTGGGCGAACGTGGCGCTGGAGACCTTCCGGCAGGGCGGCGATCCCTGCGACGGGCGCTCCATCGCCGCGCAGGTGCGGCAGCGCTTCGCCGTCAAGGTGGACGCCCGCGAGGCCGTGGAGGAGGAGGACTCGCAGCCGGACGCCGCCACCGTGCGCATACAGGCTTGGAAGCCCAGCACCGGCAAGTTCGTGGTCAGTACGGACAAAGGTCATCTTTTCGTTGGCCGGGTATAATAAACAATCGGTGGGTGGTCGCAGACGTTCCTGATGTACAACGGGACGACGCAGGAATACGAGTGGACCAGTCTGGACGTGGACGACTGGCCGGTGCCCTTCAGCCGCGATCCCAACGGCCAGTGCGGATACGACGCTGACTCGCCTTATTGCAAACCAAGTATATAAATCCGATTCGATGCCTGCTTGATAATGAGCGGGGTTTTTATTGGTTAGCGCCGCTGGTGCCGGCGGAATTCGGGGCCATCGGGTTAATCACGCTGCTCTTCATACCGCTGCTGATCGCGCACGTCAACCGGTAAACAAACACAGGCGTACTTTGCGACTGCTTCATCTTTACCTACGAGTCACGTACAGGCGAATCAAGATCCAGCGGGAAAACAGCCAAGAATGGATCCTCCCCGCCGACGCGATGGAGCTGACGCCGTTGGAGACCGGCGCCAAAGCGGCGTCGCACGAAGCCCACCTCCACGGGGTGCCGGTGTGGTGTGTCCCGGTGCCGCTGACGAAACACTCCCAGCCCGAGAAGCTCCGACGCGACAGCTATTTCGGCAAAGTAGGCTTGATGTTCTAACGCCAGCTGACTAAGCGTGATGACCTTTGGGTGTAGTTGTACCTGGTGAAGCACGACAACGTCAACGGCTTCCTCGGCCTGTGCTTCCTGCCCAAGCACGTGTGGATCATCTGCCAGTACGCCAAGCGCGGCTCCCTGGGGCGTCTCCTGCAGGTCATGGACACCGACTGGGAGTTCCGGCTGTCCTTTACCGTCGACCTCATCCAGGTGAATTTTCCCGTGACCTTTCGGAAAGTGATTAAGGAATGTGGGGATTGTGCAGGGTCTGCAGTACGTCCACAGCAGCCCGGTGAAGGCCCACGGGAACCTGAGCATGTCCACGTGCCTGGTGGACCACCGCTTCGTGGCCAAGATCGGCTGTCTGGGCTGCGAGAACATCCGCGCGGCGTTGAAGGACACCAAGTACTCCCTGCCCAACTTCGAGCACCGCCAGCACGCCAGCGCCTCCAAGTACAGCGTCCTGCTGGCCAGCCTGTGGGCCGCCGATGTGGCCGCCTTCCGGGCGGTGGTCATGGCGCTGAGCCGGGCGGGGTGGGCGCATGTCCGCGGAGAGGCCCGGCAGCACTTCGACATGCAGGCGGCGGTAGAGGGCTTCGCGGAGGAGGCAGGCCGGTGCGCCACGATGACGCAGGTGGAGGCGGCGTTCAAGGCGGCCTTCCCGGGGCAGCGGAAGAGCCCGGTGGAGAGTTTGATCGATCGGTTGGCCGGATACACAGAGGTGCTGGAGCACGCGGTGGCTGAGAGGACGGCGGAGCTGGTCAGTGAGCAGGAGCACTGTGATCGGCTGCTGGAGCAGATGCTGCCGAGGTGCGCGATTTTTTCCCCACTGATTACTAGCTTGGGAAATTTTATTTTTGTTGCCCGTTGTGTGCAGACCGGTGGTGCAGGCGCTCCGCAGTAAGCACGCCGTGGAGGCGGAGCTGTTCGAGTGCGCCACGATCTGCTTCACCAGTCTGCCGGGCTTCGTCCCGTGGGTGGCCAGCGTATCGGCACCGGAAGTCATCGACCTGCTGCACGCCGTGTACACGCTCTTCGATGACGAGATCAGCCGCTTCGACGTCCACAAGATGGAGACCATCGCTGATGGATACCTGGTAAAAAGCCGGTTATTTTTTGCGTAGATTGTTTAGATGTATTCTGGTGGTGTTAGGTGGCCAGCGGCATCCCGCTGCGCAACGGCAGCAGCCACGCGCCCGTCAGCTGCCGGATGGCGCAGAGCGTCATGAAGCGCTTCGTCGCCCATCTGCAGCCGGCTCACCGTCAATTGTCGCTGCGGGTCGGCATTCACAGCGGTCAGTACGATTACATGATGTTTTTGCTAAAGGTCACTCAATATTTTATCTATAACTATTTTATATAATTATATTTGTCAAAGGTCACGCAATGTTTACGTATAAGTGTACATAAGTGTAAGGGTCACGCACTATATTTAATTAAGCACATCTTTTAAAGGTCACCCACTCTTTTATATATAAGCGAAGCTGTTAAAGGTCACTCACTATTTTGTACAACTGTGCAAATTTGGCTAGGTACCTGCGCTGCGGGTGTCATCGGCAAACTGGTCCCGCGATATTGTCTGTAAGAAAACGATTTTTTGTTGACGATGCGTGTAGGATCAGACGCCCCTTGTCGGCTACATTGCAGGTTCGGCGACGCGGTGAACACATCGTCGCGCATGGAGAGCCATGGCGAGAGCGGCAAGATCCACGCCAGCCACGACACCGTCCAGCTGTTGGCTGAGCTACAAACCACCGACATCGTCTGCGTACTGCGCGGCCAGATTCCCATCAAGGTGACCTTTGTCTCGTTCCCCGTCGGTTGCGTTCTGAGACGAGCTGTGCTGCATTTGCAGGGCAAGGGATTTATGACCACCTACTGGATCATCTCATAACGACAACGCCCAGTTATACAGAACGAATTAATACAGTCGACCAGAAGCGGACCGGACGTTTGTGTGTTATAGTGTACAGAAATTTTTACATTTTGCTTATTCAGAATTAATTTCTTGACCGTCGCTTTGGCTCGGTCCTTTTGCCGTGTCACCGTACTGCTTATGTCAATATTGTCATGCATCGCAAGGTCATGCGCTGTACGCTGCGTTAGCGCGTTTGTTATACAGTTGTACCTGATTAACATGCAGTGCTCGATCAGTAGTAAAAGGCGTCCCGCAAAGGGAATTTGATCTCTACTACCCTACTGGACTTCCGGACTGCAGTTTATGACATCATAATAATGTTAAAAACATATTAATAAATAAAGTTAATTTAATTACACAAATTACATTAGTTCAGGGTATATGTAAATGGAACGGACAAAAATTACCGTGGTAAAAAAACTGCAGATACTGTTTGTGAACAACCAAGAAAAAATCGGTTGCAATTACAGCCGTCTACGATAATATCCCGGACGCCATATATTATTCGTTCCTCGGGTAATATTTAATCAAGATAAATGCCAATTTACTGTGCTATTCACAACTTTCCCGTGCTACCAGTAAATTAACATACTGTAATACGAGTATTATTAAAAACAATAATGTTGCTACTGCTGAGAATCATCGGAATACTTCCTCAAAACACCACTGCAGGTTCACTTTGACTTCCGGCCATGCAGTTCATGATGTTTAACTAAAACATAAAAACATACTAATAAATAAAAAAATAGAATAAATTCGTCAAGTGAATTTTCACGGAAGGTACTAAATTTTGTTACGTAAAAAATACAGCACACATTAACATAAACCTCGATATAATAAAAATTTCATATTAAAATGTACACACGCCTACTTGGTGGAACAAGTTTGGGGCTGCTTACGCGTGGCTTCATGTCAGTTTGCGATCGCATGGGATCCAGAACGGCATCGAGAACCGCATGGCAGCACAAAATATTCTCAGTTTACACTGAGCGTGCGTGCAGAAACGTGGGATATCCGCTGGACGAAAGTGTTTGCTGCAGATCTTGCTGGTTGCGGAAGGAGTGCAGCCGTTGGCACAGTGAAAGCGATCAGCGCTACACAAAAAACAACAAACTTAAGTAAACAAGACCATCGTATACGTATGCATAAAAACTGCGTGCCATCGCAGCGATACCAATAATAAACCACACGCAGCCTTTCTCACAAAGTTTCCTCATATTTAACATCGATGATCAACTGCACGATATCGTAAAACTTATTTAACAGAATAAGACAAGGATTAAGATGAATAATTTTAACAACTGTCTTTATCGAACGGGGATCTTTTATTAATTGTTAAGAAAATCATCATGTTAAGGAAATCATAGTTATAATGAATAACAAAAAATAAATTGTAAACGTGTTATTTTAACAACAAAACTAAGATGCACGGATAAATACTCAAAAAAATTAGACAAAATAATGGTATCATTATTTAAAAAAATACTACGGGTATTCAAGAGATCGTCGCAAAAATCTAACTGCAAACAGTTAATGCTGCATAAATTAACATAATAATCAGCGTAAATCAAACGAAAGAGCGAACTACTGAACGAAAAAATATACTAAAATACTAGACTGCGATAATAATTTTGTTGTCAGCGTCAATGCTCACTTGAAAAAATTGTGATGTTGCACTTACCAAAATTGGCGTGAAAATTACATGGATTTCATCCAGTTGGACGTGTGATCGGAATCCAGTTGGAAGTCTCCCGTTTTTATTCAGTTCGTACATTCCTGCACCACAAACGAGCGCTCCGCTACCGCAACTTTCGTCATGAAATCTGTCAAAAATCGGGAAAATTGCGGTAAAAATATGGTGCTGCGTAAACGTCAGCCCGCATTGCATGGGCATAACGTTTTCACCAGAAAAAAATTATCATGAACATTAAATTTAACAGCATTTTGTGAAATTCTTATCATTTCTGCAAGGCTTACCTGTGAGTCCGCCAGCCCAACGTCTCCCGTCTTTCCCCCCGTCTACCGTCGCATTCAGCGTGGCCTATCCCAAAATCCTCCTCGGGTACCCCGTCGTCTCTATTTCTATCGTTTTTCCCTATCGTCTGCTGTTGTGGCCCGCAAATTTCACGGCCCCCGCGTCCATTATAGCCCCGCGTCTGTCACAGCCCCGCGTCCGCTACAGCTCTGCGTCCGTCACAACCCCGCGCCCTCCGCCGCCCAGCTTCCTGCCATTCCTCGATCCCCCCACCCCCGCCCCCGCTGCGCTGCCCTGTGTGTTCTGCTACCTATAACGCCCCTGTTTGTACTGTTACCTTTATGCGCTGCAAAACCACACTGCGTACGATTATCGTCAGAGAATTTTATTTACTTAATTACCGTCGTATTAAAAGAACTGCCACAAAATCATCAAGTATACAGTTTACAAGTATCAAATCACTACAAATTACATTGCCATCTTATTTCCTATTCTCAATTCAATGTGGCTAGGCAAAAAAAACACTGGATATTGTCAAAATTGTTTTTTATGGAAAAGATCGTCGTCCAAGTCGGCCTTCCATTTGGCCGCCTGTTTCATTTCTTCATGCATCTGGGGCGTAATTTTAGAGGCAAAAAATGCCAAAGGCACTAAAAAACAATTAAATTACCTAAAAGCTAAGAAAATTATTAACAGCACTTACAATTTGCCTGCTGAGCGCTGCGACGCAAAAACGCGATGGTGTCCGCATCCAGATTCAATCTGCGGATTTCTTCTGGAAGATCGCTGTCCTCCGGAATGGTGGATGAAATCTCGTTGCTTTGCTGGCTGGCCATGTTGTTGGAAATCTTGAATTGCAGACTGCAGATGGCTTGACTGACTTCATTTCTGTCGCTAGCACAGACTTATGAGCTAGAAAAATCTTTAACTGTCAACACGATGGAACGTGATGTTCCATCACTTTCTACTGAACAATCGCATTGGAACGTACACATTCACGATTGCGATTCTCCTAAAATACAATATCTTTAATTTTACGCTTAAACGTTTGAAAATTCAACAGGTACGTATAAATATGAGTTGTACATGTTTGTGAATAAAGTATAATGGTGATGTTTGTGATTCAGCTAGCCGTGCCATTGTGATATCGTTTCCTCCTTGGACGCGTCTGTTTAGCGTGTATGCGTGTACATCTGTGGCCAGAAAAAGTTCCTGGCGGCACTACGCACATTTTTTCCGCACGAACCCTACCGTAAGTTCCTTGTCTAATTACTATGTACTAATTAACGTTTTTTACCTAATACTTCGAAGGCTTATACTGAATGCTATTTGTTTTGATTGTATTCATACAGAACTAGAGTTTTGTGATCCAGTAGACAGTTTCGGGACTTGTAACGTTTGCCCTGGCTCTATCGGAAAATTTTCACTACTGATCTCGACGAAATTTTTCTTTCTGCATAAAAATCAACTTTTTATTCTTTTTGCTTACTGTTTCATACTTTAAGACTTGTTAATTATTACTGAACATTATATTATTTCTACTTTATGAGTCCGAATGCAATTAATTACTAAAAATAATTGTTTACAGGTTATTACAAGCGGGATAGCGATACTATTAGGAACACCATCTATCCATAGGCTACACTGCGTGAACGTTTACGACGGTACAACTTACTTTTCGGAGATATATTATTCTGTGTTCCTAGCATAATATTAATATTGTTACATCGTAATTAATGCTATACTTTTTCTTTACCGCAATTTATTTTTATTATCATTAAACTGTCTTACTTGCAGATACTTTACCACAATTACAACGGACTACGGCCGTATACCAAGCGCCAAAGTACATTTCCCCTTAAATATTTGTTTGTGAACTATTTGAATAATTTATTATAATTTTGGTGTATTATAGCAATTGATCAGTTATATCTGCTGTAATTATAAGTGTAACTATTTGCAGGCTGACATCACGACTGTGCTAGCATCACAACGCAAGTCCATATGGCTGAGCAGGAGCAAAGGTCAAAGCGGAAAATGGAACCAACAGAGTAAGCTAATTTCGTAAAAATATTCAGTGAAGGAAAAACAGTTTTCTATAGCATAATTTATAATTTCCATGAGAATCGATTCCGGTTTTCAAAATTTACCAAGTATAATACTGCTACTGAATAATATTCAATCTGCTGTACAACCAAATCAACCAAGTCTTGTATCGTTTTACCTTTATTTTAATTTGAACGTAAGCAAAATAAAAATACAGTAAAATCAAAATTATTCAATAGTTCAAAGACATCAATACTATTTAAGTCATCGGTCAGCAGAAGTGATGTAGTGCCAGAGTTATTTGCAAAAATGGAGCAGCAGAGAAAACACAAGCCAGCTCTCACAGCGCTTGCTGCGGCTTGTATAATTATCCTGGTGATAATAATTTTAGTAGGCGATATTATTCTGCCTATCGTAATAGCGACGATACAGCAACAACAACAGCAGCAGCAGCAAGAGCTTAATAAAAATCAATCAGGAACGTTATTTTCGTCGACGTACCCGAACGGGAGCGTCGTCAAGTCCGGCAGTATCCTTCGTTTATCATAGGTAAGCTTAAAGCGCTTTACCCGGTCCACAGCATCAATTTCAAGGGTCCGTTTATTACGCCGTATCACGGAAGAATACCGTAAGGGGTACACTTGAGGTCCAGGGGTTGTCCAGAGTGAAGTGAAAGTATTTAAATTAAGTGTTTTCTTGATAGTTCGATTGAGTGTAAAACCTTTAACTTTGCAGACATGCTTTCCTTTGTTCGTCACATAAGCATAAGATTTAGGAGCGCAGATGGTGACCTCTGTGATGAATTCACCATCATTTAATTCGTTTGTCAAGTCCCCCATGTAGTTTCCCAATCGCACTTCAGGATCTCCTTGCCGATGAATCCACATTAAGGAATCAGTATCAAAATATATTAGGTTACGCCCAACTTGAGCCATATAATTGTATAAGTGAAGGCGGGCATGGGCAGTCGTAAACCTAAATTATCCAACCAATAAATATTTTTGAGAAAAACGTATTTAATATATTTATGTTGCACTTACGCCGCAAGGATAACATTAGTCTTTGGATTAACTGGAATAAAGTCTTCCTTGGACTTGTACGCAACTTGAATAACGGTGTCACTGAAGAATTCGATATTGTGAATTTCCAACGCATCATTTAATAAAAGTTCGTAAAAATCTTTGGGCTCGGAAATGAACTGTGTAGACAATCTGTCCTCGCGCATCCCGAGTCGGCCCCAGAAACTACAAAAAGAAAAGAAAATAAGCAATTTCAACTAATGTATACCTAATGAAACTGAAAAATTACTTGTTTAAAAATAACTTTGCAAGGGCGCGAAGCCCCAGATTTTTTCCACTTTCTCGGCGTCAATAGATACACCTTCTCGAAGTAAAAATTCTTCCACATACTGCTTTTTTTCTTCTTCTGTTTTAACATTAGAGGGCCAACCGCTGGCCTCCGTTTTTAATTTCAAGAAATGCTGGATGTACTCTTTAAATAAACCTTCGCGAGAACTCGGAAAATGCCAAATTTCGTAGACTTTTATCACCGTATATCCCAGGGATAGTGCCTTAATGATTTCCACAGAGCACCAGACGCCCGTAAGTGATCTTTCGGTGTCTGTGTGCTGACAGCTAGAATTTTGCTGCGTCTCAGCACATAGTCGGCATAGTGGAAAAGTTAATTTTTCAGTACGGTAGGGTAGAACAGGTAACCATAGGCTTTTGGGCGGTAGAATGGTCAGGTAAAATAGCCCAAAATAAGTTTCCAAATTTGGATCAAAGTCCGCAGTAATTCGCACGTGTGGGCCAACTGGATATCTCTTCCGCGAATTCACAAAGGGATATTCCGATATGACATCGGCAAACCTAAAAAACACCTCTCATTAAAATTGAGATTATAATCTTTTCTTAACTAGTTGTACCGTATTTGTTCTCCGGGCTCGCATTTATAATGCAACCGTGTCCCGTTGGTCCGGCCTCCATATAGAGCATCGCGAGGTTGAAGAGGTGCGTGAACATGAATATCTTTTATTGTTTCACGAAAATCCTCATCCTCTGCCAATTTCTGATCGTACTCGCTTTCCCAAATTTTAACAACAGAGTATCCCATTTGTTCAAGGGCGATTTCCCGCTGGACGGTTGCCACATGCAAATCCTCCATCGTTTGTTTGAGAAAGGATTTACAAATGTGCGTTTCGTGGTTGCGGGATTGCCGTGCCAGAAGTCGCCATAGAATTCGTAAATAATTTCCGCTTCTTCGTCATAGCCGTCCACGTAAAATTTTCCAATCTTCTGTTCTCTTGCAAGTGCTTTGCCTTCTGTCATTTCAATGTAGCACAACCATTTACCACATTTGACTGATTGCATGCGCTGACTAGGGTTTTTAACAATAGCAATAAGGTTTTTTTCCAATATCCGTGCGCGCCAGAAAAAATGGCATATACCCGCAATTGTTAGCGCGGAAGTAAATGGGCAAAGCCCACCTGAAATTCCCATAAAGAGCTTTCTGAATTCTTGAGAGCAAACGCGTAAGGTGTTAACATCCTGCTTGCAGTATTTGACGAGCTCCTCGTTGACATTGTACTTTCCTTTCTTTTTTCTCCGATCTTTTCGATAAAATCTTTTGATAAAGTCTTTTCTTTCTTTGTTATTCATCAAGCTATAATTGAAATCCTCCCTTTTAGGATAGGGAATAATTTTGCCAAAATTTTCTGGGCGATTGACCGGATGAGGGAATTTACCCTTTTGCTCTGTCGCTCCAAACGCTTGAGCCCAAGCGTCTAACGATTGGGGATTGTAATTCAAAGTATCACGAAATTTTATGCCAAATTCAGGAACATCCAGTTGCATAATTTTTGAGCCGTTCATTATGAGCTTTGGAACTATCCCATTTCTTAGTAACCATTTTAGAACAAAAAAACCGTCGAACGCCCGAAGGTTGTGGGCCAAGACGTAGAAGTTTTTAAATGATCCAGAAAACAAAAACTCGCAAAATTCTGTTGTTATATCCCGGCCAATATCGGACGAGTCGGCAGGAAAAATCCATTCCTGGCCGTTGTCGTTTTGAAGAACGGCCAGGTTCGGAATAAAACTGCCCGTTTCCGGACACGGGTAAGTCTCAAAATCGAAATAGAGAAACTGGGCTTGTTCATGCTTTTCGAGATCCTGGTCCGTCAGGACTTCGGGCTCAATGTAGCAAACATGGTCATTTGTTACGTGTTCTTTGCACACCGTGCAAAAAATCTCACCGCACACGTGGTCCGTCGTACGAAACGCTCTGGAGACAAATGATTGGCAAGATGGACAGACAAATAACGTTTGACATACCGTAATCCCGTTTTCTCCCGAGCCAGCAGCGCGATGATGATTGAAACACTCTTCACTGTAAAATGTTCTGCAGCAGTCCGAACAGTAAATTCTTTCTCCTCCAGGATTACATTCGAATCGCAGGCATTGTTTGCAACGGTATTGGCATCGATGGCGATTTTTATGATCGTATCCGCGATTGCAACGGTCGCACCAGTACGATGTTTTGAACCAAGCCGGCAGGCTTTTCAAGACATCAAAATGGTTACTATGATGTAGCAGACGAATTTTTTTTTCGGCATATTCGCCGGCATAGACGATCGTATTGAGGTGGTCGACACTCGTTATCAGGATTTGGTAGTCCGGTAAGGCCAGTTGAAACTGTTGAACGTCTTCCAAAGTATATTGTCGAAGATCCAGTCCTGCGTTAGCAATGAGTTCTTTAGCCATTTTTGTCTGCAGCGTTCTGTCGGAAGCCGTACAGAGTTTTTTAGTGTGATACAAGCGTTCGTACAGCGGTATATTGTCATCTGCGAGGGCCTTAGCTATAACAAGCGCACGAGCCAAACAGAGGTTATCTGAATTACGAACAGCTATTACGCTCCTCATGGTCTCCAGCTTTTTTGCGCAATAATAAAGGAACATCGTATCGACAGGATCCAGCGGGAAGGTTGGAATGGTGAATTTCCAGCTCAAAAGAATCATCCAGTACAAATTCTTGGTTCGAATTGAGTACGCGAGAAACTTCTTTCATCAATCGCGCAACGGTTAACTGATCACGACGAATGAAAGGTGTGTGAATAGGAAACGAGAGGTGACGGCTATGCAACTTGATTCTTACCCGCTCGTGATCTGGGATGTCAGTAAGGATTTCATTTAAAATTTCGTTCAAAATGGCTGTTATGACATCGGGAATCTCAGCAAAAGGAATATGACTGAGGCGATGAACTTTGCACGCAAATCTTTTACACGTCATCTGATAACGGCGATTGTAAAAATCGTTTATCGGTTTCAACACGAAAAAGTTCTTTATATGAAGCGGGTCTTCGGTAACATCGTCATCATCAACAGCATTAGTATCGTTATCATTATTATTAGAATCAACTGAATCAGCAGCGTCAGCAGCTATGCGAGGCATTTTTGCAAGCAGAAAGGTCACAGCAACTGGTTCTTAATGACAGAAAAGTGTTCCTGACACTGCTTCACAAATTCTAACTCATCTGACTTTATATCAACACAATTTTTTATGGTATCGCCAGATCTGATACGTACAGACATGGCTGAGTCATCAGAGGCAGTCGTAGTACGGTTTTCATGAACAAAAGCTGCTTGGGTATTGGACGTGGTGTCGATAATGCACCAAGATAGGGTTTCCGGATGCGCATTGGCGGTGGAGGCGGAGACTGTTTTCTGGCGGTACTTTGCAAAAGCAGGCGTATTGGTCCATTCTACAATCTTTTCCAGAATATCCATTCCGACAACCAGTTCATTGCACCGCGTATTTTTATGGCGGGCAATAACGAACTGTACGTTGGATTTTTTATGCAACCGGTAAAAAGCCATGAAAGGATTATTGGATCCTTTTCTGACAAAGATGCTATACGCATCGCGGTACTGTGAATAACTTCGGAAGGTCCGGTCGTCCCGTTTATCAGTAAAGGTCTGGTAGAGCCAGTCCACGGATTCAGCGTTTGCTAATCTGATACGCTTGGCAGGTGGCACGAGATGCTGGTCCCCAGAATCCGCTGGCGCTGCAGTAACAGTATCTACAAAATAAATAATGTAAATATTCAAAAAAAAGTTTAGGATCAGAATAAGAAACTTACTTTTTGACGATGATGATGGAAGTGCAGAGGTACTGGGTCCAGCAACTTCAGCAGTTGGAGATGTAGTGACAACAGAAAACGGAACGGAAAGCGGTGCTGTTGAAACCGACAGCGACTGATCTGTGATGGGTAATGGATCGGGAAGTTGTTGATCACCAGGTAGAGCTGTAGGTTGCTGCAGAGTGTTATGTGGCGACAGAATAATGTAGAGATGGCGCTGCTTGTAGTATTCGTAGCGGGCAATATATCCTTGCACTGGATCAATGCCTGCAATATATATATACCTTTGGAAAATAAGTTGCAATAACAAACAAAGCATAAGACTCGCATTTTAAGTCTTCCAGGCGGCCATATAATGGTGTTAAACGGAATATCTGGTCACCCACTGCAACATGAAAATGAAACTTGAGGCGTATGTTGTTGCTGCTGCTGCTGGCACAGAAATAAAAATTGTGTAGATACCGTGGTGGCAGATTTCCGCACCAGTTGCTTCATCTATAAAATTAAAGAGTTTCTCAGCTATAAATTAAGTGAACGAGATGATAAAAACTTTTTAACCTTTAAAAATCGGCTGAATGGGTGGTGGAGACCACGGACTTGATTGAAGGTGTAGTTCTGGCTGTTGCTGTTGTTGCTGTTGTTGTTGTTGTTGCGTAACTACAACAAATTTATATTTCAACAACTGTACAAAAATTTTTGCGTTTAATTATACCCAAAGTACTTGTTGTCGGAGTCGTAAGAACATTATAGTCCTGCAGCTGAATTTCCAGGTCACTTAAAACTTTATCCCAAAGAGCTTCGCCATCAAACGCATTAAGATCATCCATTATCCATTACGTTTAAAGAATCAACAACGAATGAAAGCAAGTAGAGAAAAAAGGAAAGCAGAATAAAACTATTACAGTTATATAGTATCAGCAGAATGCAACTGCTACATTTTGCAGTGCAACATTTTGTCACACACAATTTTCCAGAACAGCAAAATGTATCAAGTAAAATAAAGTGACGTGACGGCTTCAACAGGCTGACGGCAGTACGGGCAGAGGCTTCCTCGGTCTAGGGTCGCTTTGGCGCACTGTCCGCACATGACCAAATGCTTACACGGACTGATCAGCGTGTTGGCATACCGCGACAGACAGATTTTACATTTCAACTGCTCAACGGTGCGGGCATCGTCTCCGACGGGTACTTCGGTGGCATAGTGCAAAAAATGCTTTTGCTCCAAAAAATCGGCGTTGTGGAACTCCACCGCTTCTTCCAATTCCTCCCAAAAATAGAAACGGCCCTTCTTCTTGGCCTTAGCGGCATCAATTTGGTCTTGACTGAAGCCAACGAGCCGTGCTTTGTTTTCCAAAACTGTCATACCTACATATTATTATTATTATTAAAAAATAAAAGTAACAAACAGATGAAACCCACCTTGTATTCCAATGTCGGTAACAGGGGACTTGCAAGCTCGTATAACATCGTTGATGAACCGTTTGCCTTTTACATTCATCAGATATGCACAGGCTGGTGATTGGCGGGCATGTTCAATCCATGGTTCCAGATCCAGCGGCAATCCAGAAATGAAGACATAGCAGTAAAAACAGCGTACAGCATCCGGGCATACCGAAACTCCCGGCACAGTAAGACCTGCGTAATAATAAAAAAACCCATTGTCCTGTAAACAACGGGCGACCGGAAGCGCGAAGCGCTCCGGTCGACGTTGTTTACCGCGTCCGACACATTAGCCAAATGTGTCGGCAGCGAGCAACGGGGCCCCCCCACCCCCCTTCGCCTGGTTTAACTGTTCGACCAGCAATCGTGAGTTGTTTTTCTTGTCAACTTGATAGCCAAAAGAATGTTTTGTTGTAAAGCTCACCGCAGTTGTAGAATCCAGCTTCGGCCAGCTTGTACACCAAGTGTTTTTTTTCTTCGGGCCACGGTCTGTCGTCAAAGGAAAACGCCCGCGCATACATGGTGTTATACTTTGCGCAGTCGGGATTGTTTGGTGGTGAATGGTTGTACTCAATGTTGTCCTGATCGTAATCCATCCGCAGCCCGTTGCATTCCACCCACATCTGTGGGAAGTTATCTTTAACTGCTTTGCCAAAGCATGGATTCTTGCACGGTGTTCGATAGATGCCCGTTAGACATGTCCCCTCAATCTCACAGCAGTAAACACAACGGATCTGGTGCTGGATCCCCGTGCAGTACCAGCCCAGTTCGGCGTACTCTTTCGCCACTTCGAGGGTAATTTTACCCCCACAACCACGAAATGTTTCAATGCGATTCTCAACACTTTCGGCTGGATAGCGCGGATCCCCACGAGGGCCAAAAGCACTTGCAAAACCGTCCATTGTTCTGTTAGCGTGTAGCCGTGCGTGCGTGCGTGTGTGCTCTGCTCTACGGTTTATAAAGCCCAGTGTGAACAACAAAATGCTGAGCAACAAATTGCTGAACCGGATTTTGTGGTCAGGGTGTTTAGTGTATTTGATTATTATAAATACAGGCTTCTAATTCCAACTCGTTTTCATTATTCTTCCTGACACTTTTAGTTAGTCTACCTTTTCTTCTGATATACCATGACTAGTCTGCCTCCTTCCAAACGCGGTTTCGTACCCGATAAAACTGATCTTGTCGGGGAAGCAAAGCGCAAGTTTGCGAGCGGAAAGATCGCTTTCCACTATGAAGGATTCCCTACCATGAAGTTCGGGTACGACAAGTTCATCTGCACCCGCATCAACAGTGACACCCAGGCCTTGGAGTTCATAATTGGCGACTTTACGACTGCCAGTCCTCCTGGACCAGATGCGAAATGGACGCTGGGAGAGAAACACATTTTTCTCACCAACGACCAGTTCATGCGCCTCGTTGGACTCATCTACAACAACATTACGACTTTAATCCGGGATCCACAGCTAACCAGCGGTAACCTGTCCACCCTGTTTCACCTCGGAAACGACGTCTATTTTGTGTGGTCAAGCTATGACAGTGTAGCGCTGGCCAATATCCGCCAGTTCTGCAAGAGAGGCAACGGCGACATGCAGGCCACCAAGAATGGTGTTTCTTTTGGGATAAAATCGTTTGAATCACTTCGTACCACCATCCAAGACCTGTCAATGTTCAAGGACATCAATGCTTTGTTGAAAGCACGTGGCTCGCTAGTGATTCACAACGAACCAACGGCAGCGGATTTTTCAAGCCTGTTGGCTGGCCTACCGTTCACCATGTATGGTATGTGGCTTGACCGTCTGCACGAGAACTGTGCACGTTGCGGGGAAATGGTCACGTTGTTTACACAACCAACTGTTCGTGAAGCCAGCCATGCCTGTGAATGGGGATTGGGTACACTGAATCTAACGGATGAAATGATGAACGACATCATTACTGAGCTTGGAAATGGCAAACGTCTCATTGGCATGATGTTGTTACTGCGTCCTTGGGGCCAGCTTACCGGATTTGACGACATTTTGGGTTTTAACGCCAAACAGTTTTTGGACCAGCATAAGGATACCCTGTGGGAGTCTGTCAAGCGTATTGCCATGGAGAAGCTGAAGATTACGGAGATTGGAGACGGGAAGATGAAACTGCCTATCGAAATCAACAAGGCCCAGGAAGGAAACAGCGGCAACGGTGGTGAAGACGGTGGTGTCTAAGACGACGGAATCGTTTGCGTTTTGTGTTACGGTAAAGCATGTCTGTGTTACCATAAAAATGTGAAATGTAAACGCTAAAAAAAGTGCTGATTGCTTCTACTTCTACCTCAGGGACATAAAATGTGAAATGTAAAACCCAAAAAAATTTGCTGCTTTTTTATTTTATTCAAGCTCTGCATACATTGCTGTGTTCATGTTAAAGTGATTGTTTACCCATTGACAAACCATTGCATCATTGTTTGCGTAATTTTTTGTGAAATAATGAATAATGTCTCTATATGATTCTCCGCTTGCGCGCTTATAAATAAAAAAAATGCAAAATTGACCGCAGACTGTCGAAAACGTTTGTTGTATACGTTCCATTTGATAAACAACATGTAAATCAGTTAACCATTCTCTAATCTCGTCAAAATACTCCACAGATCGTCCGTATGAGTCGAAAAACTCGATGGATGACGGCTCGCTTTGATAGAATGCTAACCAGTGTTCACCAGAACCACTGGATTTGTCCGTGTTGACGATGTAGGCGGCAGGTAAAACATTGGAGCGTTCGGGAAGTGTATCCCGGGCATAAACTCCTCGAAATATCCTCTCCGTTTTTGGATTTTGGCAAAGTATCTTTGTCATTGTTCGATTATCCATTTTAGTTAGTTGGTAAAGTCACAAATTAGCTGACGAAAATTGTTAATTTCTATTACCGCGTCAAACGTAAGAAATGTGACCATGATCGTGGGCTGCTTGAGCGGTTGGTTGAAGACTACTCGGATGCCTAAATTACCCTGACGAATTAAACTTAGAGGGCCGAGTCCGGTTCCCCCTGGCGTTAAATCAAAGCCGTAAATACAGAATCCGTTTGCATACTCGTCGCGATTAAAAGGCAGTGCGCCAAAAGGACTGTTACGCCGTCCTAAAGTGTCTAGCAGACCATCGTAGCACTCCAAGTAATTACCGTTTGCATAATCCGGCTCGTACGGCCGATTAGGAAAAGACTGTCCATCAACTTCGACGCTGATTTGAGACAAATTAAAGTGTTGAAAATTGAATGGATTTGTCTTTTTGTGCCGTTAAAAGCATCCGCTGCGACAAAAGCCACAAAAAAGCACCTTGGGGACTTGACCAATGTGTATGTTATTAAAAACAGTGCTTTGTATGTTGGCAGGTAATTCGATCGGGCGCATCAGAACACGTTCTATAGGATATTTTGCTGTTGTGGTCAATAACCGCTTGCTTATAGCATTCATGTATTCTGGAACCCCTGTAATAGTAATGCATTAGATTTTTTTTATGCAGATATTTTCAAATTTTTCCTGCTGCTTACCAACATAACGGCGAACAAAAATTCTTGGATTGCGTATAAATAATTTAAATTCGTCCTGCGCCGGATTCGCAAAATCGCGAAGATAGAATTCCGGTTTATGCAAAACAAAGCGTATTTGTAATGGAACTCCAGTTATCAAAGGCTTGTCTTGCATGAAAATATCCGAAAACAATTTCCCGCTTAAAGGGATGTATTCATGTTTTGCGAAAAGCCTGAGTCGTGATTGTTCGGCTGAGTTGTTAACCGAATCTTCAAAGCTTCCGGCGACATCCAAGTAAAACCCACAGGATGTTAGCTGTGTATTCATCGCCTCTTTTGTGTAATTTAGCAAGCACTCAAACATTGCTCTGTATGGATAATAGATTGCGCAGTCGCTTACCAATCGGTTAGCAACCGAAACTTGAACTGATTGAAACATTGAATGAATCAAATTATTTACAGGAGCACAGGTATCCGTCGCTTTGATTCGCTCCCAACTACCATCAGCATTCCTTTTCTTTAGTGCCACTTCTAATTCTATGCTTAAATCCGGTAAAGAAACCATGGCGTTTGATGAAGGAGCTATATAAAAATTTATGTCACCACCCGCCGGAATATTTTCCGGAATGGCGGCTGTGGGGCCGATTCTTTCTTCTTCTGTCCGGAATCGGTCCGCAAACGAAGGCGGTATGGCAAAAATGTGCGATTCTGCAGCAATGGCAGGTTCTGACCCTTCGATTATGGAAGCCATTTCTAAATATAGTCAGGAAGATCAAATGGTGGGACCCGGCGAATTTTGGTAGTGCGTTTCCGCTTCGTTGGCTTCTTTAATACCCCTTTTCTTCCTTTTTTACCGCCGCTAGATGTTTGTTGAGTTGGTGCGAGAACTTGGGCGATTTTGTTGCCCACAGATTTTGCAGCTTCATGTACCGCTGTACTAGCTGCTTCTTTTAAATGAGGCGTAGCAGCTGCTAAAGCGGCTTGTGCCTGCGGCGCTGCCGCCCTTACAACTGGTGCAACAAAACGAGCAACCTTGGAAAATACTGCACGCAGAAAACTACCAAAACCTCCACCGTTTTGATAGCTTCCACGATATCGAACAAATCCGCTCCCCAGCTGTGTATGACCTAGTAAATCATCAAATAATCCCGGATCAGGCGCAAAAGCTTTATATCCCATTTTCAGTATCTTGCCGGTCGGAAATGGAGCTTCACCATCGATTTTCCTGTTGCGAATTTAGCGTTGTCTCCGAGATCAGTGGCAATTGTTACTTCGATGTTGTCGAAAATGGGGCGTAAAAGTGGAACATAATGAGGCATTTCAAAACGTTCCGTGATAATTTTGAAAGCCTCAGTTGCCTTAATAGGCACTGCTCTTAAAACCTGCGCATACGTGTCACCAAGCAAAGTAAAATCCGCAACATCGCAATAAATATATAAAGATTGATTCCCAATCATGGCGTTTATAGCTTCCTGGGCAGTAAACAAAAAGTTTTGGATAATTATCGGTGCCGGCTTTGACTTTTTTCGTTCCGGTTGTTGAACGCTTTCTAAACCAGACGTATTTTGTTTTGAACCGGTTCCTTCGGTATTTTTTGATGACGGTGATTCTGTTTTTTTCGCAGAAGCAGAAGTTGTTGCTGAAAGCGCAGCTGGCTTTGGCGCTGGTGTCTGCGCAGGCGGCGGTGGTGGTTGGGGCGGTGAAACTGTATTTGTTTTCGCAACTGTTTGTTGTCGAGCTTTCTTTTCTTTGAAAAATTCCTCCAACTGATTTAAACCGTCAAAATTTTGCGCAAGGTCAACAATATTTGCAGGATCAGAATAGGCAAACAGTTGTCGATGCTGACACCCCAATATGCGTTTCAGCAGTTCATTGTTAATAGCCAGAATAACGGTATTGGCATTAATTGCAATTTGCACTTTTTGATTGTTAGCTAGTAATTCAATAGAAAATGCTCTCCTCTTTTTGGATTCTTGTCCTTTTGCCAAGAGGAGCTTCGGAATTTGCGAAGAGATTGTTGCAATGATTTGTTCGTTGGTATAATTACCGGCGTGTAAAGTAATGCGCTTTTTCTCAAACAGAAACTTTTCCAACCCTGTTTTAGCATCCGAATTTGTTACAATATCGTAAACCTGCAAACAATCCATGGTCTGCTCTGTAGGGAGATTGTACATGGAATTTGGGTAATAGAGTTCGACAATTGCAACTTCCCATTTTCCAGACAATGAAATCGTTTTGCATAATTTGGTTTTCCAACTGGATGCAGTGTTATTCGAGTAAATATCTGTGCAAGCATCACTCGGCAATGTGATGTAAAATGGCTGTTGATATTGCAAGCTATTCATTTTCTAATCCGCGTTAGCTCCCTTGCATAAAATTTTCCTACTATTGGCTCCTCTTTTTCATCCTCGAGCTCATACACTGGCTCCGGTGTATGTGGTATTACCTTTGCTATTCGAAAAAGCTCCTCCTGAAAGTTTGTTTCAAAACCTTTTTCAAAGTCCTGCTTTTTTTTGGCAATTCTGACGACATCTTTCACCTTAAATACTGGTTTCTTTTTTTTATGGTCTGTTTTCTCGTATAATCGATTAAACACAAGCAGGGAATTTTCTTCAGTCACATCCGCAGGACAAAAGCCATGAGAAGAGTGAGGAGTGTGATTATATGTCCATACAATATTTTGTAGCCGATCGTAATATTTTGGAGATTTTCGACTAGTAAATAAGCGCCATATGCGCTCACGCAGCGTTCGAATAACGCGCTCCGCCATGGAACATTTTATGTCATCGTTTTCCGAACTGAATAGCATAATCTCTTTCCGTTTGAGTAAATCCCTGACATTTTTATTAAAAAATTCACGGCCTTTATCAGCCTGTATTTTGTCGAATGGACCCAGGCGTTCTAGTATTTTTTCCAGTGCTTTTGCCGTTGATAAACCATCTTTACACTTAATTAACTCGCATTCTATTTTTTTAGAAAAACAATCAATAGCAACCAACACGTAGCCATAATTTTTGTTCCACTTTTTAAACTTTTGCATATCCATCAAATCTACCTGGAGCTGGCTATTTTTATTTAGGACGACCACCGGATTCCTGTGGAATTTTCGGTTGACAGGCTTATGTAAAGTGTAGGCATCGATCCCCTCAAGAATATTTTTGGCTTTTTCCTTGGAAACATTTTCTGGAAGGTTTTTGTGAAACCGCTCGAGCCCCCCTAGGCTGCTCAGTGCACTAGGATTGAGATAGTGCTGGTCCATCGGAAACAGGCTGAGTAATTTTAGGTACCTCGTTGGCTTTGTCACCAGCTTTAGACGAATCTTCTATTTTATTTTCGTCACTGTCATCAGAACAGCAAGAAGAAACACAATTCAATTTCATCCCTTGTCCAAAATTTAGATTTACCGGCACACAACCCGACATTTTAAAGAACCTTTAGCCAGCGGCCTTTAATACCTTGCCCTTTTATAAAAAACTTTGTCTGCTCTCGTACCCGCTCGCCACGCCGGCGTGGTACTTCTTCTGCGCTTACAGCTTGGAATTTGTTATCGGGTGATACTTTTGTTTCGTTTAGCGTTTGTTCCAGTACGCGTTTACCGCGTTTCCCTTTTTCATTTGACGGTAATGAAAACACTGGGAGATCATATTCATCCGAATCATCCGAATCAATATCAGTCAGGGTTTTTTTCTTGATTTTTCTGCGTGATTTTGACGATGCTGTTGTGGCGCGAACTCTTTTCTTTTTCGCTTTTTTGGGTTCGGTTAACGGTGTGGTTAAGATTGATGGAGTCGGAGTTGTGGCGTCGTTTACACTTACAGACAGACTATCCAAGGGATTACCTTCTTGAAGTGCTCGGGGCTTTAATGCCATGAACCGTTCTAAATTTTTACTAAGTAATTGTGCTTTCTGCCATTCACTTAAATTTTGACTTGAAAGGATTTTTGATGTCAAATCGCCAAGCGATAAAATGTTGTTCGCTTCAGGTGGAGCTTGTAAAACTGTCAGCTCGGCGGCTCGCTTCTTGATATCCCGCTCAGGCACAATATAATGTACCTCCATGACCTTAAATTAGGAATTTAGCGCTCCGGCCAGAACACTTGCTAAAACTGGCAGCACTGCACCCAGAAAGCCACCTTTTTGTGTTAATAGCGCTTTTTTAGCTTTTGTGGGATACCGTCGAAGAGCTAATAATCGTATCGGCTTTTTCCAGCGTCTGCAAATTCGCGTACTTTCTGGTGATAAATTCACGGTATTTTTTACGATATTCAAGCAGCACTCTTCCAGTCCTTTAATATGCTTTTTGTTACAATGATTCGCGACAGCTCTGCGATCTTTGGGGTTGAGCGACGAGAGAAACAGTAAAAACGAAGCAAATTCTTTCAAATGTTTGGTCATGCTGACGGCACTGCACAGAAATTCGGGTCGGTGTAAATTCTTGCTGTTTGCAAGTCCGTTTTGTTTTCTTGCACAACATGAGATCTGACACGCAAATAATCGGGACAATTTGGTTTTAAATCCAAAATCAAAGGTTCAAACGGAGTAGCAGTAATCTTTTTATACGCTTTTTTAGATGCTTAAATCCTGTTTGCCGTGATAAATAATCCAGTTGGTTGTTGTCGCGAACATTTTTAAACAACACAATATATTGAGTATTTAAGGCAATATCCCGACTTGCTTTACCTTGCTTAAATAAATTCTGTGTGATATAAATTGCTGACAAATTTCTGTGATGTATTCCTTGCGTAAATAGTTTCGTGGCTAACTCACTACTTGCCATTTCGCCCGCCAGATCATCAATAATTAGCAGATTGCTTTCTGCTTTAGAAAAAAACTCCGAATCTAGTAAATCGTCTTTTAACCCTTTAACAAATTCTGTTGCTGGAAAAATCTTTTTAATTTCTTCGTAAGAGTTTTGCCATTGACTGTATGCTACCACTATTCTGGTTGGGACGACGTCCATTGCATTTCCTTTCAGCATTTTAAGAACATATTGTGTTTTACCACTCATTGTTGGCCCACATATTATTGCTCCGAAAGGCCATTGGAACCTGAGATCATAACCAACTTCTGGATACATGGCACAAATAACCAATATCGTCGCAACTGCGCACTTGAATGTGCCAATCGACTTGCACCAGCTTAATTTGAACAGAGACTTTATCACAGAATACGATCCTAAAAAATTCTCTTGTCTTTTGTGGCGCGTAATATATCCGAAACAATTCCACTGCCAATTATATCGCAACGGTAAAATTACTGTCAATGGCGGACGCACACTGCGCGAGTCACGAAATTATGCAAAATACTTTTTTGCGAAAGCTTATTGCTACGGGTTACAAAGGAGCACGAATAACAAATTATAAGGTTGTTAATATTATTGCTTCATGTCAGCTGCGACGACAAAACCTTGAAAATATTGGCCATTCAACTGGTGACAAATACTACGAGCCAGAGATATTTCCAGGCATGACAATAAAGATGAAAAAAGCCACATGTATAGTCTTTAATAGTGGAAAATGTAACATACTTGGTTTAAAAAAATTCGAACATATTGAGGAAGTCTATCAGGAACTTTGCCAACTTCTCAAATAGATTTTGCTCGAGCTTCATTTTGGAATTCTTTTCCATTTTCCTTAGCTGGAGATTCGACACTCTCCATTGACACCGCGTTGCTCCTCGGTACAATCGCAATCGTCTGAAAATTATACATATATGCAATATAGTTTATTTTTTGCCAGGATTTTTATAAAGGTACCAATTTCTTCTTCTGTTTCATAGGAGCTGAAGGAACTGTCCGAATCCGTATCGTATCCTGTAATTAAAGGTGCGGTTGACTTGTAGTATTACTTAATTAAAATTTTTTTCACTTACCGGATTCGTTGGGAGCGTCCGGCTGTTCATGATTGAGCATTACAATATGTCCAGGAGTTTGGTTACAATGCTTGCACGTATAGTTTTTAACTGTGAGAACGCATTTGATTATAACAGTCTATATCAACAAAATCCTGTGCGTGCATTTTGCTGCACAGCAATTTGTTTCACAGCATTATCTTTCTCGGTAAACTATTTTGCGTGTGAGAGCGCTTATATAAACACATGTCAAATTAACCGAGTCAAGTCATTAATGTCAGTGTGACGTTCGCTATGCGATTACTTTCACTGCTGTTTCTTCTCCGTTTGTCGTAGAAAGACATTTGTTTTCTAGGCAACCGAGTAGATAAAGCTGTGACGGTTAATTTTTGTTCGTAATTACTTTCTATTTGCCGAATCGAGATACACTAATTACCCGGTAGAAAAAGACTGTATTTTCTGGAGCAGCTGTCGTTTGCGCGCTGACAACAAATGCGTGCAAAGGATAGATGTTCCCAAAAATACTCTTTAAATTAAACGAAAAACTTTGACTGATAAATTTAACTTCAAACTACTCTCTGCTTCAAATCAACCTGCTAATTAACCAAAAAAAACAAGGGTTAAATTTTTTGGAGCAGTTGTCGTTTACGTGGTAAACAACAATCGCACGTAAACGATAAATGCTCCAAATGATACCCTTAAAATAAAAAAAACAAAATGAACTACTGCACAGTTATGGGTAATTCTGTTTCGATGAACACTTAAAATAACATAAGCAAATGGCACGCGCAGCGAATATATATTCGTTTTTTAATCATAATAATTCTGTAAGTTTTACTTCACTGTTGTAGTCGTTAATTTTATGTCCTAAGTAAAAGTTAAAAAGAAATGGCAGTATGTATTAACGTCTACTTCCTTTTTAGGGATTCCAAAAAACCCGCAACGAAACTGCCACAATATTTTAAGGATTTTGCCAGCCATAGCAATGTCTACAGCATCAAGTATAGAAACCGACTGGCTGTGGCCACCACCAAGTACTTAAACATCCAGTCCGACGAATGGCGCACTAAGACGGTAAGAAATGTTATTATGCAGTAACCTGATTATCAGTTGCATTTATTTACAGGGTAAACTGGTGCGCAAGTTCCAGAAGAGCGCTCTTGACCTTGCGTACATTCACCACCATCAGAAAACAATGTTCACTGCTATTATTGTGATACTGAAGAAGCTGTTGGACGTTGCACAAGCAATGGAAAAGTATCACATGGAAAGCATTGCAACTCTTTTGGCTTCCTGTCCGCCAGACAGTATGCCATCGTCTGATGAGGGCTACTGGATTGATGAAATATCAAATTACCCATCACACTACTCGCAGAAAATCACACGCATCATCGCTGACAACAAAAGAAACAAGACGAAACGAAATTGCTGGAGAAAAATTCGCGAACTCACATTGGAACGACCAGTGAACTTGTGCCTACCGATCAGCTGTCGGAAAGTGAGCTTAAGGCCAGAACCAAGGCGTACAAATCCTTGTGGAAACAACTGACTGAGCTGACAAACTCTGTATCAATGTATAACGACAAAATTAAGGAACACTGCCTCTCCCTGATAACTGGCTTTGAACATCTCAAATCAAAGCTAAACATTGAGAAGATGACCATTGGTAAGTGTAGTTCCTCTGACTTGTATTAAGTTTTATTTCACAGTTTATTGCAGCCCAGGAAGCGTTCCTTCCCATTGTCCAAGAAATGTCCACTGTTAGCACTCTCATTGCTGACCGATACCTGACCCAGTCTGAGAACGGACGTGATGTCAGCGCTGCTTTGAACAAACTGGATGTTGCCATAAACCTGGCTAAGAACGCGCTGCATGGTGTGATCAGCTTGTCTATGTGTATTCATTTTTTAATGTGGTTTTATTTCATTTTGTCAGGTGACCATCCGGAAGTCCGTGATGACCCACGCGTGGATGACATAGGAGAAAGCGAATCGGAAATGAGCACCTCGGACGATGAATAACAAGCTATTACTTACTGGTTTTCATTTTGCTGTTGGGCTTATAAACTATATAAAAATTCTGAATAACGTAATTGTTTTATGCGTCTTATCCGCTTTAGCTTTTGATGCTTTCACCTACTTTATACTATACCCGTACATAAATCAAATAATAATACAGTACAGTCAATGGTCAAGGGATTCCTTATACACTATAGAAAACTAAGAGCAAATATTTAAATACAGTCAACAACTAACGATTTAATCAGTAACTATGGTAATATTTTGTAAATTATTAATACAAAGTATAGTTTTAGTTTCAACTTTTTGTGGAATTTGATTACTTATTGTGACGTCACAAACTGCAGTCAGGAAGTCCAGTAGGGAAGTAGAGATCAAAATCCCTTTGCGGGACGCCTTTTACTACTGCTGCTGTACTTAAATTTTTCTAACAGGTTCAACGGGTTTCGCTCAGATAGAACACCACAACGATGGGATGCGATGGACCTCCGGGAGCTGGACATTTCGGCGCTAAACAAGATAACCTTTGCGGCGATCGATGAACACTTTGCGGACGTGCACAAGGACACTTAAGGGATCTGTTCTCTGTTCGTTCGCCATTACACAGGATTCGCCTATATCTAATGTTTAACCTAAACAAGCTCTCTGCATGTTTGATTCTCTTGTTGCGGAAATGATGTTTTGTTATAAAAGCGGGGCAGTTATTAAGGTCGGCTTAACAAAGTTTGCATTGGGGCTAATATACTGTATGTTAGTCTACCTAGACCGAAATCATGGGTTGGTCTGGCAACAGAACAACCATTCTTTCCTTTTTTCCCCCATTTTCTCACGGGTTACAAACTTACACTCAGAATGCTTTGCTGCGTAATGCAGGAATACATTACAGATCAAAAAGCAATAACAAAATCTCTTCAAACCCCGCCGCTCCATCCATTGTTTCAAGGTCCGAAGTGGTGTTGCCGCGTTGAATTTCCAGCGACAGACGCTGACGGAGAAATTCATGGGAGCGAGGACACGTGTGTACTGCTGAAGTACTGCCGGTTTCTTTCGTTATGAGGGCAAATGTATGCACACAGGTGCTGTTCCATGGCGTGTGGGAGATTACCCAGCCGGAGTGGCTCCAGCTTAGCAGGAATACCGGCCGAAACTAACGATTTGAAGGCAATACCGCTCAGGCCGCCGTGACGTGGATGTCTCCCAGCAAAAAAAGAGCAAGACCAGCCGTGGTGACCGTACAATTAAATGCGAATCAAAGGGGCTTGTGATACTCTGCATATTGATGTGACTCGCATAATTGATTACACTGCTAAGACTGCTTTGCAGAAGTCGCGACCACTGCAACACACCGGCTGAATGTCCATACCAGCAACCCAGTAGCAGCCGTTGAATGAGGGTGGGTCTTAGATTCGAAGTGTTCGGATTACGATGCAGCAACATCACCTCGCGAGGGTTCGCGTATCGTATCTCTAGGCGCGGCCATCACAAACAGCCACCTCGTGCGGTTGAGCAACCATATCAGAGCTAGACCCGCTTAGAAACCCTAATAAAAGATGCGACGATACCGTCGATACGGGTATGTGATACGTGTAAAATCTGGAAGTTCCCAGAATTACTCAAAGTTAGTATTAATTCGTACAGTACCTGTGTACTGCACAAGTTCAGGCAACCGTCACAGCTCTACTTCGTAGCGCCATCTCTGATTGGCTGTTATGCTTGTTGATTAAAACTGTGGCACGGCACGGCGTTTACGTACAGTAAGTCAGTAAGTACTCGATACAGTGCCTGTACCCCCGAACTTGAAAGTTGAGAGAATTTACTCAATTTAATCTGTACTCATTTAGTTCTGTTTATTGTTAGCTTGACTTTCAACTGTAACTGCAAATTTTGTTTACTCGCCGAGCCTTACCTGCCACAACTGAGTGAGAAATCGACCGATGAAATAACCAACCATGTCCACGAATGCAGCTTCCTCGACGGGTCCAAAGAGGCAGAAACTGGACGCTGGCCGAGTAGCGGACGTGATGAAACGAACACTGACCAGCGGAGATCTCAGCGATGTACGCTTCTTCGCGGGACGTGACTTTGGCAGCGCTCAGAACTTTTCCGCACACAGGTAAGATTACCACATGCCTCGAGGTTTATCGATTCCCTCTAACCCGCCTCGTACCCACATTTGTTAATTACGCAGTACCCACTGCGTCATTATGTTGATTCCTTGTGTTATAGATTCGTTTTAAGCAGTCGCAATGACGTGTTCCGCACGATGTTCTACGGAAGCCTGCCGGAAAACTGTGATAAGCCCGTCGATATTCCTGATGTCCACCCAGATGCATTCGCTAACATGCTCAGGTGAGTTGAAAAAGGATTTTTTTTACTGTTTTGATGATACATTGTGCTGCCAGAAAAAGCTCGAGTGTTTTGTTAGTGTCAGCTGTGATTGTGTTACTATCACTCCAAGCTGTTTTATTCAAACTAAATTTTGTTGTTACATCATTAACTCATTTTCTCCGTCTTGCAGTTTTGTGTATGCGGACACCGTTGATGGGTCCGTCTTGACAATGTACTGTATTCACCACCACGAACTGCGCCGATAAATACGATTTGCCGCAGCTGACGCAGATGTGCACTAACTTCGTGGCGAAGCATTTAAATGTTGCGAATTGTCTGAGTATTTGGAAACAGGTACGCTGTTTTCTCAGAGTGACTGAATACGAGTACTTCGTCAGATCATCAATCTTGAGAGTATGAAAGTTGCGTTTCTTGCCGTTTCTTTGAACAGGCTGTGAAGTGGCATGCTGACAGCATCGTGGAAGTTCGCACGACTTTTGTGGATGCGAACACCACTGCAGTCCTGCAGTCGGATGGATTCACTGACATCTCTCGGGAAAAACTGCAAGCCATTCTGCAGCGCGACACACTGTCTGCTGAAGAAAACGTTATTTACGAGGCCGCTGAACTGTACGTAGGGTGTATATAGAATCATAACCTGGCCATTGGTACCTGGCGATTATGTGATGCCATAGCATGGTAAGCGTGCCAATTCCTTGACTTCCGTTTCTCTTCCCGTCGTTCCCGACATTGTGCTAACTAGTACATGGCTAGCTAGTTATTATAACTTGCTGACCGGCGACGGTTTTTAAAATTTTTTTAGCCATTGTTTTAAAGTTTTCTTAGGACGAAATTCACTATATAAAATCTGGGCTGTCGCGTTTTGGTTGGTACGGATATCATCGAGAGATGTTGCTTTAGGTGGGCCACGGCGGTCTGCGTTCGTGGCGCCGTGGATCCTTCCGGCGCTAACCAACGTCAGGTGCTGGGCGCCGTGTTGTTTCTTGTGCGATTCCCGCTTCTGACTAACGCGGAATTGGCTGACGGTGCCGTCAAGGTGACCCAGTGCACTGAAATTCATAGATGCTGTTTGCCTGTCCTTACTTCTCTACTGTTGCCTCTACGGCAAAGCGGCCTGCTAACGGCATCGGAGTTATTCAACTTGTTCGTGTAACAGAATGCCACCTCCAAGCCGGATGTTCCCTTTCCCACGGAGCCTCGCAGCGGGCAACAAAGGGGGTTGAGTCGGGGAGCGGAAGTGTTTGTGCACACTTATGGTTCACAATACTGGCGCCCAGCCCGAATATCCGGGGTTCATCAGGACCATGTGGTGTTCACCTGGTACTTGGACGGCACGGAAGACACTGCCACTGCGGACAGAGCGATTCGCGTCCAGACCGTCCTGAAAAAGGGTCAGCGGGTGTATGTGGGGCCATGGAGTGAATATGGAGAGTACGTCCGGGCCGAGGAGGGTGGAGAGCATTGGGTTATCCTGGATGGATGCCAGACAACTGTCGGATTCGCTGATTTGCTGCTGACCCAGGAGGTGGTTAAATCTTGGATGAGCAAGCATGGAAAATGAACTGAGTCGCTGACCAAGTCAGTCTCTGGTGTGCTTGATAAACGTGGAAACAATGGAGCCAGCTGTCCGATTGTTTTACTCGTAGTTTTGGCAGTGCAGACATTCTCATTTTTGTGAAGCCGTCCTTGTATTTTTTAGCGTGTTTTCAGCGGTTACAGCTTAGTTGGTTCTGTCGGACTGTCAGGTACTAATTCATATTGATACGTTTGCGAAAGCGAACGAACTGACTTTTTCGTAGCCGCCGGCCCAAAGATTTACGCTGCCAACGAATAAGGTTTACGTAGCGTAATCCTTTCTACCGAATTCCGGCGGAAAGGTTTAAGCGGCTTCTTTGATCGTAAACCATTAACCGTTAACTTTCCTGCCGGTGGCAGGTATAGAATAACGTCGGCTGCACAGAGGCGAACCTCGCTTCTGTGAGCTTCTCCAGCATCGTCTATCGCAAAACAGCCGCGTCTGTAGCCGGCAGATATATCAATCTGTTGATTGTAGATAATCTATATATTAGCCCGTCAGGAAAGTAGATTTTCATCGATAGATCTGACGAACTGCATTAATAGACCTGCCGACCCGAACTTATGCTTTGTCTATGGGGCCTTCAATAGTTCTGCCGAACCGGCACAACAGTGAAATCTGATACCCTTGTTGGCCGCATGCCGGCATGAACAGTCCGGCCGAGCTTTGTACAACTGCTTTGTACAACATCTTTCGCTATTTCTTTTGCGCCTTTCTCTTTTAGAACAGCATATCGTTTTTCTCTTTCAAATCAGCATATATCTTTCAAATCAGAGTGCGGAAATCTGGCAGCATACCTGTGGGCAGTGGATAGAGTGCATCAATCAGCGGAAAACCAACTAATATTTCTCTCTGGGGCAATAGCAATGTAACTTTTAGTCCGAGAGAATGTCCAAGTTAGGACATTAGTGAATTGGTTCTGAACCTCATGGAACCACCATGGAACCACAAGTGAACCAAGTGCGCTCTCACATGCCGACACGCAGGCACACTACCTCTGTACCCCGTGAACAAATGGAACCAATGGAACCACATGGAACCACAATGGAACCAGAAGTGAACCAAGCGCGCTCCCACATGCCGACACGCTGGCACACTACCTCTGTACCCCGTGAACCAATGGAACCAATGGAACCACATGGAACCACAATGGAACCACAAGTGAACCAAGCGCGCTCCCACATGCCGACACGCTGGCACACTACCTCTGTACCCCGTGAACCAATGGAACCAATGGAATCACATGGAACCACAATGGAACCACAAGTGAACCAAGTGCTTTTTCACTTGCCGACTCGTAATTTATAATTTTTTTTATTTAATATGTGATAACTGATAAATAAGAAACTTTGAATTGTTTTTCTCATCTTCGGTTGTGGGCAAGATACGTTTCGTAAATTATTACATCGCTCAGCAGTCGTCATTTATGAGACCCCTTTTGATTGCTCAAAGAAAGTGCGATCTGCCGGCTAGGTATAACGTTTAAGAGGAACGTTTCAGATACGCTAATTGGAGATTCTATTGAGTTACAGATTTCATTACGTGGTGTACTGTTTATATGATTATTACATATAATAAGAATTCGTGATTTGCGTCCACACGCCGCCTCAGAGTGGTTTGAATTTCAGATGCCTAGGAGGTGACGAGACGTACCGAACGGCTTTTTCCGGTCACTTTTAAAAAAGCGCGCGTTATCAAAATATGTAATGTTTGTTGCTGCAACAAAAATATTAAATGTAACAGAAGACTAAGATCTATAAACTGGGAACGCATGTCCGATAGAGAAGATGATAAGGGTTCGGCAAATTGTGCGGCGACTGACGGGGACACGGTAATGCCAAATGCCTGACGTGCACCTATCTTCGCGAGCGCTACGTAGCGTATGCGCAATTGGGCGCACTCCGAAATTCCGGAGTTAGTGACGTGCGAATGTTGGTCTGTGGCGGTTGCCACTCCGCAGCAGTTCCCGAATTATTGCGATTTTTCTATTAACTTACTGAAAACGGAATCGATGTAAATGTAAACCGTACCGCATCCTAGCACTTTAGCCGCGTTACATTTCGGCCGAGGCTTACTTTCGTCAGATTAAAATCTACCAACGCTTATTTCGGCAACCGGACGCCCTCTTGGTTTTTTAGAGTTTCCTCGATTTCCTGGTTTTCTTAGGTTGACTAATACTTTTTTACGTTTACTTCGGCTTTCAAAAGCTTTTCTGTGTTTTTTTTTGTTATTTTATGATGTGTTATACTCATTGATGTCCTGTTATGCTCTATGTTCTTAGGTTTTAATAATTACATAATATGTTTTCTGACATTTCGTATACCTTTTTATGCTGTTTTAAGTTGCCAGGTACGAACTGCACCCGTGCATAAATAAAACGAATAGTTTATTTTGCAAAAACTCGTGCATAAATAGACATGAAAAGTTCATTTTGCATAACTGCATAAACGGGTGCATAAATATACATAAGTAGTTTATTGTGGATAAATCCATAAACGCCGCCGCCGCCGGATGGTGAATGGCTACCGTTCACTTCGGCTGCCATTCATTTTTGGCTAGCCTAAAACCTTTACTCTGCAGTGTGCCACTTCTCTTGTTTCTGCTTTTTGTTCTTTGTTCCTATCACTTTTGCATACACTTTTTTGCACTCATTTTCAACGAGTTCCTCTAACCATCGACATCATGTTTCCTATACGCATTTTGGTCTGACGAAAACCTCGTCGACCGCCACAAGGTCGATCCCACGAAGTTCAGGACAAGTGGCCACACCTGAGAGAGCCTCAGCAGAAGAAAGCTAGAAACCCAAGGAAAAACAATAAAAACGAAACTAAAAAACTTAAGAAATCCTATGAAAAAATACGAAACAAAAAGAAAACTTAAGAAATCTAATAAAACCTAAAAAAGCTGAGACAACCAAAGACAGACAAAATGAGCAGTTGCCGAACTAAGCGTTGGCCGAATAAAGTGCTGGCCGAAATGAGGAACGGCCGAAATGGGCCGGAAATGAACTATCAGCAGGGCAATCCGAGGGAAACCGAGAAACGGCTGAAAAATGCACCGATGACGGAATCGAACCCCGGCGACGTCGTTCGATCCGCGTAGACAGTACCACTAACCCACGATGCAATACGTTGAAATCATTTGAAAAATTTTATCGCTTCACGTGAGCCGCTTTTCTCCTCACAAAAAGTTGGCCGAAGTGAATCTGTGCGGCCGAAGTGCAACGCGGCCTAAGTGATCGGACGCGCCTGCACAGAATTACGGCAGCTTGTCAGCATGTAAGAGTATACTTGGTTCCCTGGTGGTTCCATTGGTTCACGGGGCACAGAGGTAGTGTGACAGCGTGTCGGCATGTGAGAGCGCGCTTGGTTCACTTCTGGTTCCATTGTGGTTCCATGTGGTTCCATTGGTTCACGGGGTACAGAGGTAGTGTGACAACTTGTTGGCATTTGAGAGCGCACTTGGTTCACTTGTGGTTCCATTGGTTCCACTGGTTCACAGGATACAGAGGTAGTGTGTCAGCGTGTCGGCATGTGGGAGCGCGCTTGGTTCACTTCTGGTTCCATTGTGGTTCCATGTGGTTCCATTTGTTCTATTGGTTCACGGGGTACAGAGGTAGTGTGCCAGCGTGTCGGCATATGGTAGCGCGCTTGGTTCACTTCTGGTTCCATTGTGGTTCCATGTGGTTCCATTGGTTCACGGGGTACAGAGGT